AAATCACCAGTACAGACTCATCATATTTTGTATATTTTAGATAGAATTTATTCGGCAAACTTTTGAACTGACGTCATCAATTTTTTGGAGGGGATAAGTAAATTTATTTTGAATAAAAATTTATCATGTTTATCATATCTGTTAACCATCTGCAAGATTTCAAAGCATTCGGTTTTGCAGACTCAAAATTAAATGGAAAAATGCTGTGTCATAATTTTGATTTTTTTCCAAAAATCTGGACATTTTGGGTAAAAACTCATTTCGCAGTCATAAACTACATGTGTAGGACTATGTTATTTTATACAATTTAAAGCCCATTTACTGTAACTTCATTTGAGATACACCTGCTAAAACTTTTATGACTTAAGCGGCTTAAGCCAAACCACCCTTATAAGTCAAACTAGCTATTGTAGCTCTGTGGACCCAAATCGCAAGATTATTACTGTCCATTATTGGCATAATGTAGCTGTGAACTGAGTTAAGTAATACAATAGCCAGTTTGATTTATAAGGGTGGTTTGGCTTAAGCCGCTTAAGTCCCAAAGGTTTAACAGGTGTATCTCAAATGAGGTTAGAGTACTATGTACAATTTTGAAATGACGTCATCGCATTAGTGGTGGGGATGATTAGACAAATTTTGGTTACCGTCTTACCATCTACATGACATTCTTAATATAAGTACAAAATTTCACAACAATCGGTCCAGTACTTTCGGAGATTATCTGTTTAATAAAAATCCGGGACGGCAGACAGACGGACAGACAGACGGAAACGGGAGACCTATTTCTTCGTCCTCTTGAGGTCATGAAAGATCGAGAAAACGTAAAAGTAGAGAGTCGGTCGACGGACTCGATTACAGTACTTCCTTTGCTTAAGCTCGGGAAGTAAAGATACACAAAATTTTTGCAAGACCATAACTTTTAAATTTACAAGTTACAAAATCGTAACTCGGTTAAAAAAGTGCTAAATAATCTTGACTAGAACAGACACCTGGGACGAGATAATTTTCAACTTGTCAAAATCCATTAGGTACCTCAAAATTGTCCTTGTCAATGCTATTTAAACTTTTTAAAATAACATGCTCACTTTACTTGTGGTTTATGAATTCGCCTCCAGTTTTTACCCAAGGCATCCAAATTTTGACAAAAAGAATCTAAAATCGTATCGGTCAACTTTTTTTTTCTAATACTATCATCTATTTATATATTGTAATTTATCTAGGTTATTTTGAACATTATTGTTATATTATTATTCTACAATTCTAAGAAAACAATAAGTAATATTAAGACGTCAAAAATTGTTAAATACATTTATCCCCACCAAATCACCATATCAAAAATTTTAAATAGAATTTGTTACTGAAGAATAAGCCCTGTGCTTCAGAAACGACTCAACCCTGCATTAGCAACTTTACATATTAAAAAAAAATGAATATAATAAATTCCGTATTAAAGAATATAAAAAAATTGGTCCAAAGTTACTTCGACAGAACTTCCCACGCCCTTGAAATACAGTCCAACAAATTCCGCTTTTTTGAAAAATCATCGAAAATTTGTGTTTCCTGATAAGCTTTATTTAGTAAAAACCAGTGGTGTAAATGACACCTCAAACCCGCTGGCCCGCGGGGGTGCAGATTCCAAGGAGGTGCCGTCCGCAGTTATACAGAGAATATGAAATGTATTCAAAGCAAATAACTAACGGAAAAGAGTGTATTATTATCAGTGTACATGCTTAACTTCGATTGTTTATGTTTATACATTGAAAGAATGTCAAATTGGTTTAATTTGAATGACTTGTCTCCTCAAAACAGCAGACTAAAATTATTAAGCCAGAATGAAACAAAAAAATATGTTGAAGGCTATAAGTATAATCCGATAAATCCAGCTCTTTAAAAAGAATTATAAAATTTAATTTTACGATGTTCGTTTTGTGATAACCTCTGTAAAGTAAAAACCACAGGCATAAATAACACCCCTTGTCCTTCAGCACTAGGTAATAGCAATCTGAAGCTCAAGTGTTTATTTTACATTTGAATGAATTTGTCTTCTCAAAACAGGACTAAAATTATTAATTAAACCACAATCGAACAAAATGTTCTGAATATTATAATTCTTATTTTATCATTATTATATTATAAAGACGGGCGTATTCTTCACATTTTCGAGAAAAGGGGGTGACTCGTTTTTAATTTGACCAATAACAAATTTGTGATGACGTTATCAACATGGATAATACTAGGCACAAAAGAAAAGTAGTCACAGCGTTATACCAGTGCAAGGAAAAAAAAGGAGACGGCCAAAAAACGTTGTGGAAATTTTAATGAAATCTACAGACTTCAGATAAACATGACTGAACATTGTTCACCTCGTCAATGAAGTTAATAACATTTATCATCACTTATATATTATTTGCTGAAGTGAGCCATATTCGTGAAAACATACGTTTTACTACCTTAATGTACTCTGTTTCATTTGTGCCTCGTAAAATTTTATGGTTGATAATGATCTCGTTACAATGGGAAGGAAAATGGGTAACCGACAAGATTTATGGCTTGAGTATGTGCTAGTATATCTATTATATACTAATATGGGTCGGACTTTTCTGCAAATTAATGAGAGGTTTTCCAGGTTTACCAACGATAAACAAATGAGAAACTAAAATAGTACAAAAATTATAAATACACCTTCAACACTAAAATTTTTACCCAATTCAATTTCAATATTTATTTGTTTAATGTACTGTCTTGTCATAAATTATCAATTGCGATTAAAACTGAAGAAAAAATTTCATAAAATTTGATGAAGTAGAAGTGAAACGGACAAAGTAAGTATACACAGAAAAAAATCTTCATTGGCGACAAAATCGTGCCCATTTTCAGCGCTGAACAATTTAAACGTTATTTCACTACTTTGACTATTTTTTTATGTGTAAATAGCGCTCTAGAAATGTTTATGGGTGCAATAAAAAACGCAAACTGTAAATAATTTTTAAACATTTATTTAGCGACAAAATTTGGCATCCACCTATATTTGTATGTGTATAATGAATCAGATTATGGTGCATTACACACAATAAAGTTTTCGGAAAAATAATTATCATAACTCACTGTAATTTTGACAAAACATTACGCACATTTATACCGTATAGCGTGTAATGTTAAAATAAATATGTGTTAGTTAATTTTTTCCACGTTCACAATAAACTAAAATTAATAAATCGACTCTGAAATTTATGTGTAGTTAGTTAATAGCAAAATAAATGATTCGATAAAAATGTAAATTAATTATTGTTGCGATAAAGAGGGATTTAATTTTAGTTTTTTCGTAACGGATATACACTTACTATTTCTTATTACAAAAATAAACCAACATTTTTTGATAAAGCGTCGCTATAAATTTAAAATGTTATGAAAAAGATAAACAAATTTTATTTCTGACGTATAGTAGATACGTAGGTAGGTCTATCCTGCCAAGATACGTAGTAGTTATCTTTGAACACATAAATTTTGTAAAATCAAAATTTATTCCAGAATGGTTCAATATTTTGTTCGATTCGAGTGGACTCCCCCTGTTTACGCAGATTTTATGCAGAAACAAACTGTATTTCCTTTCATATAGATATTACACATGTCGCCATACACCTCTCTACCTCAGTCAACCCGGGGTGAGCGTCATCTACGCACAGGATCTCCATATAAACGACGTCATTATCCTGCGATAGTCCTGACCGCCTTATCCTTTACAGCGGCAAAATCATAAAACTTAACCTTAATTTACTATATTTCTTTTAGGAAACCGTTCCCTCCTACTTATGGAAATTTAATGACCAATTCCCCCAATTTGCCCAAATAATTGCCACTTTTTAGCTATTAAATGCAAATGCTTCATAATGCTTATTCCGAAATAAAATATTAATTTCCAACTTTTTCAAGATCGTTAACGACTCAAATGTGTTGTGCGTGCATCTTCACCACGCAAAAAGAAACTGTTGCATAATTGCGTCATTTTGAATGGCTCATTTATCTCGAGCTTTATGCTAATTTATCAAGACGTTGCGGAGATATGCAAAGATCAGATATTCGAAACGGTTCGGGACGACAATAATCCATAAGTAAAATCTACGATAGGATCGTGAACAATGAGATAGTGACGATTTCTTATTCCCGCTGACACTGCACTTAAGTATTCAGAAAGTACCACAAATGTAATACCCTTACGTGCCTTTGTCTCTACACCACATCCGATTGCTGCAATAAATTTTCTAAGGCTTTATTTCGCGATATTAGGATAATGTTATTACTCTGCTAAATTAATATAAAAGGGAATCACCTCCATTCCGACAAAGCGGACAAACTATTGTATATATCTTGTTATGTGATCCCCAGCGATAATTTACATATAAGGGTCACACGAGGGTGTAAACTATCTGACCACATCGATTTACGAGCCTATTTACACGACGCCGCTGGTCCGATAATATTATGGAGAACTGTTAATGCACACGCCAAAACCACGACACCAGGCAACAGCTAAATTATACGCTACGTCAATGAACTTCATTTGGTGCCATTAAACGGATATTTGAAGTACACTTGAGAAAAATGAATAGGCAAACTGCCAAAAACAATTTCAACCGGAAAGATCTATTTTTGACTTAGTCGAGCAGATGGGGCTATGACTGCCTTGTAGATGTCAATCCTAGTCATTACAAAAAAATCACTATGAAAATTTCGACATACTCGTAGTAATAGCGATTGATTAAGAACGCGTCCACCACTATTATTAAAGTTGCCGAAATTTGTAACAAATAGTAAGTATAAATACCGAGTCATAAAGTAATTAAGTTTCAGGAAATCTGTACAACTTCGGGTTACTTAAGTCATTTTGATTTAGGCAAATATAAACACCACATTATGTTACACTGAATACAGCCATTGTAGTGTTATTTTCGCATAGTCAAATACTAATATTCAATAATGGATATACAAAAAGACGACAAAAATTAAAAAAACGAATTTTATTAATTCACATAAATATACTTTCAAACTTTCAATGTACTTGTAAAAAATACCTGATACATATGTAGGCACATCTTTATCCGCCATGAAGGGTGGATATAAATAGTATTCTATCGTTTTCTTGTATAACATAATTTACAGTATCCTAAAATAAAAAATATATATTTTCATAAACATCTTCAATAAATTTAAATAATTACCATTAATTCCCAGTCTGTATCATTGATTAAAACTAAAATTCCAGGTCTCCTGAAATAAACATGAAGCAATTACATATTTCTAACACAATATTATCATCTAGTAGATTAGCAAAAAAAGGTAAGACACGCCGGCGATAACAAACTATAAATATGAAGGTAAGCGAAGGTAAATGTTGCTGCCTCGGTGGGAACCGAACCACACGCCACCCGCTTGCCGAGCAGGTATCCTGACCACTAGACCACGAGGCGGCTTATCTTTCTCCGCTTACCAACGTGTTATTCTGCCGCCATAGATGTAGACAATTTGTGATTTACAAAATCACAGTGTGAGTGAGTAGTCAGAATTACATAACAGTATTAATATTATCCTTTCACGATATTTTCGACGTAAAGTAAGCATTGATATTTTTTCTTCATGTTGGACAAACTGCTTTGATGGTAGTTTTCGTCTATCAGTAGTCTGACATAATTCTCCTGTATTTACTTCAAGTTGGTTTGCCAGTTTTCTACTTCATTTATCATATATATGATCCAACAAAAATCCTCTAGTGAACTCTATTTTTAAAATAACGATGTTGTCATTGCAGCTATTTATATGTCTTGTTATCGGACTGGGACTTCGTAAACGAAGAGTTGTGTATTCTGTAACCGCTTGTAAGCAAGAATATCTGGTCAAATATCGTGATTTAACAATTCAAGAAACATCGTTAGAGGCTCACATCAAAGATGTAATCAACAGATTTGTTCCAACTGGCAGTGTTAACAAAGAGAAATCTCGTGGAAGACGTTTAGTATCTTAGGAAGTTGTTGATGATTTGAGACGACTTGAGCAGAATCCGCAAACATCTTTGACAATATTTCCTCTGCAGTCAGGACTTTCTGTTTGAACATAAAATTGAATAATGGGTCTTGACGAAAGGATTACAGAACATTTTTGAAATTAAAAAGAGAGTGAACAGAATTTACTGCCGTTTGAAAATGAATATCAGTTAAAACTAGTTCTAACCAGATAAAACTTTTTAATAAATAAATAAACACTAACGACGTGAATGTGTGACCAAGAATTATTAATGAATATTTTAAAAAGCAATACATGCATTTTTTTTAATCCTTTTAATTTAACTTTTAACTGAATCATTTCGACAAAACGCGTTTTGTCTGGTCAGAACTAGTTTTAACTGATGGTCATTTTTATAAAGCAGTAAATTATAGTTGTAACAAAGGCGTTTAGTCAAAACTAGTTTTAACCAGAGAAAACGCGTTTTAACTGAGAACGGGATAGAGATACGAGGTCCCCTAATATTCATTACTAAAAATATAATTCTTTTTGATTTGGTAAATGCCGCTACTTTGCAGAAGAACCGTCACAAACCCCGATTTGCTAAGACTAAACAAGATTAACAAAATATGAACAAGAAAAGTCACTGTCACCAAATGGAAAAAAACGATTTCTAGTGCGCAGGTTCACCCATGGCCGACTAGTATAAAGATTATGGCCTGTCCAAGAGGTACGATACGTGCTGCCATCTATTAATAATTACACTTAATAATTTAGCCAAATTTTAATTTGACTTGACATTATGGGACTTCAAAACGTGTAATGGTGGTTTGTTTCGGTATGAATGCCTTTGTGCCTTTCAAAAAGTGTTAATAATTCTTTTGTCGCTTTTGAATTATTAATAGATGGCAGCACGTATGGTACCTTTGGCATTCCTTTGGACAGGCCATAATCTTTATACTAGTCGGCCATGGTTCACCAAAGTGTACTGACAATATAAAGCTGTATCGCATTGTTCTATCTTTGTTTGTTGTAAGCATACATCACATTTCTTAAAACGGACGTTTGTCGTCACTTATTTCATAGACATTTTCACCGTTCTAACCGTTCAAATGCCAGACAAATTTACACTTAGAAGTCAATACAATTTGACGTCTTTTGAATTATTTTGTTCGGCGTAGTGCAAGTGGTTTAAACAAACAAAAAAAAAACAAATGAACAAATGACAGTGACATTAATGTCTTATTCCCATTGGTTTTATTGATCTATGATGACTTGATTTGCTCATATTGTCCCTTTTTCTTAATCAAAAATATTAAGTATTTTGTAACTTAAAAATCAAAATACAAAAAATTTAATTTTATGAAAAGAAAATACTTTGCGATGAATTTTACCTTGCGAGCAATTGAATATGGAACAAATTTACGTGTGACCAATTTTGCCAACATAAAATTTTAAAATATACAAATAGATATACGAGAGAGCAATAAAAAACACAATCAAAGACAGCCTTGGATTTTTGAAGATGTGTCTTTGATCGTTACATTTTCAACTTTCAAATTGGCGGTAACCTGAAGAAAATTCTAGACAAATCTTCACAAATCCATGGCTATATTTGATCGTGTTTTTTATTGCTCTCTCGGTATATCGAATGTCCTGTTTTACTTGTTCCACTTTAACATCCGTTGTTTGAACATGTTTGAAATTTAGAACGGTTAATTGACACAAGGAACTGTATAAAATGAGCAGACTATGTTACTAGTATGACATCGCTTTTGCATTTTTCGTACATGACATCAACTTTTTCTCTTCAAATACAACAGAGTATGTTTTTCAAGTAGAATATTTTTCAATTTTTCATTTGGTTTTAAATGTTTTAGTGGTTTAAAAAGTTTTGAAATAACGACATCCGTATCTACCAGTTTACCTCTAATATCTCGGATATTTGAAAATATTTTACCTTGAAATTTGAAATTAAGTGATATTAAAAACAAAAATGGAAAACTGACTATCGTTATCGTTAACGCTATGCATATACATACACTGGTTTCAAGTTTTGTGGCAAATGACATCTACTTTTTTTATTTCAAATGAAAAGGAACATGTTTTTTAAATGTTTTTTATTAATATACATATCTTCTTAAACATGTTTTACATTCTAAAATGCAATCTTTTTTAAAATTTTGTTTTTTGAAATAATTCAAACATTGCAGTGAAACAAGTAAACTGGTACGCCACAGTTTAAAAAAATTTAGAATATTTTATTATAAAACACACCCAGTCTGCTTAAACAAATAAGTTGAAGTCATTTCCGGAAACATCAAAGGTGACCCAACGCTAATATACTCCCTTTAAACATTTTTTTCTGTTAATTTACCTTTCCAAATTTCAAAATTTTGTCTCGGCTTTGGTAACAGATTTAGAATGGAATTTACAAACGAAGACGCCGTCAAAAGTTGATGTTATTCCCGGTAAAACCCTTCTCAATTGTAAAGTTCAATTTTTTTATAACTATAGTACATTTGAAGTGGTAAATCATTACTGTCTGAATCTGGCCAACAAGGAAAAAAATTTTTGCATTACAAATTGCTACTCGCAGTAAAATACTTAACTTAATTAAACACTAGTTGAATAACCTAATGAAAAAAATATAATATATATTAAAAGCTTACACTGATTCATCCTGTAAAAACAATTCTGGTCTCTCTTTTAACAAGTTATCCTTGATCCAAGTCAACAAATCTTTAATTATCCCTGTAACAAATGCACATTAGTAAGTAATTTTACTATGAAAATATTCCGCATAAAAAATAAAGCAGGTTTCACCTTAAAATTATTTAAATTGATAACACAAATGAGTTTAAAATACTTTTATTTGTAGAACACACGTGTTTTAGCACACAGTATATTCAATAGTTCACTCACTTAATAAAATATTTAATTTCATCTATTAATTTCACACAGTTAAATGACCAAACAAAAATAAGCAGAATATCACTGTTAAACCCAAAATTGTAATACCCCATCCTAAATTTAATTTAAACACCCACAACCATCTTCTACAAATACAAATATTTTAAATTCATTTGTGCTTTAAATTCAAAGGTTTAAAAGTTTTATGTACACAAAAAGAAAACCTGAAAAAGATAAATATCACTGGAGAGTAAACAGAGCATTAATTAACTGCTAGTACATATTTAAAGATGGGGAATAATTATCCGGTAGTGCTTCCAAGTAACTCGGATCTGTGAATTCCCAAAGAATGAGAGAGTGATCAACAAAATTATCAATATTTAACTGTTTTATGGTACTCTAACTAATTATTTAAGAGTATTAAAAAAGTCTTATTCTTACAATGCTTTTCTTTGGCCGGTAAAGTCACAGGGTGGGCCTTTTTGTTGTCAAACAACAATTCTGCGCCTCCACTACAAAAAATAACATATATCATAATAAATAAAGACAAAATATTTTCACCTACCCGAATTCCACTGTGATGTGAATATTCGACATATTAAATGGCAAAAATTAAAGAATCTTGGTTTTGAAAGTAATAAAACTAACCTCACTTATAACAGCCGGGCTGTTATTGTCAACACGCAGGGCTACCTTCCTGAACAAAAATTACTAAAAGCTCTAAATAGAAACATGATAAAAATTGTTATCTATTAAGAACATTAATCAATTTATAGCCCGGTCTAATTGTTACTTTGTGAATAAGAAGCGACATTTTTAAATACAATTCGCGTAATATTAAAAACAATAATTAAATTATTTGTAAAATCAGTACTACCAATGTCACTGATGTACAAATAACTATGCCCTAAGCCACCAACCAAACTTCATATTCGTGTTTTGTCTTTCAATATAGGTTATGTTTTTGTCTGTTAAGTTTGTTTTATAAATACAGCGTGCAATTAGTTTGTTCCACAGATCAGACCATTATAAAATACAAAAACCATGGACGAAGAATATGACGAAAGAACCTGGGATGGGGTCGATCGTTTGGATAATGAGGTAAGTAATTTAATTCATAAAATGATTATTTAGTAAAATACAAAATAGTTTAATGAATGCCATCACTCTTTCAGTCAGAAATGGGCGAAGAGGCTGAAAATCCGGAACTAGTTCTTAAAGAATGCGCAGAAAAATTTTCAACTTCTGACTACATAATGGAACCCGGGATTTTCTCTCAATTAAAACGGTATTTTCAGTCTGGAGGAAACCCTTTGCAGGTCATTGAAGAATTATCGCAAAATTACACAGCCGTAGCGCAAATGGCGAACTTAATCGCCGAGTGGCTCATCACAGGAGGTGTAAATGTAACAACTGTGCAAGCTATGGTTGAAAATCACTTAAAAGAGATGATTTTGAAAACATTTGACCCCAAGAAAGCGGACACTATTTTCACGGAAGAAGGAGAAACGCCAGCTTGGTTGACTCAGTTGATTGAACACCCAACGTGGCGATCGTTGATTTATCGATTAGCAGAGGAGTATCCAGATTGTCTTATGCTTAACTTCACAATAAAAGTAAGTTAGAAACTCTGTATGAAAGATGTTACATTGAACCATTTTAGTTGATATCTGATGCTGGCTTTCAAGCTGAAATCACAAGCATATCTACTGCAGCCCAGCAACTGGAAGTATTTTCAAGAGTTTTGAAAACTTCAATAGCTAGTTTTTTAACAAACCCTGAAGACTGGCAAAACACAAGTCGGGAGTGTGCTGTATGTACTCATTTTTAATTTATTTAACCACTGACATATTTTTTACAGAAAATGGTGTGTCATGGACAACACACTTATGTATATAGTCAAGTGATTATCCATGTTTTGGCTCGTGAATCTAAAGGTGGTAGTAGTATGAAAAGGTTGTCGCAAGAAATTACCAAATGTGCCCAAAAAAAGTTTGTCTTTTGCGTTGTACTTGGTACAATTTTATTTTGACTGTTTTAATTTCAGTGGCAATGATGTTACTCCAATCACAATGGCGCTAAATGGAGCATCAGCCTATCCCCAAGCGTGTCAAGCGTTAACTTCTATGCTTTCTAAAAATACGTTGAATCCAGCAGATATTACAGTATTATACAGGAATTACAATGCACCAGATCCACCACCAATCGATCTGCTTAGAACGCCACAATTTTTAGAACTTTTAGTAGATGCTCTGTTTAAGCCTGGAGTGAAACTTAACCCTGATCATAAGCCAAAATATATCCACCTTCTTGCTTATGCTGCCAGTGTTTTTGAAATACAGGCAAAAAAAGGACAAAAACGGGTGGTCAATAGAGATGAACTTCAAGCAACCATTCATTCCATTGAAACAGTTCATAATATTTGTAACACTAATAAAGGAAGTTCAGAACTTATGGCTGAGCTGGCAACAATATATCAGTGTTTAAAGTGAGTAGTGCAGTTAATGTACCAACAGTTGTTATTAATGTGTTTTTAAGGTATCCTGTGGTGTCAGTGGGAATCATAAGATGGGTGGAGTGCACAGTAACTGAACCTAGTTATTTTAAATTGTCAACTGAGCATACTCCAATACACTTGGCTTTGTTAGATGAAGTAGTTAGTTCTCATCCACTGCTACACAATCAAGTTCTTGACCTATTAATTAGGTTATTTGAGTCAAAACAGGATGAGCTAGAAATTTTGGTGCAAGTAAGATAGTTCTTTTTTGTATTTACATCTAAAACATGTAGTTTGTTGTAGCTTGAAATGAGAAAAATGGTTCTTGACAGGATGGTGAATTTATTATGTTCTGGCTGTGTGGTTCCTGTGGTAAAATATATTAAACAATGTTGGCAGAAAGGTGATACAGATATTTCACTAATCAGATATTTTGTGACAGAAGTAAGTACACATTAGGTTTAATTTTGTAATATTTATGAGTTTGTTAAGGTCCTAGAAACAATTGGGCCTCCATATAGTTCAGAGTTTGTGCACTTATTCATGCCCATGGTGGAAAATGATGAAATAACTGGAACAATGAGAGGGGATGGAGAAAATGACCCTGTATCAGAATTTATAGGTAATTTAAATCACACTCACGTCATTTGTCAATAATATGTAATTTCTTTTTAGTTTACTGCAAAGCTAATTACACTGCGGTAGTGTAATAACATTCACTTATTTATAGGAATATTTAAGTTGTAAAAATAAAAGTTTACATCTATGATGGCTTTCTCTTTATAATATACCCAATCTTTAATAAAAAATCGCCCCCTATTCATACAATCTTAACTTATTCATCTTCAGCTTCAACAATCTCCTTTTTCTTCTTCTTTTTTTTCTTTTCAGAGACAGGTTCTTCAACAACTTCAGGTTGTGGCTCTAGGTGTTTCTTTTTCTTCTTTTTTTTCTTTTCAGGACTAACCTCTTCCTCTAGTTTAATTTCAACTTCTTCCACCTTAATTTCCTCTACTTCTTGCTTCACCTTCTTTTTCTTCTTCTTCTTTTTAACGATTTCTCCATTTTCATCTGCAGCATTTACACTATCCTCCTGCTCGACAGGAGTTTCAAAATCAGCACCAACTTCTGTCTTAATTTTCTTCTTTTTCTGCTTAGGAGTGTCTTGAGTCGAATTTAAAGTGTCCTTTGTTTCTGAATCTAACCTCTTCCTCTTTGATGTAGACGGTAATGTTGAATCTGCCGCAGCCGGATACTGTTGACCCTCTGATGTGCCCTGATATTTTTCAAACTTAGCTTTAGCTTTCGCTGTCCCACTTATCCTCCTTAAATTGCCCTCTTCCAGTATCCTCAGGCGAGCTTCTAACTTCGCTTTGTGTTCAGCTCCTAAAGTAAAATTGCCATCTTCTCCCAATGCATCGACGCGTGTAGCTAAAGCCGCTTTCGCCGCCAACATTCGAGACATTTTACCTTTATTTTTCGTACTACTCTGTCCAACCAATTGAGCGTGATAAATCAAACCATACTTAGGAGTGTCTTTCTTTGTTTTGAGGGCCCTAAACAACGCTTTTTCAGCGCCTAAAATTTGTACTGTTGAAGCTGGATGTTTCGCTAAATTAATCAATGACCCCGCATGGGAAATCAGTCGCGCTCCAACCAAATCTCCCACCAACGTTGTCAAATTGGGGGCCATTGCCATCATCCTTGCCCTCAAGTAGTCATACAACTGACTACGATAATTTGAAATTTCAATAACTTGGTCACACAAGTTCTGTATATTCATGATGTCATCGTCTGAAATCTCTGTTCCCATTGATATTTCAGCTGCTTCTTTAACTCTCTCCTCTACTTCCTCAGGAAGAATATCTGACAAATCTGAACTACTGGTATTATCACGGGTTCCAATTATTTTCACGGTCTTAACGAAAGTTACATTGTCTGTAATAATTTTACCAAGTTCAGGAAAATGCCAACCATACCACTCACGACACCTCATTATGTAATTGTTCAATTCTTTGTCTAGATCATCAAGCAAGGATACAGCTTGAACTATCATAGTATCAATTTTGTCTGGTGAAAATTTCAACTTGTACCGTGATAACGAATGGGCCAAACCTAACGCCATTGCGGTCATTTCCTTTTTAGGTAACCCCGTGATGAGACTGTCGAGTTGCGAACGAATGCACCGCATAAGCTCCTGAACTGCGGTATTTGAAAGACATTGTAGATCAAATTTTTCCTTAATAGCAGATCCTAATTTTGCATCAGCAACTAAAAGCTTATCCTGCAACTCTTTATCGATGTGTTTTTTCAAGACTTTCTTTAAACTTTTTGAAATTTTTCCCTCAACTGCTGCAGTTGTTGCTGCTAAAGCCTCGGTGGTGTCTTGAAACTTTTCGAAGTGTTTTAACTTAACTCTAAAAAGTGGATCATAAATTTATTGTTTTAGACAATATAAGCATACTTACACCCTCCCCGCCGATTCTGGCGAATTGAAGTCATGATATAAATTATCTACCTCCCGGAGCTTACTTTCGTCTAGAAGCTGAAAGCATGGAAAATGTTAGGTTATGTCTGACAACAATAAAAAAAATATTACTTTAAAAAGTGCGTAACCCGCCGCCGTTTCAAATAGGACCAGCATTGTTACAACACCGTACAATAGTCAACTTGCAAAAATATATCACTTATTTTTTAATTACCAAACGCCGGTCACAAACACAACTGTCACAAAACGCTCATGTTTGCCGGAAACGGAAAGAACCAAGAAATCACTAACGCAATGCTGCCATCTACACGATCTAGACACTAATATCCCTGCTCTGAAAAAGTACACTCCCTCACAAAACACCAGCACTCCCTGACGTACACTAGCTGACGTCAATAATAATAATAAAACTACAGGATAATGGAGGGGAAAATGTTCGACCCTCCTGGGCACGGCCATATATAACAGGTCTGCGAACTCCGAGTTTAAAATGGTCTTTTTTCGAAGAGATCCCAGAAGGCCACGGGAGCTTAAAGTTCCTAGCGCCGTCTACTGGATACTATGATGAAACTGTCCACAATTATGAATGAAATTTGCGTAAAAATGTCCTTGAATGCAAGTTGTCATAAATGTCAGCTTTATAGGTTAGGTTTTGTGACATCTTTTTGAAAGATGAGGGGAAATATACGTCAAATGTCATGTCAAACGTCAGTCGATAGCGCAAATAGTACAAGTAACTACCACATGGTGGCGGTCATCTTAAGCTCCCACAACCTACTACGATACCAGTTTTTAAGCGCCCGTTTTATGAAAATTTATGAATGGAGTTGAAACACCTTACTTATACCACCGTGCTCCTGGGTCTGCAGTAGCGGCACGTAGCGGTGACTCATGGTAGAAGGAGACATGGTATAGGCATACGCATCGGGTGTGACGTCAAGTGGGGTGAAATTAGCGCGAAATTTAAAATACAAACTTTCGTTATCCGACAACTAATTGACGTATTAGGCAGAGCGATGACAACTCAAGCTGAAATTCCCTAGACTTCCCTAGCGAAGCTCACAAGAGTCACAAGGTCGTTGATGCCACCTAACGTCACAAATGGATGCGCAGACCATTTTTAAATTGGTACATCGGATGCCTATACCATGTCTCCTTCTACCATGGCGGTGACTATTTCACATTAAGTATGAGTATGAGTAAAATTAAAAGAGAACAACTTGTAAAATATTATTCTGTAAAAAAAATATGCGAGAGTCTTTTTTCGATAATTCAACCGAAATGTCAAATATACAGTGATAATTCAATCACATAAAAATATGTTATTAATTAATTTGTAATTAATATTAATTATAATTACAAATACCTTTTCGAACGAAAACTGCAGTGGTTCGTGTCTTCCCTGTTTCAAAGAACTCCCGGTGCTTGTTTTTTTTTGCTTGAGGAAAAACTTATGCGATTTACATAGAACAGAGTTGTAATACCCTTAAATCTTTGTTGTTTTTTTTTTATTTGGGAAAAGCGTATTTACATAAAATCGAAACGACAGAGCATGAGCAAAAATTAAATTCTGGCGTAGGTACTTAATGTGGTGTTAGCGGCTTAGTTTCATTTGCATTTTAGACGTTTTATTAGAAGATGATGTATTTTAAGAAATAAATAATACAACTCACACTTCTCTTTAATAATTCTTTTATACATTCTTGACAACGCCATTAATTTTTTAACTCAACACGAATTCATAAACTACAAGTGGAAGAGTATGATACTGTAAAAAATAAAATTTAAATAACATTTACTATTGTAAAAGTTGGAGATGACGTTTACACTCGTTGGTGGGGATGATCGGATAAATTTTGGATAAATTTTATCATTTTCACAAGATACCTAATATTATATAGATATACAACATCTGACAACAATCGGTTCGTTCGGTAGTTTAGAAGATTATCTGTCTAACAAAAATCGACACAGACGCGGATAGACGGCAGACGACAGATGGCAGACGGCTGATAGACAGTCGTAAACGAAAGTTTTCGTATTTTAGGGGTCACAAAACGTCGAGAAAACATAAAAGTAGCAAATCACCCGATGGACTCGATTACATATAGCACCAGATTAGGTTTTAAATATATTTCTTATCAACCTAGAGAACGAATTAGCGTATTATTTAGATAAAGTAATGGATTAATTTAATAGTAATGTACAGCGTGTTATTGAAAGGTACGTACAACAAAATTGACAGTTATTCGCCAAGTCTAAGAAGTCGGAAAAACTTATTTTGTGTTATCAAAATTATAAGGGGAAAATTAACCCTTATCCAACCTTTTTAGACGCAACTGAAGGATAAATACAGTAGCGGTCATTTCTACGGAACCACTCGATAAAAAGTCAAGTTGATAGCCCTGTCATCTAGTACTTTACGCCGAACGCGGTTGGTAGCGGTAGTTGATATGGCAATCGAAACTAGCACAACACGAATGTTTCAGTTGCCCTCAGTTATGCCGCACTGTATCCTGTGCAGACTGTATGTTCTGTTCATCTGTTTATTAAAATAAAATATCTACACTGACAATGGGGCCATCTAACCTGTCAAATTTTTGACACCTATGTTTTCCCCCAGAAACCCGTCAAGGTCACTTACACCAAACAAATTTTGAAAATTTACACTAGGGAGTGGTTCTATAGAAAAGATCGCGACTTTAGGTAAAATTCCGGCGGAGTATAAGAAGTATACTAAACTCACTTGACATACACCTTGTAAAACTTTTATGACTTAAGCGACTTGATCCAAACCACCCTTACAAGTCAAACTGGCTATTATAAGCTTTATGGACCCGAACCGCACAAATTATTGCTGTCCATTGTTGCCATAATGGAGCTGTAAAGTTTTACTAGGTATATGTGAACTGAGTTAAGTTATACAATAGTCAGTTTGACTTATAAGGGTGCTTTGGCTTCAGCCGCTTAAGTCATAAAAGTTTTACAAGGTGTATGTCAAGTGAGTTTAGTATACTTATGCGCCGCTCAAACACGCTGTCATAGAAATGACACTTAAACCCCGGTAACAATAACGTCATATAAGTGTCAATAGTATGACGTTTGAAAATAAATACATATATCTATTTAATCAATTGCCGAGGTGAAAGACCATTGATTTGATCCTTTGAACCGGACGTTGAACTTTCTACTACTGACAAAAATAGCTTTATTTTACTTATATTCCGTCATCTCCAATATTTTATTCACAATTAAAAAATGTCCGAAAATTTAAGGGAATAAGGTCACTTCCATCATGTGATAGTTTTTTCACCTTAAATACTTCGATACAACTCTTTTGAAGTGGTATATACCTAAAGATGACCAACTTTCCTAAAGACACAAGCGAGACAGGAGAACCCCCATCAAAACAAAAAAATCTATTCTTGAAATGTAATATACCGACTTCAAATAAAAATAACTTACAAAATGTCTCAGCTAAAACTCCGACTGGCTGCTTTCACATTTTCTCGTATTGACCCCTAAAATACAGAAACATAGGTCTGCCGTTTTCGTCTGTCTATCTGGCTGTCTGTCTGTTTGTCTGTCTGTCCACCGTCCGTATAAATTTTTGTTAGACAGCTATTCTCCTAAACTACCGGACCGATTGTTGTAAAATTTTACATGCGATGACGTCACCTCAAAATTGCACATAGTAAATGGGTTTAAAATTGTATAAAATAACATTGGAATAAATCAAAATTATGTAATAACATTCTACAATTTAATTTTGAAACTGCAAAACCGAATGCTCTGAAATCTTGTCGACGTTTTAAAGTTATCGTAAACATGGTAAATTTTTGACCAAAAAATATTTGTTTGTTCCCAAAAAAATGTTGACATCATCTCAAAATTTTACCGAATAAATGCTACCTAAAATGTGCAAAATATGATGAGTTTATACTTATCGTTTACCACTGGATTCACATTTTTTCGAATTGCTTATACAGGTGTCTTAAAAAAATAATGAATGAATCAGTTTATTTTATTGATTAAATCAGAATGAATTCACTCCATTTGACCGAAAATTTGGGAATACAACACTGTTATTATTAGTATTACATTCAGTGTTGAGTACTCTAATAAATATATTTGTATATGAATAAATTATCTAGATAAATATTTGGTTACCTATTATCTGTATATAGATAAAATCAAATTTAATCACAAAATATCTGCATCTAGATAAAAAATAAATGCCACAGATACAGATACATCTTTTTTATTTGACGTTTTTTTAATAGTTGGTAGTTTAGTTATTGTAATAGTAATTTTGGTATTTCATGTTGATGATGGTGGTTCCATACACAAAAATACAGGTATAGCTGCTTTCAAAATAAGAGAGTAGAACTACTTGGAAAACTGACTTGACTTTTAAGGTTTTCCAACCCTAAGCGGTAGATGGGCCAATAGAAATGATTGACAGCTTCTACCAGGTATAATGGATTAAGCTTATGGCCCTATTATGATATCCAAAAATTCAAGTTAGTTTTCCAGGTAGTTTTACTTTCTTATTTTGAAAGCAGCTATAAGAGGTCTACTAATAGTATTCTGTGACTAATACTAAGCCATTTAATCAAATGTTTACCGAAACTCTCATATTTTATATACCTACCATCATTTTTATTATATTGTAGCCTTCAGTATTATCCATTTTTAAAGATAATCCTGAAGAGTAATAAATCTGAGGTCCATTAATACTAAGCAATGGTAAGATGGTATTTTAAATACCATAAACCATTATTCACGATTCACTGAATTTTGCAATAAACCCTTGTAGAAGCAACGCATTTTAATAAAGTACGACGGAAGATATTTGCAAACGCCGTCAATTACTTTATGAGGGGTCTTTAGTACTTTGGACCGCAACCTGCAAAAAAACCATTACGAACCCTTCGCAACGGAGGTACGACTTCAGCCAGAGCCGGACTTCAAATTTTGGAGCGTTCTATATGAATCATGGTACAGTTAATTTTTATTGGAATTTTTCTAGGAAATATGTATTTGCAAACATTTAAAAAGTTTTAAGGGGCACACTTTCATGTGTCCTTAAATTTTAAGATTAAATTCCTTGCAAGCGGTCTGTTTAACAATCTACCTGTTCACGTACTGAAACAAATACGGTGTTGGAAAGGTAACGGTGGAGAGTAATCTTGATTGACAGTTTTATGGTGGGTGCACTTTCCGAAGTGGTCGGAAATTTTACAGCTGCAATTCCCATAATTGGAGTCATTTGCAAATATCTTTCGTCGTATAGTAGCTGTCACAATAAGCTGAACGCCTCAAGCGCTCAATAAACCCCTAACCACAGCTTATAGATGCAATAAATTTGGGCCAAATGTCGCGTACCATTCAGTTAGTACTTAAATAAGAGATATGCTGTGCTCAAACAGTGGAGAGTAATAAAAATTACAACCATCCTAATCACTTCAATGAGTGGCAGCACGACCGCGCCCCAGGCAGCATTCGGTCTAATTTGACGGCCACAATACAATAGGTACATTGTTATGTCTTTCTTATTCCGAGGCGTGAGCGATAGAGGACAAGAAAACAGTTTGCTCTTCTACTGCCAACTGAAGGACGTTTTTTATTGATCACACCTTAACTAAGAAAAGTGAAAAGTATTGGTTGTATTTGAATTCTGCATTTCCACATGGTGTAGAAGAATCTACAAATTATTCCGTAGAACCAAGTACTCACTAATCAAGTTTGTGTGATTGACTTTAAGCTGAACACTTTTGATAAACCTCCCTTAAAGCCTATCACCGAAAAACATAACGTAGAGATGATAATGATAAGTTACCCTCATTATCTTTTCAATCAGTTTCGACAATTACCTCCTAAGAATTTATTTGCATTTGTAATTTTTCCGTCAGTACATATTCTAAAGTTTAGCGGTGGAGAGGGATGTTTTTAATGTATTCATCAATTTATGATGGAATTATTAGCCGTACTTACTTCTTAAAACCCATCCAGAAACGAATTTTCTCACAAATATTTACTTGATGGTGGAAAAGATTTATTTATCTGTGATTATTTTTCAGCAAAATTATATGTACTCAGTGAGACTAGATCGTGCTAAAATAACTCACAGGGTTAAATTTCTGCAACTTTGAAAGTATGAAATCACAGTCATATTGGCTAATTTTTACAAAAATTTGAATCTCATGTAATATGGGTATTAATAGCTAATTAGAAACTAAACTTGAAAACAATGAAACTCACAATTACTAAAAGGAGAACTAGAATTTCATGAAGCATGTTCAAGAAAAGGATAGCAGATAAGAGTACGAAAAATATACTTGAGACTTAAAAATTTGATTTTTTCCGTTTTATTATTGCATTATTCCACAGTGCTTATTGGAAAGATTTATTAAGAAATAAAACTGTAATATCAATAACAATTCATTCAACTATTATTCCAGTCTGTATTGTATGTTACTATTCGGCGTAATTAAAATAACAAGAATTTGGATGGTCTTTAATGAATTTTTCAACGTCGCTGAACACGAAATGAACACGATTGTCTACCTACCCTCAAATCGATATGGCAACGCTGCTTGCGCAGTTGCGTACCTAACGATGTGTGGGTCTGCGCAGGTTGCCACAACGTCAAAAATTCCGCGCGAAATGATCTACTTTACCAGGGTCTCGAAATGATGGACACCTATATGTAACCAATTATACACATACGCCTGATAAAGTAGATAAAGATGTGAACGAATATTATTTTTAACGCGTATTACTTCCGATATATTTATTTTTCCATGGATTTATGCTCTAATAAAATTATTTCACAACTACCAATATAACATTTTTTATTTGTTGCATGCATACGGTAAAACAAGTAAAGTAATTGCAACCGACAAAAACAAATCTCAAGCACATTACAATTTAGGGCTTCATTTTGAAAATAAAAGACTATGCGTTTTCAAAATAATTGCGACTAACCAATCGATATTCGAAAAACGCTTTTTTTATCATTTTTGGACCATTCCATTTTCCACTAATCAAGTACGCGTCTCCGAAAACAAAACCCGAAACGGGCCGAAAACGGAAAAATCAGTAAATAAAAAGCCAACCCCTCGCCACCCTCTCGTCACGTTAAAAAACCAAACAAACTCAATAAATAATTATCGGCAAAATTATAGATTCGGAAAAGTACGGTTCAATACCAAGAGAGTCCGTCATCGTCGCGCTGCCCTTGGGGCGAGCATTGACATGCGCACTAGTGACCAGTGCTCAGAAATCATCGTTCGGTGTAATTTGTGCTGGTGTCTCCGATGTTCTAAGTAAATCGCGTAGTTTCCTGCATCCGATAAGGCACAGCCCGCCGCCAACCTCCCCCGAACTCGCGTCCGAGGCTATGCGACGGCGGCAGACCGCGGCCTCCAGCTAGCACGTCCTCTGCAGACAATACGGTAGGTGGCGACAACGCGGGGTTCCTGCACGTGCAATGCCGGCGTCCACCCTGGAGCCCGTCAACGCGGCCCTGCGTTCGGCCCTCGGCAAGGGCGACGACGGCGCCCTCGACGATCAGCTGGCGGGCGCCTCCAAGAAGGCGCTGCTGGCAGACGTCGACTTCGAGCCGGCCGGGAGCTACCAAAGCACCGTCTTGGACAAGCTCAAGTCCAAGTACATCGTCCTCAAGAGCGCGGAAACCCCCCAGCCGAGGTAGGTGACCACACGAAACAGCGCTTCGGATAGTTTGCTAAGAAACAGTGTTGCGAAGGGAAAGTGAACTACTAGGGGTTCTTGGTTTTGTGCGTCCCAACGTTATTATTACTTTAAAATGTAATAAATACTCGTTCTAGAGAGAATAAATTTATTGCTGCTAGAAGATTCTATTGCGCTAGAAGAATAAACTGTGAGTGAAACAATATTATGGGAAAGCTAATATCCACCACCACCTGCTTTAATGCAGTGGTTTCATACAGTGGTGACTTGAGTTGATGCTAGTTATTGACTAAAATGTTGGTAAATTGTTGTTCAGTGACAGGCTGCAGTACACTGCTCAATTTTCACATTTGACCAATTTTGGCGCCAAGTTCAAAATACGGGTCAAAAAGAATAATTAAAATCATTAAAAAATAAACTATTACCGTTATAAATTGGCAATAAAAAGATTCATTTTCAGATGTTATTTGTTGTATTATTTAATTTTATTTTCACCGTTTTGTTTATATTATCATTGTTGGTCAATATAAATGACCTACAATCACCTGTTAATTCTTCCAAGTTCATTATACACGAATATTCGCTATTAAAAAAATCAAGTATTATTTACCAAGATATTGTTGGGATAATTTTAACGAATGTCGCAGTTTTATATTTTTTATCGCTTCGCAGTTCCTTAAAATAACCAAGTGCAAATTTCTTCCAATTGGGATTTTTGAGAACGTGGTATTTTTGACTTCGCCGAGTAGATGGCGCCACGATTTATTTTCACACTTTTATGCGGGCGTGCAACTAAAGAACTAAAAATTTTAATAAACGTGAAGAAAATATTGCACTGAAGAAATGGGGAGTCGTATTGTTGCCATCTTACCAATAAAATAAAGAAATTTGCGAATTTTTGTGCTGCTACGTTTTTCTGAAATTTCTTACATTTGTTCGAAAGGTGATTGTAATTTGGCCACAGTTATTTAAATCTGTAGTGTTTACATCAAACGTAACAGAAGTTGTCTATATTTATCGATCGCAACAATAAATTCAATATACACTTATTTTAATGTGAAGTTGTTTGTCTCTTATGTCTCTAGCCAAAATAACCAATATAACATTGTGGTCTTAGATATTGATGTTTTTTTTTTTATGGAAAATGTTGCTAAATTTCGTACGAAATGTATAGCGTGATTTGTTCATTTACGTATGGTTTAATAATCTACTCATATTTGAAATTTATGTTTAAAAAAATATTGACTTTGAAATCATAAATTACGTACAATTTTCGAATTATAAAGTATTAATTAAACTGATTCTTTTATTTCGTCTAGAATGTTGGTGACGTCATCTGAAAAAAATTAATAAATAAGTCTTTGTAAAAAAAATATGTCTTTTGTATCACGTACAGAAAATATCTCAAAAAATAATATATGAATAAATTGATTCCATGCATTATTTAGGAAACTGGTTATATAATGTTCTGAAATTCTAACAAAACTCTAATGTTATGATTAGTGTTACATTGTACCCATCAAAATTAATATATTAATGTTCACTGAGGGACAAACCGCTGACTCATCCTTAGATCAATTCGTTATTGAGTTCAAGTTGAGTGGGTGTCCCACATATAGTTTCAGAAATAATAACTTATAATATCGGTATCAATATGAGTTTTGATTTCGTTTATACTTCTTTGTTTGCTTAAAAAAATACCTCAAATTTGTTTCTCGTTTTGAAATTGTACACTTTAATACTAAAAATGGCGTGTTTTCAATTTTAATTATTATTTGAAAAACAAAAAAAAATTGTTTTATAATTATTTTCAATAAATTTGACTTGAGAAATTTGGTTGCTCCTTAAAATTATGTAATTAAGTATGATCATAATTAGATGTAATTATTGAAATCAGTGGTTGTATTAAATACTTTAGGCCATATGTTGGTAACTGATTACAATTAAAATTAATGGATTTTCGATTAGCACTGAAACAATTAATCGTAATTAAGTTAATTGTTAGTTTTCTAGTTAAATGTGACTTCTACTAGGAATTAATTATAACTAGGCTTAGTTAACTGTATCAAGTATAGGTTAATTAATCGACTAGAACTTAATTGCAACTAATTACATACTACTTAGTTTACTTAATATTTTATGTTTTAATAATTGATTACGAGTTCGTTTTTAATGAAAATGATTTCCACTTTTTTAGAGACCGACAAAACTACTTCGATTACATTTGTGATAAAATATAAAATGTACACATCGGAGAAAAATACTAAATTAAAATAAAAAATTATGCATTAAAACAATTTCGTCATGAAATAATTTTGAATTTAATTTATGATTACGGCTTAATTATCCAAACATATACTCGTAATACATATTTGATGAGATTTTATGTTGTAGACTGAAAATAGTGCACGAACAATATGTTGAATCGTCACAGTTTGTCACTAAGTTTTGACCAGTGGCGTGTCATTTAGGTTCTGAAGCAGAGCGTTCCAAAAATAAATTTTCGTATGTGTTTCCACCCGGTAATTTTGAAAAGAACTGATTTGAATAAAGTTAAAAAAAATTGATGACGGATAGTAAAATATTGTTAAACTTCATTTGAGGTATAGCATTTGAAATCCTTTTTTTTTTTTTTGCTTAAAAAAACCTCAGATTTAAGGCCGATGTCTCTTGTCTTGAAATAGCACACTTCTTTACCGAAAATACTGTGTCTTCAATTTTAAAAATTATAAAATTTCAATAGCAACTATCGTTTATTTCAATAAACTTGACTTGAGAAACTTGATTGTTTCTTAAACTGATGTAATTAGTAATTCCTGAAATTAGATGACATTAATGGAAATCAGTAGTTATGTATTAAAGAGCACTTATAAGCAATTAATTGTAAATCAAAACTGATTACGTTTCAATTGTAATTAAGTATAATGAAGCCCCGTTGATTGTAATTAATCTCACTTAAACAAAATTGGCCAAAATTAATGTATTTTCCATTAATAGTGAAATAGTTAATCGTAATTAAGTTAATAGATCAGTTATGACTTAATTACAGCTTATTACTTGGTATACGTAGGGGCAGTTTACGAAAGTTGAATTAAATATTTGATAGAGATTAAGTTAGTCATGCATTTGATGAGGCGTTTAGCGATATCGGATTGGCGTACAATCGATCACATGGTACTTTGATCCCGCCTTAAAAATTTAATCGCAAATCAAATATTTTATTGAGTTTTCGTAAACCGTGAAAAATGAATAGTGTATTAATTGTTTACTACTTCGATTATTTGTAATGAAATATAAAATTATCAAATAAAGCACATATCAGAGAAAATCACTAAACCAAAAGTAAAAATTATTAGTTTGAGTTGAATGAAACTTTAAAGTTCAATTCTGTAAAAATACGCATTAAAATAATTAAAATGTCTAATAAATTATTTATATGCAATGGATTTCATCATGAAGTAATTTTTAATTTAATTTATAATTAAAGCTCAAGTATCCAAACATTTATTCGTAGTATTTGACCAGATTTTTCATTGTAGAGTGAAAATAGTATGCGAACAACATGTTGAATCATCAGGATATGCCGCTTAGGCTTTGATCAGTGGCGTATCATTTAGTTTCTGAAACGGGAGATATTTTCACAGAACAGAATAAGAATAATGTTACGTTTACCGAGACGTTTGATTGGTGTATTCGTCTCGAAGTATTTCCACTGTAGTAAAATTTAACTGCGCAAAGTGATAATAAATTTTATCTTTGGTGTCAAACATAAATTAAAATTTAAAGAAGATAATACAAAATTATTATAACGATTACAACAAAAAAAATCCAAAGTATTTTATTTAATTATGGCGTAAGTGATAAAGCCATTAACAGAGTTTGTTAGATTAGAATATCCCGTGTAATTGTAAAGGAATCATTGTAATCCATATTTGGGGTCATGAAAATGTTGGGATTTGATAGTAGCTTCAAGAATACAAACATTAAAGTATTAATTTTTTAGAGAAAATCAGTAAATAAATTTTAGTTAATGTTTTGCAATCCTTAAATCTATGTTGGTGTCTCTATTTTTTAGGAAGGTGCAGAGCTAAAATGTAAAATGGATTGTTAAACCATAAGTAAAGGACTGTGCTTTAATTAGCAATATTTTAAGATGCCGCCACTTATTTGCGAGAAAATGATTCTACAAATGTTTGTTATCATTTAGCAGTACAAGATAATCCAGAAGTATTTCGAAAAAAAAAAACGCAACGTTAAATATATATTTCTCGACCTGGTAGAAGGTCCTGTTGTAAAGAAGTTTGTGACGGATTGTTTAAAAATCGTACATATCTCCATTTTTAAAAATGGGAAGAGTTTTCAATTTTCGAGAAAGATGTGGTAGGTGGTGTTTATTAAATTTGGCTATAACTTAATGTCGATATCTCCATCAATCAGCAAGATATTACCTATACAGGTAAATTTGGAATACTCGATGTGTGTATATCATGCAACTGTGTAATTATTAGTTGCATTTTTATTGTTGATTATTATTAATTGTGTTGTTGTGTGCAGCAAGCCGGAGGGAGACATGGGCGCCGACGAGACGCTCAAGTTGGCCAGTTACGAACTATATCCTTTGGAAGCGGTGCAGTTAGGGTGGAGCAAATGTGATTGGTCAGTGGGAGCCGGAATGATCAACATGGGCAATACCTGCTACTTGAATTCGACGCTACAAGCACTCTTTCATGTTCCCGCCCTTGTTAATTGGCTCATTTCGGATAAAGAACACACATCTGAATGTCAGGATTCAGGTTCGTATACCACTGAGTAGGGTTTATCATTAACGACATATTTATTATCATTGAAATACGTGTACTGGAGAAATGGTTTGTGGTGAAATTATCAGTGGAGTAGAGTTGGTCGTTTAAGTAATGAGGTTATAATGAGAATGACCACATGAGACGACGATCATTAATAGAAATAAACATGTTTTTAAACTGCAAAGATTAAAAGCTTTGAGTAACAACCCCCTAAAATTTTTCATTTTTGTGTAATGTATACTTAAAACCATTAAATGTAAATCTACGTCGTTACAACCCAGGAAGTTCGTTATAGCGTGTTTATAGAAAGTGGAACCGTGTTGTGCTCTCTACGAGAATGATCGATTTAAAACTTGTGAAAGAACAAAAATTTAATCAGTTTTATGTACACCTTTTTAGGTTGTTTTTTATGTTTATATCTCTCTCCATTGAGCTAGTAAAATTGAAGCAGTTGATACCACAAACATGAAACAATCGAGAAAGTTTAACAGTTTCGATAAGACTTAACAAAATACTTCTGCATTATTTGCATTTTGCCTTTTAGGGTCGGATCACAATAATTAAATATTTGTTATCGAAAACGCCTATGTTTGAAAAAGGCAAGTTAGATGGAATTTGATTTCGCGTTGAAGGCGTTTTTTTTATTTAATTTTAAGTGTTTGTTTTGGCGTTCGTCGTAATTTAATGTGACAAGTGTGACTTAACACCGGAAATAACAATGTGCGACATCCGTTTATCTTTTAATTTAAAAACGCGGCGATCGTGCCTCATTTTAACAGCATCGACCAAAAATGTCTTTCAGAATGATTATTATCAAGTAGAAAGTGTGAAGGCCACATATCAGTCAAATGAGTGCAAAATAAAGCTTCTAATTTGTCATTTGTTGTGTTAGTTTGAAACATTTGTAAGAAATATCAATTCTAATTTCGTTGCTAAGTCAGCAATTGACCGATTATTGATTATTTTATATCGGACTGTTGATTAACACAGTGTTGTTTTTCGTCAGGTGGTCTTTGTATAATATGTGCAATGCGAAAAACCCTTCAAGATTCCCAACAACGTAACACAAACTCTATCCGTCCTCTCCTAATCTACAACAAGTTGCGTTTGGTTTGTCGGAACCTCATACCCGGACGACAAGAAGATGCACACGAATTCCTTAGATACTTAGTAGAAGCAATGGAAAAATCCTATTTACGTCGTTTTAAAAACCACACCGAATTTGATTCGAAAGTCAAAGAAACCACACCTTTAAATCAAATCTTGGGCGGTTATTTGAGATCGGCTGTGAGATGTCTAAAATGTGGCCACGTTAGCACCACATTTCAACACTTTCAAGATCTACTACTGGACATTAGGAAAGCACAAACGTTAGATGAAGCTTTAGAGGGTTACTTCGCTAGAGAAAAACTGGACGATGATTCGTACCATTGCCAGTCGTGTCAGAAAAAAGTAAGTTTTTGAAGGTGGTTTTGTGTGTGTGTTAATTAATGTTTTTTGTTTGTTTAGGTACCTGCAACTAAACAGTTCTCCGTTGAAAGAGCCCCTATGGTTCTTTGTATACAATTGAAAAGATTTTCGGTTAGCAATAATAAAATTACAAAACATATACATTTTCGGCAAAGACTGGATTTAACAAGGTATGCCAGACATCGTCCCAGTGTTCCACTGATCTATAGACTTGTTGCCTTAGTCACACATATGGGACCGACTGTTAATTGTGGCCACTACACTGCGGTCGCCCAAGCACCGACTGGTAATTTTTACCAGTTTGATGATAGTATGGTAAGAAGCCACATGATTTTTATAAGTACTGTGTATAATGGGGCCTGTAAATTTTATACAGATTATAGGAAGTGTCGATTGACGTCTTAAAAATTGTTTAGTAACAGGGGGTACAGTTTTTATGGGTATACGACCATGACGGACAGATTTATTTTTACGCATTAATTCAAAACAATAATGTTTAAATATGTAGCTTCAGAGATTAATATGTTGACAAAATGTAACTATCAAGCAAGGTCTAAGGTCCCTGTTATTTAATAGATCTAGAGGCTGTTCTGAAAATCAATATGAAAATTTAGATCATTTCGTTAAAATTCTGGGGAAATTACTTCTTTTGTTTGGAATGTATTTATTTTATTTTCTCGGCGCTTACGACGTAATTGTCATTTATTAATAGACAATTTGACATTTTTCCCTCTAACTTTGTAATTCAAAAAGATTGATAATTTAATATGTACATCTTACGGAGCGGCCAAAAAATTGTACAGTATTTTTGCTTCCTGAGCGTAAGCTAAGTCCATCGGGCGAATGCCACTTTCATGTTTTTTCCATGTGTCATGACCTCTAGAGTACAAAAAAGTGGTCTCCCGTCTGTCTGTCGTCTGTATCAATTTTTATTAGACACAATTTCGCAAACTACTGGACCGATTGCTGTCAAATTTTGTATGTATATTAGGACTATCATGTAGATGGTAAAACGCCAACCAACAATTTGTTAACGTCATCACCAAAATTTACACTAGTAAATTTGTTTTTATTTTTATAAAATAGAATACTCCTGGACTTGTGGTGTATGAATCCATGTTGACATTCAGATTTTTGGAAAAAAAAGTGCAAACGTTTTAAGGTTATCGTAATCGTGGTAAAGCGTTAATCAAAATTTATTCGATTACCCGCTTCCAAAAAATTGAAAACGCCATCTCAAAATTTTACCTAGGTAATAAATCTTCTTTGAAATATGGAAAATATGATGACTATATTTTTGGGTTATCAATGTAGTTACAGTTTTTTAGAATTATCTTAAGGGTGACTCAAAATATTAATGAATGAGGCAATTTATTTTATGAATTAATTCAAGAACGACTTACCCCATTTTCCCGGAAATTTGGGAATACACTATTGTTGTTATTAGTATTTGGATGATGTTAATGACCGTCATCACAAAATTTTGTAATAGAAAAACTCATTTTAAACAAAGTGTAGCATTTTACTTTAATATTACGTACAGATCTTTATTTTAACTTACAAGGGTTATAAAAAATAAAATTGGCGAAATCAAATTACAGTTTTTCATTTACCGATTTTTCGGTTTCTCAATTTATAATTTTTCGATTTTTTCAATTCTTCGTTTCCCCAGTTTTTCAAGATCTTGATTTTTATTGCCGATTTTTTAATTTTGATTTTCTCGATTTTATATCAGAATTTTCCTTTTTTCAATTCCTCAGTTTTGCAATGTTTGGATTTCTAGATTTTCCAATTTCTTTAATTTTCAATATTTCGATTTTACATTTCTTTTTTTTTCGATTTTGCCCTTTTTTCGATTTTTAAGTTTCTCAATTTTGGATTTTTCAGAGTTTTTATTTTGTCCTTTTTCGTTTTTTCATTTTTGATTTGTCAGTTTTACACTTTTTATGGAATTATGGAATCTTCAAAGTTGTAAAGTCGAAAAACTGTTATATTGGAAGATCAAAAAATTAAAAAATTAATTATCGAAAAATTGAGAAATCCAAAAATTGAACATTTTCACATTGAAAAAAAAAAAGAAAATTATAAAATCGGAAGATTGAAAAACCGAAAAATTGAAACAGTAAAGAAGAAAAACGAAAAATTGCAAATCGAAAATTTAAAGAAATGAAAAATTAAAAATTAAAACATCCAAAACTTATAAAGGTTATCAAAAAAAAAATTCGCGAAATCAAATCATAAAAAATTGGATTTATTTACTTTCCAGCAATGTTTTGATATCACAATTTTTCGTTTTTCCTCATTCTTCGATTTTACAATTTTCCGTTTTTTTCAACTTTAATTTGTTCAATTTTTCAATATCTCGACTTCCACATTTCTCAATTTTTCGATTTTTCAATTCTTCGTTTCCTCAATTTTTCAAGTTCTTGATTTCTATGTTTCACTTTGGCAGTTTTTAAAATTATTTTCTCGATTTTATATCACAGTTTTTCGTTTATTCAATTTTTCAATCTTTGATTTTTGATCAATTCCTCGGTTTTCCAATTTTGCAGTTTTTTTTATTTTACATTTTTTTTTTCGATTTTTAAGTTTCTCAATTTTGGATCTTTCGATGTTGCAATTTTTCAAGTTCCTTATTTCCAATTTTTAGATTTTTCTGAGTTTTTATTTTGTCTTTTTTTTTCGTTTTTTCATTTTTGATTTGTCAATTTTACAATTTTGCAATTTTTCCATTTTTTTATTCGAAAAGTTGCAAAGTCGAAAAATTAAAAAATCTGAAAAAATTGAAAAGCTGAAAAAATGAAACAGAAAAATTAAAAATCAAGAAACTTTAAAATCCAAAAAATTGGAAAGAAGGAAAACCGATTCGAATCGAAAAATTGGAAAACTTAAAAATTTAAAAATCCTGAAACTGTAACATTGAAAACCAAAAAATTTGAAAATTAATTATCGAGAAATCGAAAAATTGTAAAATCCACAAATTGAAAAGTTTCACATTGAAAAAAAAGAAAAATTATAAAATCAGAAGATTGAGAATCCGAAAAATTGAACCAGTAAAGAAAAAAAACGGAAACGAAAAATTGCAAATCGAAAATTTGAAGAACTGAAAAATTAAAAATTGAAACATTAAAAACTTACAAGGGTTATCATAAAAAATTAAATTCGCGAAATCAAACCATAATTTTTCGTTTTTTCATTTTTCCTTTTCGTTTTTTCAGTTTTTTTTCATTTTTCAATATTTCAGTTTCATAATTTTTCGTTTTTTCAACTTTAATTTGTTCGATTTTTCAGTGTCTCGACTTCCAGATTTTTCAATTTTTCGATTCTTCGTTTCCTCAGTTCTTCAAGTTCTTAATTTTTGTATTTCATTTTTCCAATTTCTTTAATTTTCAGTATTTCGATTTACAACATTTCTTTTTTCAATTTTGCACTTTTCCGATTTTTAAGTTTTTCAATTTTGGATCTTTCGAAGTTTCAATTATTCCTTTCTACAATTTTTCCTGATTTCCAGTTTTTCGATTTTTCTGAGTTTTCATTTTGTCTTTTTTTGTTTTCTCATTTTTTATTTTTCAATTTTTCCATTTTTTTTATTCGAAAAGTTGAAAAATCGAAAAGACAAAAAAATCTGAAAAAATGGAAAAATCGAAAAAAAAATTAATCGAAAAATTGGAAAGAAGGAAAAACGAATCGAATCGAAAAATTCGAAAACTTAGAAATTTAAAAATCTTCAGAATTGTAAAGTCGAAAAATTGTAACATTGTAAGATCAAAAAATGAAATTAAATTAATTACCCAGAAATCGAAAAATTGCAAATAGGAAAATTGAAAAATCCAAAAATTGCAAATTTTCACATTGAAAAAAAAAGAAAAATTACAAAATCAGAAGATTGAAAAACCGAAAAATTGAAACAGTAAAGAAAAAAAACGAAAACGAAAAGTTACAAATCGAAAATTTGAAGAAATGAAAAATTAAAAATTGAAATAAAACTTATATGGGTAATCAAAAAAAAATCCCGAAATCAAATCATAATTTTTCGAAAAATTTGGATTTATTTACTTTCGAGGAATTTTTCATTTTTCCTTTTTCTTCGAATTCACAATTTTTCATTTTTTAATGTTTGGTTTCCATAATTTTTCGGTTTTTCAACTTTAATTTGTTTAATTATTATTCAATGTCTCGACTTCCAGATTTTTCAATTTTTCGATTCTTCGTTTCCTCAGTTCTTCAAGTTCTTGATTTTTATGTTTCATTTTTCCAATTTCTTTAATTTTCAATATTTCGATTTACATTTCTTTTTTTCAATTTTGCACTTTTCCGATTTTTAAATTTTTCAGTTTCGAATCTTTCGAAGTTTCAATTTTTCCTTTCTGCAATTTTTCAAGTTCCTGATTTCCAGTTTTTCAATTTTTCTGAGTTTTCATTTTGTCCATTTTCGTTTTCTCGTTTTTTGTTTTTCAATGTTGCAATTTTTCCATTTTTTTATCCGAAAAGTTGAAAAATCGAAAAAACTAAAAAATCTGAAAAAATGGAAAAATAAAAAAAAATTAATCGAAAAATTGCAAATAGGAAAATTGAAAAATCCAAAAATTGCAAATTTTCACATTGAAGAAAAAAGAAAAATTACAAAATCAGAAGATTGAAAAACCGAAAAATTTAAACGGTAAAGAAAAAAAAACGAAAACGAAAAGTTACAAATCGAAAATTTGAAGAAATGAAAAATTAAATATTGAAATAAAACTTATATGGGTAATCAAAAAAAAAAAAAAAATCGCGAAATCAAATCATAATTTTTCGAAAAATTTGGATTTATTTAATTTCGAGGAATTTTTCGTTTTTCCTTTTTCTTCGATTTCACACTTTTTCGTTTTTTCAACTTTAATTTGTTTCATTTTTCAATTCTTCATTTCCTCAATTCTTCAAGTTTTTGATTTTTATGTTTCATTTTTCCAATTTCTTTAATTTTCAATATTTCGATTTATAACATTTCTTTTTTTCGATTTTGCACGTATTACGATTTTTAAGTTTCTCAATTTTGGATCTTTCGAAGTTTCAATTATTCCTTTCTACAATTTTTCCTGATTTCCAGTTTTTCGATTTTTCTGAGTTTTCATTTTGTCTTTTTTTGTTTTCTCATTTTTTATTTTTCAATTTTTCCATTTTTTTTATTCGAAAAGTTGAAAAATCGAAAAGACAAAAAAATCTGAAAAAATGGAAAAATCGAAAAAAAAATTAATCGAAAAATTGGAAAGAAGGAAAAACGAATCGAATCGAAAAATTCGAAAACTTAGAAATTTAAAAATCTTCAGAATTGTAAAGTCGAAAAATTGTAACATTGTAAGATCAAAAAATGAAATTAAATTAATTATCCAGAAATCGAAAAATTGCAAATAGGAAAATTGAAAAATCTAAAATTGAAAATTTTCACATTGAAAAAAAAAGAAAAATTATAAAATCAGAAGATTGAAAACCCAAAAAATTAAAATTAAAGAACAAAAAGTAATAAAATCGGAACATTGAAAAATCGAAAAATTGAAACATCCAAAAGTTGGAAAAACGAAAAACTGAAAAATTTAAAAATAAAAACTCGAATAGATGCATGTCGTAAATTGAAGAAACAAAAAATTTAAAAAATTTGGAATTACGAAAACAAAAAATAATAAAATCTCGATTTTATTATTTTTTGTTTTCATAGATCCAATAATTGAAAAAATAAAGCAAATAAACCGAAAAATTGAAAAATGTAAATATTGGAAAATTAAAAAACTGAAAAATATTAATTTAAAAACTCGAAAAATTACACATCGAAAAATTGTAAAAACAAAAGAAATTTAAAATTGAAGATTTGGAATATTCAAGTCAAAAAAACTACGGGAGTGTTTATTATTTATGCCAAAATTATCAGAAAACAAAAAAAACAAAATTTTTATCATTTTTCAAAGAAGCGGAATTTGTTGAGCTGCACTTCAGGGACGAGAGAAGTTCTGTCGAAATAACCCCGACCAATTTTTTAAGAAACGTTTATTAATGTCTCTAATTCAATGTCATTTCCCCAGGTGCGGGTGATATCTCACCAAGCTGTGTTCAATACAAATGCATACATAATGCTATACGAACTGGAATCATCTCCATTCACGCAAAAATCAAACAATGCAACAAACAACAAAGTAAAGTCTCCACTTTCACCAGAAACCAGTACCAGCAGTACCTCGCCGAAAACCTCTACGAACGGTATAGGTTTCACAAGTGACAAAGTTTACGGACCTGAATTGCCGCCGGACAAAGCAGAGAAAAAAGTCAACGGAACCAATCCAACGCCGCTTACGAACGGTAACGGCAATCACTCGGAAAGTTCCTCCAGTACAAGCGACAGCGAACCCGAAAACGCCTGTAATAGGAAAAATCTCCAAAAAGAGAACAAGCCCCTAGCAACCCCCCCACCGTCGCCCCAAAAACCCGTATTTAGTACAAATAATGAAGCAAAACCCCCAAAACCTCCCTCATCACCGAAGATCCAAAACCGGGTTTTATCATCAGTCCACAACGTCACTAGCAATATTCCAACACAAATCAGCTCTTCAAACACCGAATTGATCGTTAAACAAAAAGAAACGTCATTTCATCCACTCACAACAAAACTGGTTCCTTATGAGACTGATGACTCTAGTGGTTCGGATGATTCAAACCAGTCTCCACATGAGTTAGAGTATAGAGTTTCGACGAAAGCGGCTGTGGGCGAATGGAAGGTGACTTCTACTGAGCCAAGTGCACAAAGTTCACAGACTAAAACGTGGGGAGAGAAAAAACAAGATGGAACTGTTAATGAATTGTTCAAAATGTCGCATAGTGGGTATTCGGCGCCAGTGGCGTCGTGGAATGGAACGAGAGCACAGTTAGATAAAGAAATTAGTAATGAGAGAAGGGAAGATAGGAAAAGGGCGTTTATGGATAATTCAGATCAAGGGAAAACGAAACATCAGAAATTGTGTAATAATTCATATAAATCCAACCCAGGATACAATCCAGTTCAGGTGAGTGAAGTCAAATTATTAATTAAGTGTCACAACCAAAAGTGTTATTTAATTTTAGTCTTATTGTATTAATTTCTTTTGCAGGAATTTCACAATGCAAAAAATTGGAGTCAAAACAGCGGTTCTGGACATTACAAGCCGTTCTATTCAGGAAACAGACATAGACGTAATTTCCACCACAAAGGCTTTCATAAAAATTACCGCTTTAGGCAGTGATTAACATTAAGGTTGAATATTTTAAATAGGAAAATGAACTTGTATAATTGTGCATATGTCACCATTGTTTAGTATAACTGACCATTATGTGAATTATTTATGTAAGTATTTATATTTTTAAACATACCTATAATTCCCAACTTTTATTTAAAATGCAGTGTAACTATTTTAAAGTAGTTTTAGTATAATTAACATGAAGTCCTTTAGGAAATGGTATTTGTTTTATTTTTTGAGCTTAATGTCCACAGTGCATTTAAAATACTGTAATGTTTTGTATTTTTTCCATTTGTATAAAAGATACTTTTATTTACCATTAAGCATAAAGATATTAAACTTTTACCATTTAGTTTATTTCAATAAAGCGTCTTTTTATTAATTGTTCATATTACTGTAAGCTCTGAACTAATTTTTAGTCATATTTGATTTTGAACAATGGTAAATAGTTCAGCCTACACTATGTGTACTCATGTTGTAGCAGATGCAATCATGTAACTGTTTAGAACATGAATTTGAAAATAAAATTTTTGTACTGATATAAAATTTTATTGCAGCAATAAATAAAATAATGAGGATCTATAACTACGAATCCGTTGTTTCTTCTTGATTACAAATTGCCAACAAATTATATTTTTTATACTTTAAATAATCTGGAACAATACTCAAAAAAGCGAAACCCTTGATTACTTCAACAATGACCGACAGCTTTGCAGCTTTCAAATCAACCTTATGATCTGGTCGAATTGCTGAAATTTTTTCCGCAATGAGTTTAATAACATCGTCCCTAGAAACAACATTATTATTTCTATGATTAAACATAATGTTAAACGTTTGCGCTGAATCCTGGAAATGCTTTTCTGCGAGTTGTACAAAAGCGTTACCAATGTCAGCCACGCTAGCTCTACAAGTAGTTTCCACAGGCACAAGTCTTAGCAAGAATTTGGTTTTTTGACTTCCATTTTCATGCACGTCTTTCACTATAGCTTCTGCTAGTTCAGCCGGGTTTGGTACAGTCGTACGAATGAACAACAAATTTCTCGCCCCTGACTCTATCGCTTGAAATCTTTTCTTATTTGGCGTCGACTCCTCCTTCAAGTCTGAGATTTCTTTCGTCAACGACTCGGAGATATCTTCGTCCTGAACTTCTTCGGTTTCTTCCACTCTTGAAGCAGCCGGATATAGCTTATCTGCGTATTCATTCAATAAATTGTAAGCTTCTCTAATGCAGTCTTTTTCTCTGTTGTTACAGCTACACAGAAACCCTTTTAAATTCAGGTCCAATGCGACCTTTCTGTTGCCACCTTGCTTCATGAAGAACTTTTTTGATTTGTATTTGGAATCTGCTTTACTCATGTTCACTATGGCACGAACAAAGAAAATTTCTGACTTAGAATATCCTCACTTTTGCTTTGATTGAAGTTCTTTGTGCAGTTATTGACTGCGGTTTAGTTTTATCAATTATCAATTGTTTACATTTGACATGGAGTAACCGGAAAGTGTGCCGGAAAGCCGGAAAGGGAAAAAAGTGAGGTTAGGTCATCAATGAAATGTCTAAAGCGCCAGCGTCGGACTGGCCCGCCCGGCTACTCGGCGATCGCCGAGGGCCCTGAGCTGTTAGGGGCTCGAACAATAACGAATCACTTCAAAAAATCATTTTATTATTTAAATTTATAGATAGTAATCAGTTGCTACTATGTAAGAATGCATAACTTCGGCATTTTTTTGTCCAGTATCTCATTTTAGGATGTTTTTTACACGGCATTTTTGGTGTTAACTTGGTTCATTCAGTACATACCAGTGGCGGCTGGTGACTTTTTGAAATGGGGGGACACAATTTGATTGATGAGTTAAATATTAAGATATAAAACAGGTTGTCATTACCAATTAATAGACGAAATTGTGTGACGGAAATAAATACAAAAATTGGTCTAAAGAGTTTAGACAGTACTTCCCTCGCTGTTGGAATCGTGACGACTGCATGCCTATTATGTCTTTTAAGTATTATTTTTTTTTTGCGATTGCTATGACTGCTTATTAAAAAAAACCATTAAATTGGACGAAGTCGTCTCTGGGGTGTATAATATGTTGCCTATGCAGAAATTGTCAGGTGTGAACAGATAAAAGGAACAGCCTGTATAGTACTTGTAATTTAAGACAAATAGCCATAACACTTATCAATCCGTAGACGTGACGGTGAAACACAAACTAAACCAAAACATGTTTTCTACGAATTGGAATAACTGGATGACAATGCCGACGGTCCAGACTAATTTATTGCTCTGACTTCCGTATATTGAATAAAACACTACATTTTCTCCGTTTTTGGATGATGTAATTCACATTTGGTTAATTATAACTTGTCTAGATCTAGGAGAGCATCCCCTAGCCTCTCCCCAGCTACGGCCTTGTCTAGGGATTATGAAATATCGAGAAAATTTGAAAGCAACAAATTGCCCAATGGATTCTATTACTGTACGTCCTTAGGTTATCCTCGATAAGAAAAACAAGTGTTTATGTTTATACATCGGAAGAATGTCACGTAGAAATTAGTTTGATTTGAATGAGTTCGTCCCCTGAAAACAGAGGATCAAAACGATTAACTAGTAAGGTACAATCGACTAAATGTTCTGAATATCATTATAATTCTTATTAAATAAAAATGTTTGTATTTTCACATTTTCGGGAAAATGGGGTCACTCGTTCTTAATTTGATCAATAAAAAATATGAATGCTATGATGAATTACAAGTAAAAACTCATCATATTTTGCACATTTTGGGTAGAATTTATTCGGCAAAATTTTGAGATAATGTCATCAATTTTTTTGGGGGAAATAAACAGATTTATTTTGATTAACATTTTACCATGCTTACAATGACCTTAAAACGTCTGCAAGATTTCTAAGTATTCAGTTTTGCAATTCTTGATTAAAGCGATAAAATAAATTCACGCATTCATTAATTTTTTTGAGTTACCTGTTGTAGTAAGCCGTTTCGAACCAAATTTCCGCGCGCCGAACTTTTGGTAAGAAAAGGTGTAGGAATGGAAAGAAACGAAAACCACTAAGAGGGAGATGCGCAGAAGGGTGTGTTTGAGCAGGGTGAGTCGCGGGGAGTTCGACTTGGTCTTTCTTTCGAGTAAGACGTCAGGTTGGTGCTCTTTGTGTTTTTTTCAAATGTCTGTGCGCTGTTTGTTTCCTGTTCTAGTGCTGATTTCTTCTAACGGAGTTCCACCCCCCTGACGAACCAGCGAACGTAAGATTTCTCTGCTCGATTTCGAACACAGAGAGGTTATTTCGGTGGTGAGCACGTATTTGGTTTGAAGATCCAAGAGGTATGTTTCCACGTGATTCCGTGTGTGCTGGTGGAAGAAGCGGCGTTGCTTCTCGATGGTTACGGAGTATGTGAGACGCGGGAACCACACACGTATGTGACGCGACAAAAATGGCGGCACTTCCGGATGACGCCATGGCCGTTAATTTTCGTACTAATCTTTCCAACATAATTTCAAGCCGTTTTAGTAGGGCTTTTCAGGGAATTACGTTAGCTAGGGCAGTTTTATTTAGCGAATGTTATGCGGAAAGTTGGATGGCAATTTTCGAGTTATTGTTTTGCGTTGCATAATTTGAGCACGTGTGAGTAAAGTAAATTCAAACGTAATCTGAACAAGTGAATCTTTAACAAAAATAACGTTGAGAACGGCATCAGAAAATTAATAATATCATAGTCTGGGGGACGGGGGATTTTCTTTGTGTTAGTAACATCAATTAATTAGGCACATCAATTTGACTGACATTATAAGATCTAAGATATTTGAATGGTTTTTCCTCGATTTATTATTCGTTTGTTGTAAACTCTAATGCCTGAAAATTTCATGTAGTTTTCAAATATTCAGCCGTTCAAAATAGAAAGAGAAAGTGGTAGGGTGCAGGTACGGGGTGTTGACCGGGGAATTTCAAGGGCAACCTTTGTGAATTTTTGTATTAGTCATTGGGGATTTGTTGTTGACCGAAAACTGTTGATGAATTTGAAAATGAATGTTATTGAAAGAAAGGCACAATTCAAAGCGAATGTGCACCGACGATTACCTATATTTTATTTATTTTGCATATTTTATGTGCGGTATTTTTTTTATGTGTTTTGTTTATCTCGTATGTGTTTTTATTTATGTGTCTTTTGTTTGGGGATGTGTTTGGGGGGGGGCGGGGGTTGTTTTGTTTAATTCGGTCAATGACGTGTTTAATTCGGTCAACAACGTAACTTTGCCCAGACCATTTTAATGCAGTCGTAACTTCTTTGCTTAATGTCAGATAAATATTTCAATAAAATCCATAGCTTCTTTATTTTCTTTGGTAAGAATCAGCGACGTAAATGTAGCTTAATTTCAATAAAATCATTGCCAAAATGTGAATAATTTAATCTCTTTCAAAATTCTTGTTCTTTAAAGTTATTGACAAAACATGAATAATTTCTCATTTCATTTTCCTTGTTGTATAAGATTGTTGATCACACGTGCATAATTTAATCTCATTTAAATTTCTTTGTTATTTAAAACAAGTGTTGATGGAGTGTGGCCAATTAAATTTTGCTTATTGCTTGTCTGAAATCCAAATACTCATTTTGATAACGCTAGTTAACTCGGGGGTCGTGTGGTGTGGACGCGGTGGCGTCGGCGTCTCCGTGCGAGTGTTTGCGGGTCTTGCTAGACTTCCGCACCCTAGCGGACTCGGAGTTTACACAGCTACCTTGTTTGCGGGATACAGGAAGGTCAACCTATGTCAGGTGGGTGCGTAAGACCACGCGCGTGAAGTGGTGAGGTAGGACTATGTGGACCTTCACGGGGAGTGTGGCCGTCGCCCTGCCCCCGCTGTGCGCCCCCATCTTGTTTGTAGAGGCCACACCACCGAAATATCTGGGACGTTGCCATCCATTTACTTTCTGAGAATTCCGCGACTTTTTTTTATTTTGTTTCTTGTTGTACTTGTAAGGTTGTTAATCTTTATTCTATGTTCTCAGGTTCGAGTGAAAATAAAGGTTTTTTTTTCTTTGAGGAATAAATTCTTTAAGCTCTTCTGGGGCCCTTGGCCAAGGTCTCTTGAGCTCTTATTGGATTTATTTTTCATAGTTTTTTTTTTTCCAAATATAAGTTTTTTAAATCCGTCACTCTTCCCGCTCCGCAGTGCGCCAATTTGTATGAACGAACGCCTCCCGCCAGTTTTCAAAACACAATGTAGGGTCCCACTTTTGTAGACGATCACAGCCAAGGCCAAATTTCAAATTTTAGCGGGCTTTTTCAAATTTTGTTCAATGTCAAAATAAAAGGCGGGAGGTTTGGGTTATTACACTGTATATGCAAATCCAAAAAATTAGAATGGAATGATAAATCACACCTACAGACTCCTCATCTTTTGCACTTTTAAGATAGGATTTATTCGGCAAAATTTTGAGGTGACGTCATCAGTTTGTTTGGGGGGGATGAGCAAATACATTTTGAATAAAAATTTACCATGCCTATGATAACTTTAAAAGATCTCCAAGATTTTAAAGCATTCGGTTTTGTAGTTCCTGATTAAATCAGTAAAATAAATTCACTCATTCATTAATTTTTTTGAGGCACCCTGTATATGCAAATCCAAAAAATATGAATGGACTGATAAATCACAACCACAGACTCATCATATTTTGCACATTTAAGATTGGATTTATTCAGCAAAATTTTGAAGTGACGTCATCAATTTTTTTAGGGAGGAGGAGCAAATACATTTTGACTAAAAATTTACCATGCCTATGATAACTTTAAAACATCTCCAAGATTTCAAAGCATTCGGTTTTATAGTTTATGATTAAATCAATAAAATAAATTCACGCATTCATTAATTTTTTTGCGTCACCCTGTATATACAAATCCAAAAAATATGAATGGATGGATAAATCACAAGTACAGACTTATCATATTTTGTACATTTTAGATAGAATTTATTCGGCAAACTTTTGAGCTGACGTCATCAATTTTTTGGAGGGAATAAGTCAATATAATTTGATTAAAAATTTATCATGATTATCATAACCGTAAACCATCTGCAAGATTTCAAAGCATTCGGTTCTGCAGATTCAAAATTAAATGGCACAATGTTGTTTCATAATTTTGATTTTTTTTCCAAAAATCTGGATGTTTCGGGTCAAAACTCAATTCGGATTAATAAACTACATGTGTAGGACTATGTTATTTTATACAATTTAAAACCCATTTACTCCGTACAATTTTGAAATGACGTCATCGCATTAGTGGTGGAGATGATTAGACAAAATTTGGTTAGCGTTTTACCATCTACGTGATATTCTTAATATAAGTACAAAATTTCACAACAATCGGTCCAGTACTTTCGGAGATTATCTATCTAATAAAAATCCGGGACGGCAGACAGACGGACAGACGGAAACGGGAGACCTATTTCTTCGTCCTCTAGGGGTCATGAAAGATCGAGAAAACGTAAAAGTAGAGAGTCGGCCGACGCACTCGATTACAATACGTTCTTTGCTTACGCTCGAGAAGTAAAAAGGATTTCTCCACATACCTTTTTACTTTCGGTGTTCATGGCATCTAAAAGTTCATTTTGGACAGTTTTAGGCGTTCCTTTAAAAACCGTTTCAAATGATCTGATAAAGTCCAATTCAGCCATAAAATCAATCAGACCTCGAAATATACCTGGATTTTGTGATTCCATACTTTCGTCATGTCCACGTAAAGCAAATTCAAACGCTCCACAAAATTGTATGCACATTATCAATCGGCGTAATATATGGCGATTTTTATCGTTATTTTATCGTTATGTGCCCGAATATTATTAATATAAGCGGTGTGTAGTTGTTTCGGAATGTCTGTATTACCGAGAAGATTATCCAAGAATATTTATCATACGTGTTCGCGCAGAAGGAAAATTAAAACCCGCGATAGTAACTCAATCCTCCAGAGCACGATCGCAACGGGCTCACAATCCAGTTGTATCAGGCGCATATCATATCAGGCGGCTACGACGTGTAGTTTCCATGGCAACGGTGTAAATAAAACATCTAAATCAGCCATGATTCGGTCCATTCGGTCTCTGTGCCGGGCTTTTATCAGCATTTCATCAGAAATAACATATCATATATCCAAGACACATCTTTAGATGCAAGTGGAAGTAAGTTTTGATACATTTTATACAAGTGGAGCGAGATAAAAAAATTAGTTTTGATACTTATGACACAAATTTCCGGATAATTTTTTAAATGTTGAAAATTACTATTTTGCTATGTCCAGTGTGTTTGTAGACATTGTAATTTTGGGGGGACACGTGCCCTTGTGCCCCCCGGCACCAGCCGCGCTGCAAATTTTCCCACTTTCTTTAAAATGTCTTCAACTTTTTGTTTTTTCTGAATTTTAAATTTTCTTTTCTGGACACCACTTTGTATGTACTACATACTATATGCTGGTTTTTAGTTCTTTAAGGTGTAATTAAACTTTCATCATCAGTCAAAAAATACAAAGTGGTGTCCAGAAAAGAAAATTTAAAATTCAGAAAAAACAAAAACTTGAAGATATTTTAAAGAAAGTGGGAAAATTAGAAACATTTTTAATTTCCGAGAAACCTAACGTAAAGTAACAAAACTTTAAGACAAAGTTTAAACTAATAATAAGAAGCTCAAATTTAATTTTATTTCAATATCAAAAAGAACCCAGAAAAGTGTTAATTTCTTAATTATTTATTATTAATTGAAAAACAGATATACATATATATCCGTTATCTTCAATATGACGCAAAATTGTTTCAGGTCTTACAGCCTTTGGATGGTTTCCTCTAATTTTCTGGTAGATTGTTCTTCTAAATTGGGTTCCCAGCCGTTGTTGTAAACCTTCCTACTTAGTACTGCCGAAATTTTATTTTCGATTGTTCGTGCTGGGGACACAATGGGAGGATTATCTTTTCTTAGATACAAAATTTATATTATTTCTTTCTAAGCAATTTCTGGACATTCTGACATAAGACTATTAGTCTTTGCCATTTCTATTGAAACACCACTTGTTAATAGTAAATTTGGCAACGTTCATATTCAGACAATTTTCTAACTAAAAGCCGTTGTCAATCAACCGAAAGCTGTTACCAATTGCTAAATTTTAAGCAAAATCAACAGGTGGTGTTTCAATAGAAATGACAAAGACAATAGATGTGAATATTCCAGAAAAAAAAAGTAGAATTTGAAAATATAGATGACGAATGATCTGTCTAGTGGCACTACACACCTTATTTATAAAGCCAAGTCCCAATGTATCCTTGAATACTAAAATATCTTATACACCAATTTTGGAAACAAAAATTACCATTTGACTCCAGAAAAAGTGTATTTAGTACCTATATTTGGTACAAAAAATTAACAGAAAATGGGTTTCATATTCTGTTGGTTTTGAAAAATGTTTTGTTGCAATTGTTTGATATTTGCTGAAAAACACAATGAGTTTCATTTTTCACAAAAATCGACCTAAACATTTAGATAAAACTTTAAAGGAACATGAAAATTTAGAATACAACAGTAACTCTACATCGGCTGCACTAAGAATCACTTTTGGTGCTAATAACAGAAGTTTACCTAATTTTGTAATAAAAACATTGTTTTCTCTAAAAATTTATTTATTTTTTAAAAAGAATACCATTCGAAGGGGCCCTAAAATATCTCAGGCCGACGCTGCTAAAGCCGCACACACAAGCCTGTTATTTGTGAGACCGGTTCGAACCTATATTGCTTTAAATTGCCTGGACGATTTTTGACAGCTCGATGAACCCCTCAGCACGGATTATACCTGTATTGTACTCTCGGATGCTAGTTTAGACAGATTAAAGTAGATTTCCAGAATTATATTAATCTGATCTTCTTTGTCGGCGTCGGTAACGACCATAGAAGTAACGACAGTGTGGTTACGCCTTAATTTATGGTTCTGTCTTCTGTCCATAGGTTCTGTCTACAAAAAGCCATTCAAATCTAATAACAAAAGCCAGCCAATGAGCGAGCGGTTTGATTTCTGTCGCGTGATATCATTGGCTGTTGCTTTCTTCCATCCGAAATGACACATCCCAACAAATGACATTTCTGTACCAATCTCCAAGAGATAAAGTCCCTCAGTTTTTTGTTTCTGTGTCAGACATATTGCAGACAGATGACATTATAACATCTGATTCTTGAAGACGTTGAAAGAAGTTGTGCTCCCGTGAAGTGTATAAAGTGTGATGGATAACTAACATTAAAAATGGGTTTTGATATAAACAGGTTTCAAGGTGATGTAGACGAAGAATTGGTGTGCCCCATTTGTTCAGGTGTCTTAGAGGATCCCTTACAGGTGTGTGTTTTCTTTAAACACTTAGTAAAATACAATTTCCTCAAATTATAAACCACATGTCTTAATACAAACTTTCTAGGCTCCTGTATGCGAACATGCATTTTGTAAGTCCTGTATAACCGAATGGATAACCAGACAACCCACCTGTCCTGTCGATAGACAAAGCGTCACTTCTGCCCAACTGCGACCAGTGCCCAGAATTTTACGAAACCTGCTTTCTAGGTACGTTATTTTATACATCATATCAATCAAATGACTCATTATTTTTCAGACTGTGTATTAATTGTGATAACGCCCAGTATGGCTGTACTCGTGTATTAAAATTAGACTCTCTCCAATCCCATCTCGAAGAATGTGAACACAATCCCAAGAGACCGCTACCTTGCGAAAAGGGCTGTGGATTAGTAATTCCTAAAGATGAATTAAAAGATCACAACTGCGTTAAAGAACTGAGAGCCCTTATACAAACGCAACAACAGAAATTGAACGACTTCCAACAGGAAATGACTGAGCAACGTTTCCTAATTAATGAGCAAAAGCGCGAAATGCAGCTTTTGAAGGAGTTTATGAGAGCGATGAGAATATCGAATCCTTCAATGAGGGCCATAGCTGACGCGATGGAGAGGGACGAGGTCTTGAGGTGGAGTAATTTCTTGCAGAGGGCACGGGTGACGCGATGGGGTGGAATGATTTCGACACCAGATGAGGTTCTTCAGGTATGTGCACAACGGTTTTAGTGTGACACTTATTATAAAAATTGTTTTCAGAGAATGATCCGAAGAACGTTGACTGAAATGGGTTGTCCCCCCCACATATTGGATGATCTAATGGAGAATTGTCATGAGCGAAGATGGCCACCTGGGTTAAGTTCTCTGGAAACTAGGCAGAATAATAGGAGACAATATGAGAATTATGTTTGTAAAAGGGTGCCAGGCAAGCAAGCTGTTTTGGTGCTAGCATGCGATAACACGCATATGAGTGAAGATATGATGGTAGAACCAGGACTCGTTATGATTTTTGCTCATGGTATAGAATAACTTTTATTCTTATAATTTTAAAAGTACATTCCGTATTTCTTTTATCAGATTTTAATTAATATACACTAAGTTTAATAATAATTTTTTTCACTATTTTGCTTGTGAAGTGAGAGGGTCTGTGCAAAATAATGGATATTTGCCAAATTTTTTCTGTAATATACCTAATTCTAAATTTTATTTTACGTTATCAGTGGTGTAGTAAATGCATGAACTATCAGGTTTCACAATATGTTTACTGCAAATTTGTGTCATTGTGTGAAGTTTGTTTCATTTTTTATTAATATAGATAAAAATTGTGTGAATTATTGGATCGCCAGTTACAAGCGGAGTTATCTTATGTGTTCTAAAAAATAATATTGTGTTGAAAATTTACACTGCCATAATCAATATCGTGCAGTGGTGACTCAAATGGATTCAGTTTTATTGCAATTAATATAGTTATAACGATAGCGATAAAAATTCGTATATGGTTTAAATATCACTGAAGAAAAAACTTTATTATATTAACAAATCATAAAAATGAAACACGTTTTGAAATAATTTTGTTTTAATTAATCATGAAAACGTTGTAAAGCGAGGATCTGTGACGCAAAAGACTAATTTATTACCCAATTTAACTTATATGTGCAATAAACAGTTATCCTGTCTGATTTAAAATGTATTTAGGTGATTTTATAACCAGACAAACGAGTTTAAATTCTATGAACCCATTGTCGTAAATATTTATATCAGTACAAATTTTTAATTGTGGCAGTTTTACCGGTGTTCTGCTAATATTAATAATTAATAATGAAACTTGGAAACTTTCGTTAGCTCATATTAATTTGTCGCTAGTGTTCATTGAGTGAAAATTCATTAATGGGTTTTTTAATTAACGAAAGAATGCCGATCATTATTATTATTATTATTATTATTATTATTTTATCATGGTGATGAAGCTGTCGGTTCACATAAATTTGACATTGAAACAAAGGTGTTATTTAATACAGTGTGTTTAAAAATATGTAGCAAATTTATAAAAAAATTGCAGTGAAATTAAATTTGAGAAAGGCACCCAATATATATAAAATTTTAGCCGCCTCATCAAAAATGGTTCACATTTTTTTAATTAATATAAAAGTTATGGCATCTTAAAGTTAACCCATTGAAGATAGTTTTTATCAATAACTTTTAAACAAAAAGTACTCTAGGTAATTTTTTTCAACGTTTCTCAGCTTCTTTGATTTATAACATAATATTTAATGTAACATCAGGAAGTTGTTGTTGTTGTTTTATGCATCATTAACATCTAAGAGGTTATGGAACTCAAGGTTTCTGCGTATTACAACAGTAGATTTTAAAATACGAAAACTTTTATTAGTCAAAATTAAGGTTATTTTCACTCGGAGATATGGTTCTAGAATTTCAGTACATAATTACTGTGTATCCGTATACTTTTTTATTGGTAGTCCCAAATTTTTGAATTGCATTTTTAAGGTTTCACCGGTTCTACGATTTTGGTAAAATTTGTTGCTAATCTTTAATCGAATTCGTTCCATTTAATTATAAATATAAGTATATATACTTGTCCAGAAGGTATAAGGTTACATGACCATCATAAAAGTAGTTGACCGCAAATAAATACCCCCTTTGTGTGGTTCGCACTAAGCTTACCGGTTGGCAATAGATCGTCTTCTAAACATTTCTTGCTCACGTTTAACAGGGCCGGCTTTCAAAGCGAGTGGTTATTTCGGAACCCTCAGCGGCTGCAGGTAGTAAAGAAATAGTGGAGTGGTAGATTTTCATATTTAGTGAAAGCCGCCCCTGAACGACCCTAAAACCTTTTCTATTGTAAACAACTTAACTTCGACACAATGGGATGATTTTATGATGGCCATATAACCTTATACCTTTTGGTCCACTATAAATACTTAAATTGTGCGTTGTAGCACAAATTCTGTACCGATTTTACGACGAGGTTTCAGTCTCTACCCTAACAATCATCACAAAAGGATTGTGATAAAGACATTTATAAGCAGGTAGGTTTGTACAGGCCGGTATTAAGTCCCGAACCATACCAACCTACCTACCTATTGGTATATTATAAAAGCGTGTTTACTTTATCAGCTGAATACTTCATAATCACAACCCATAAAGTCGGCACAGAGTTCCAAAAGTAATTATTCCAAACCGTTTACGGTTATGGTAATTACACGAGCCCTCATCTTTCCGATTACTTACCTGAAAAGATCAAAGGTTCTATGGATCAAACGTGCATAGTAAGCGAACGTTGTAAATCATCACTATTATGACCCTGCGCAATTTATTAAAAGCTTTCAATAAACACTTTTGGAAAAAGAAAGTCATTTTAACTGAGATTAAATTAATCACGCATTTAACGAGACGTTTAGCGACGTCTGATTGGGGTAGAGTCGGTCACGTGGTACTTTAATCACAATCAAATATTTAACTGAACTTCTATAAACCGGGTTTTAAAGTCTGCTTTTAACTCGCGAATTAACTGTAAATACTAGAAATCAGTTAATATTTATGTAGTAAATAAGCATTGGTTTTAGTTGACAAATTATTAAAAGACCGTCTGTTTGTGGAAAGAATCACAGAGCTTTATAGATAAGCTAATAGTTGAATAAAGCAAATAAATAAAATAAAAAGGATGAGCGATTAGATGATCTTAAGAAGAGAATCCGATTATGGGAACGGTTGTTACTTTTAAAAGTTTTTCAAAACCCAGCACTGCAAACTTGTTAAAAATATATTTAGGCATAAAACGACATAAACATGTAAAAAATCAGATAACCGTTATTCGGCCTAAACAAGCAAATATAGTAAAGACCAGAAATTAGTGAACACCGAGTTCTGTTTTCAAAAGTGTTTATTGGAAGCCCGCAATTATGATTATGGTCATGGTAATTTACATCTCCGATATTCTCTCCTATTGTTTACCTGAAAGGAGCAAGGTTAATATTTAATGGTAAAAGACCTCCGACTGGCAAAACCCTTGATCCTTTCAACAAGCAACCCAAATCCAGGTAAGCGTTGTAAGTCATTCCTGCACTTTATTTATTAAGGGCTCCCAATAAACACATTTAGAAACAAAAAGTCACTGTTCACCAATTCCTGGTCTCTACTATACTATATAAGACTAATGACACTCAAGAACGGATAACTCATGCATATAGATTACTTTCTTCCATTTGCAGGAAACATAATTTACTGCACTACTGGTAGCATATTTTTTTAAATCGGGTAGTTTAACAGTCAACAATCCAATGTAACAGGTGGTTTTGAATATATTGCCAAATTTTGTGTGAAACCATGACGGATAAAACATTTACTTTTTTAATATAAAAACTGAATAGAAAACGACATTTATACAAATTGAATGACTCAAGAAAGTGTATTTTTGTGTACTTTAAATGTGCGACTAAAATGTGAATTAAAACTATCACATAGTTGCAGATTTTGACCTTTCATTTCAAAACCAACTAAGCATTTGTCTGCTTGTTTATCTTGCCTTAGTTTATCTATTTTGTTGTACTAATACATACATTTTTCATAATAATAAAAAAAATGGCACACAGAGATAGTACATGGTTTTTAATATTTTAGGTTAAATTTTTCAGAATTAACGGTACAAATCAACACACAAATTTAAAAATAAAAATTTATTAACATTTTTAACTCAAATTTAATTAACAACTGCCAATTTTTACTCATTGTTTCCCAAAATTGCTACTATTTGTTGTAAGATTTCAGGTTAAACCTCATTCATTTTTGTGTTTAACAGACTGTGTGTCTAATATTATCGATTATGTATTTTTTTTAAATATTTTTAAAATTTCAAAAAATACGTTATTAAGAATCTTATCGAAAGTACAAAAAATCGGCCTTATTAAACAAAAAATATATAGTTTTGATATACGCAAAAAGTTATATAAACTAAAAATGTGTGTTATATTTTTTTGCAGTCTTCATTCTGAAAAATGTAATTGGGTATATTAAAAACATGTAATTATCTGTGAGTCATAAGCAACGAAACACGGTGTATAATAACTAGTGGCGAACTAGAAAACAAATTTGGCAAGTTTATTCCAAAACCAAAAATCCACGACTTGTTGAATTCGGTTTAACAAAAAAACCTGATCATGCTTGTAGTTGCATTATTCCAAGATTGCCACTACAAAGTTTAGAGCTTCTTGTCACGGATTATCAATTTGAAGTTTAAAAACGGAAACAATCAATGAAAATGAAATGAAACATAACCCTACATTATTTCACACTGGAATAAATCACTAAATTGACACCTGGCAACACCGCTGGTTGTTTTTCGCAAAAATTGAAGTGTTGGTGGATTTTTGATTTTGGAATAACATATACGAATTATTGACGTGTTGACTATTTTTTTTTAAATCTAAGTTAAATACTCCAATATGTTTACGCTCTTTACAAAATACTAAATTGAGTTAAAATAAGTGATTAAACGTTCTGTTGTAGATATTCGGGTCACATGTGTACTAAATGAAAGATAATTCCATCTAATCACGTTGCGGATTTAGATTGACTGTTAACAATGTTTTTGTCTGGAGTGTAAATTAGACAAAAAATACATCCACTGTAATTGTCGTTTAATCCAGTTAATACTGGACTTTGACACTTCCGTGTGCTCCAGTTTCGTAGCACTAGAGATATTACAAAATTGAATATATAATTTTCATTGTTTTGTTTTAGTGTATTAGCTGTTTTTGTAGGCAGGAAGATATTTTCGACAGGTTCAGCGCTCCTTACCTTTCCTAGTAATTGAAACTTTTTGTTTGTACATTCTATTGTGCTAATGTTTTGTTAACTGGACCGTGTACACAGACTTAATCAATGTTGATGGGTGTGCGGTTTTCCCAAGTTTGTTTCTGTTATTACGTGTAGTTTGTTAATGATCTAAGTATTTGATCTCAAAAATTCAGAACAAAGTCGTTCCTACATCCGTTCGGAGTTGGTTTGACGTTAACACTAGTCACGTCGACAAAGAAATGTGATTTTATAAAAATTCTGAAAAATTTGTGTGATTATGGAGGAAAGGATGCAGAAATATTTTGCATCTAAATATCGAGGAAGAATATAGTATAGGTTGCTTTGGTCAAAGTATTGCGTTAAAAAAATCGAAGGGGAATTTCAAAGGGGTAAACAGAAACTACTACTTTGAAATTTGTATTTTATTGTGTAAGTTTTCGATTATAATTATTGTTTGTTATTTTTTCCGAAGGATGTCGTGTTGTTTTATTAATTTTAATGTGATTAATGTTGAGGCTTAATCCATGATGTACTTAATTCTATTGGGCATTTTGTAGTCTTATCTATTGTGCTGCCAATTTCTTGTAATAAACAATTAATTTTTAGTTTTCTTTTGATTATGCTTCTGCCCTCTCTTGTAAAGGTAAAGCACCAATTCCGCCACGAAGAACACTAAGGCGATTATAACACCACCTAAAAACAGTACACTTGCTGAACCTACGTGTTCTTTACTAGCACTCGAGTAGCCCGAGTTCTGGTTAAAATTTGACACCGGTCGTAAATTTTTTTGAAGCATTTTTTTGAGTATTCCAGATTCGTCGAGGGCCACAATACTAGAAAAAATCTTAAATATAACAAATTAAATAAAGTAGTGGTGCGCTACTGTTTGTCCACAATTTTCCTCCACGGGTTATTTCGCAGCGTGAGAAACCCTTGACTGTACGTTATGTCCAGTTTCATGGTCTGAAATTCTGACAATCGATCAGAATTGAAATTGTTCACCATATATTGTTGTAGTGAGATTTCAGGCCCCACGCCGATCCTGTTATTTTTATCCAATTGTTCAAAAAGTTCACCGAGGTTATTAACGTACTCAGTAACAAGCTTAAACATTTTTTTTTAATGTTTTAAAATAATACGAAAACGGTTTTTCTTACGAAATGTCGTTGAAAGTCTTTTATGTAAGAGCGCGTACATTCAGGGCTTATTAAATGAAGACTTTCTATGTTCACATTGTTTAGGTTTGCATTTGCTCCTAAATTTTCGACCAGGATTGATGTTATGGCGGCTGCGAATCCCGTGTATAGTAGATATGCCATGAGATAACCCAGAAAAAATATTACGCAGCTTGCGAAACCACTCGGTGTATGACTTAAACCTTAAAGTAAATAAACAAATTATTATTTAAGATACATTGTGTTGTTGTTTTCGCAATATTGTATAAGCTGGGTCAAGGATGCCGCCTGGAAGTTACTTAATAATCTTTATTGTTCTCTCGGTGTAGAATTATGAGGAATTTTAATAAAATAGATTCTCAGGGAAGCTATTAATATGAAATTTAATTAAACCATGGAGACACGTTTAGTGTGAAATAGTTACATTTAGTTCTCGGATTCTAGCATACTTAATAACTACAGCCTTCACAGGCTCAATGTGAAATTCTCAGCCAGCGAGTACTTAATAAGAGAATAAATTCACATTAGTGTGCGTGCGCAAAAGGGCACGGTATTAGACGACGCATTATTAAAAGGATTTAATTAAAATTATATCGTTAAATTATAGTCATATTATAGGATAAAGTCAAATACGAAAATGCAAGCTTCTAAAAATATGTTTGAAGATCCGATATTAGTTTCATGTACAAATCCCACAACACAGAACTGAAATTTATTTGCCACCTAAAAGGTTTCTTACCTTGTTGACAAGCAGCAGCAATTGCCCATAATGTAATTTCTACCCAAGTCCATGCTTCATATTTGGGTTTCATTCTAGCATATCTTCGGGTTGATATTTGCAAACATAGAGCAAGGAGTATCAGTATAGAAAAGAAAACAACCCATAATGAACCAGCGAATGTTAAAATAAAAATGTCTTTATTAAAATTTAATTTGCTTGCTTTAAACACTAAGAGTAAACTGAAAAGAAACAACAGTTTTTAGTGATAGTTTAAAAGGAATGTTAAGGATTTTTTCAGTGTGTTGAAAAATAGGAAGCAATTTGAATCAATGAAGTAAATAAATACCATTTATTACTATTTTATGTTATTGATAGACGGATAGACCAATAAAAACTAAGTTTGAATTCTTAAGAACGATTGAAAAGTGCGGAATGCAAACTAATATCAGAGGTGGACCTTGAATTCTGTCAGATTCCTTGAAAATGTTAGAAAAAATTTACATATACTTAACACACTTGACATATACTTAGTAAAACTTTTATGATTTAGGCGGCTTAAGCCAAACCACCCATATAAGTCAGTTGTATAAGTAAGTCAAATAACTCAAGTTCTCTTTGAAAAAACTGTGATATCGAAGTTTGAATATTGTAACGTTTTAGAATTTTTTTATAGAGACATGTATATTAAAATTTGATTTCACTGATTTTCTTTGCTGAAAACTTTCAAGAAAATTGGAACATTAATTGGATGAACTAAAAATATGTTTATAAAGTCTAGGAAAAGAATGATCAGAATATCTAAAAATATATAGGGTGTTGTATTTAACAAAACTAAGTTGTGTGTTATCTAATGAGATATCGAGGATCGCGCGCTTGGTGACTCACCCTACATATTCAGGATTTGAAACATAATTTGTTACCTACTCATGGATCATACAATTAATACTGTAAACTATTTCATCTAAAGCCAGTCTCTAATTTTCAGTATTTTTTCAGAATCTAATAATCTCCATTATTAACAATCGTGCAAGGGTAATTTTGCTAAAAACAGTTTGTCATCTTGTTTTTTTTTTCATTTTAGTGAAATTTTGACATCACGTATATTTAAAAATCAGTGTCTCAATTATTTATGGAAATTTTGGAACGCGGTTTTCAACACTGTTTCCAGCTTACAAATTCTCTTTTTTTGGAAATGAGATACAGCAAAAAAAAGATTGTGTCGTAGAATTGCCAGAAGCGTCATGTTGCTGTATTTCACTTCCAATAAAAAAGTAGAGAATTTATCTGGTACGATGTCTAGAGTTTTTTAAGCTGGAAACGGTGGTGGAAACCGCGTCCCAAAATTTCCATAAATGATTGAGTTATTGTTTTTTAAAAAAGCGTGTGCGAAAATTCCAACACATTAAAAAAAAATGTGAATTATCATATCAGTTTTTTAACAAGATGTTTTTTAGTTGTGTAGTACTTGAAATACAACTCGTTTAAATATAGTTACTTCAGGGGCGGCTTGTTCTATGGGGAAGGTGAGGTAATGCCTCAGCAATGAATTTGCGCTGTAATTTTAAAATTTTAAAAATCCAAAAGTATTGAAAAATCAAAATATTGAAAAATCCCAAAATTGTAACATTGGGAACGTGAGAAACCGAAAAATTAAAAATTCGAGAAATCGGAATGTCGAAAAATCTAAAACTTGAAAAATCGAGAAATCGAACTCCTGAAAATTCAAAAAATTGATTAATCGAGAAATTGGGAAATGCATAGATCGAAAATTCAGAAACGCCAAAAATTGAAAAATCGTAAAACTAATATGTATATCGAAAAATCGAACAATTGAAAAATTGAAAATTAGAAAAACCGTCAAATCGAAAAAATTGAAAAACGAAAAAGTGAAATACTTATTAAAAAAATTTTAATCGAAAAATCGAAACATTAAAAAATAATATAATTTAAAAAATCGAAAAATTGAAGAATCGGAAGACTTAAAAATTGAGAAATTGAAAAACCTCCACACTGAAATGTCGGCAGTTTGAAAAATCAAATAATTGGAAAATCGAAAAATCGGAAAATCGAAAAACCGAAAAATCAAGAAATGGAGAAATCGGGAAATCTAAATTGAAAAACTGAAACATCCAGAAATCAAAACACCAAAAGATGGAGAAATAAAAAAATCGATAAGTCGAAAAATCGAAAAATTGAAGAATCGGAAGACTTAAAAATCGAAAATTTGAAAAATCTCAACACTAAAATGTCGAAAAATTGAAAAATCAAAAAATTGGAAAATTGACACATCGAAAAATCGAAACATTGAAAGATTTAGAAATCGAAAAGTCAAGAAGTCGAAAAATCGAAAACTTGAGAAACCCAAATATCCCAAAATCGAAAAATTCAAAGTTGAAACATTTAAACATTCAAAAACCGATAATTCGAAAACTGAAAAAACGAAATATCGAAATCTTGATAAGTAATCGAAAAATTGAAAAATGGAGAAATCAAAACGTCAACAAATCGAAAAATTGAAAATTCCAAAATTAAAACATCGAAAACTTGAGAAATTGAAAAATTAAAAAATCGAGAAATCGGAAAGCCGAAAAATCGAAACCTCGAAAAACCGAGAAATCGAAGAGCCAAAAAATAAGTGTGAAAAATTATTGTTACTCTCATCTTAGAATGTGGATATTCGCTGTCCTCAAACAGTGCCCTTCAACACATCACACAGAGACGAACTCGAATCTTGCCTCTCTCTCTCTTCGAATTTTTCAGTAAATCCATTTTTCGATTAGCAACTTTTTGAGTTTTCAACCTCTGGGTTTTTACTTTTTTCGTTTTTTCATTTGTTCGAATTTTCCATTCCTCGATTTTTAATTTTTCCTTTCTTTAATTTTTCGATTTTTAAATTTTCGTTTCCGCAATTTTTTGAGTTTCCATTTACAATTTTTGAATTTTTGGACTTTTGAGTTTTTAGATTGTTCAATATTTCGTTGCTTCATCTTTTAGAGTGGTTCTTTCTATTATTATTTTTAGATTTCTCAATTTTTCCATATTTTATTTTTTGACTTTTCGGTTGTTAGATTTCCAATTTTTTTATTTTTTATTTTGGATGTTTCGATTTTCGGAAGAAACAAAAGTAGCATGGAAAAAAATCCTGCTTTACAATTTTTCAAAATTTCAGTTTCACGAAACCTGTTCTTTTTGTCCAAAATTTAAAAATGCAAAGAGAACTTAATTAAAAGCTAAAATTTGAAAACTAGAAAAACTGCAAATCAAAAAATTGAAGACATGAAAATTTGAATTATTCTTTAATTCAAATAAAGGAACATTCAAATATCTACAAATTGAACAATCGAAGGAACGAAAAACCGAAAAACCGGAAACTTAAAAAATCTAAAAATCCAACAAACGGAAAATTGCAGATCGAAAAACTGAAGGAACGAAAATTTGCAATAGCGAAAAATTGTAAAATCTAACAAAAATCGGAAAATCTAGAATTGCAAAATCGGAAAATCGAGAAATTGCAAAATCGGAAAACTAAAGAATTTTTAAAAACTTAAAAATGGGTGCTGTTAAAGAATGCTGAGTCAAATAAACGCGGTGAAATCATTTAAAAATTAATTAGTTAAGAAAAATTTGAATGCAAAAATTGAAAAATCCAAAAACTTTAAAATGGTGAAAACTTCAGTTTTAATAAATTTGTTCGTTTTGGGAGAATGAAACATTAAAAAATTGAGAAGTTGAAAAATTTAAAAGCTAAATTAAAAATTGAGGAAGTGCAAAACTGAAATATTGAAAAATTGCAAAATCAAAAAATAAAAAATTGCAAACATTGTAAAATTGAAAAATTAAAGATTGAAAACTAGAAAACCTAAAATCGGAAGTCGAAAAATTGAAGAAACAAAAATTCACAAATGGAAAATTTGAAAATCAAAATATTAAAAATCGAGAAACTGGAAAATCCAAAAACTAAATAAACGATCTAGAAATTGACAAAACGAGCTAACTGTAGAATCGAAAAACTGTAAATTAAAAAATTGAAAAAATCAAAAGTTGATAAATAAAAATTTTGTTAAACTAAAAATTGAAAACTCAAAAACTTGCAAATCGAAACCATTGTACAATTAAAAGATTGCAAAGTAAAAATCGAAAAACAGGGAATCCTTAGTCAACACGATGTAAATAAATGTGGTCAAAGCAAAATTTAAAAAAAAATAAAATAATCAAATAAAAATTGATTTTCTGACATAGAAAAATTACACATTACCACGTTTTTTGGCTAGCTTAGTGTTTCTAAAGCTTCATTTTTTGCCAAAAAATTTCTACTAAAAACAACAATCTATGGTAACTAACACACGAAGTTGTGTAAAGTATAGTTAGCGTTAGATCAGCTTTGGTTTTTCTGTAAATAAGTTCAACTTAGTTTTTTATGTAGAATGCTTTATAGGTGTTTTAAATATAATGTTTTTATTTTTTTGCATGCTGTAATATTTTTTGGGTTGCATTTCTAAGTCACTCATAATCACTCGTGAACAACCCTGTATATATTTTTGACATATACACTTACTATTGATAAAGTTTGAAATTAGCAATTTTTCAGAAATTTTTGTTGAAGATCTATTTTCTTTCGCTCGTTTTGGGCAAGTGTACTTTTGTTTAATAAACATTTTTTAACACACTGTATTTTCTAACAAATACGTGTCGTGTATACCTACTTGCTTCTTATAGTTGGATGAAGTTCAATTAAACCTGGAGGTAAAAATTCTGAACGTGGTGGACAAATCACCAGATCGATCTCATCCATCGACTTGGTTAAGTTATGAATAAATATGAACTCTGTACTGCGATGTTCATACCATAGTATAAAAATGCACATTACATTTCAAGTCTTACCTGATACCTTGCAACTGTTGCAAATTTTCTACAACGTCAATCTGATACCCTTTTACAATGGTTTGATTGCGTTCGTTTTTAGATATTTGACATTCGACACGATCAGATTTCATCCATTCATTGACAAATACACCAATCTTTAAACTGGTGTTGGATATGTTAAAAACAGCTTCCGTATTGTCAAATACGTATTTGTATTCAATCCATCGTGTAGAAGCGTTTTCTATGTTTTGTATTTCTTCAGTAACAACATATTTAATTTTCCGATGTGCTACGAAATACTGTACTGCGTCTCTACAAACAACTAAAGGGAGAAAAAATATGAGGAAGAAGGAAACGATGCTGGAGGGCATATTGTGGCGGAATGTGACTGACAGCAAAGTTATTAGAAAGTGAGTAATTTATCACTTCGCGGAATTAAGTTTGCTGAACAAATACACCAGACAGGGGGTGAAGTTGAAGTTCATTGTTTCTTGTGTACTTTATGAACTGATAGAAGCTGCATTTCTGGAAGTAAAACATATGAGAAAAAGCATGCAATTTATTGGAAAAGATAAGAACAAAAGGATACATATGTATACACTAAGCACAAATCACTTGGTTAGAAAATATGAATAGATTACGTAAAAACAAAGTCAAGTAAAAATATGAAACCATTTATTGAATGTAATTTGATTCCAATTAATCAGTCGGACAAGTACCAACAATAACATCCCCTTCCGCCATATTGGCATGAATTTCTATAGGTTCATCGTTAATGACAACATTTTTCACACACCCAACATATGGTAACTTGGTAACGACTCCCTTGGCTCTGGGTGTATTTAAGTACCTGTGCCCTCCTAAGAACAAGGCGCTGCCTGTATCGGTCGACGTCGAAGAGTGATCTCCCAGATTCGGATCAGTAAAAACATTATCCACAGACAACGTTATCACATTTTTAGATTTTACAGCTAAAGAATGCAGACGATATTACACGAAATTACAAAGATTAATCTACTTACCCTGAACGCTATGCCACTGCCCGTCGCAGAAGTAGAACTTCTTGTGAGGGTTGTACACGGCTTTAATAGGCCCATTTCCGTTTTCGACCGTCAGACTCATCTCACCTTCAATCATCTCCAAAACGAAGAAATCTTTTCTCCCGTTAACGGCGATCAAAACACCTGAATCTCGTCTTGGCTTAATGTCGAGTTTCACATTGAAGACATCGCCCACTTTAAAGCGGGGCTCCTTCAGTCTGACAAAGCCGCCTCTGCCTGGGAAGAACGCCCCAGATTCGATGTTATTGAAGCACGGGACAACCCCAATTTGGTTTTGGGGTTGGATTTCTAGAGGCTTGCTGTTCATGACCAAGTTTCTGATGCAACCACTAAAGGATCGGGTGTTGTTCTAAAAACCAAAAGTAATTACGCACATTTAATTTTTCAATAATAATAATTAATAAAACTTACCAAATTTCCTTGAATTAGGTTGTAATGATCGGGATCTAAGCCACCAACATAAATGGGATGTTTGACATCTAGTTTCTGCATACTGGAATCTTGCTTGTCGAAAACTTGACCATCTAAAACTAATTTACCTCCATTTTCGTCTCTGCTGAACTCGACTACGTGCCACTTGTCATCACTGTAGTCTTGCGTGTTGTTAGATTTTATTACAGTGGTAGATTTACCATCACTGAAAGTGTAGACCACCTATAACACCATCATTATAGATAACAGTCTTTTTAGTTCGTCAAACAACATACATTCCCTTGCTGCAAGAACAACGCTAAATATTGCGAGTGAGTGAAATTGTCCGACATATAGAAAATGATACCATCTGGAGCATCACTCTTAAAATCAAGTGCAAAATCAATGTGTTTCTTATATCTTCCTCTTAGTCTCTCAATTTCAAGCCTGCTGTCTTTCTGGGCCCCAAATCTGTACACTCCAGCAGCGCTTTGAGGTGGATCCAAAGGCAACACACAAGCATCTTCTGGTGGTTTTGCAGTTGTGATGGGGTCACGACCCACTGGACCATAGGGACGTGGGGGCGTAGTTTGAATGAGTTGTGGTTGAACAACCTCTGTTACAGCTTCCTGGTCTGTCCTGTCAAAGTCATCAAAGCCGCCATCACCACGTCTGGTAGTGTCTGCAAAATCACTGTAATAATGGTGGATGCGCCGGGATAATTCACTCACGTTCGTGGGGACCCTGAGTGGTTTCACCGAAATGTTCAGTTGTTATTGGTTCCAGTGGCTCCAACGGTGGTAGGGTGGGTTCTGGTAAGATGATTATTAACAAAACGTACATTTAATACTAAAATATTATTTACCGGTATCGATTCTGTCGATGTCCTTGTAGTTTTTGTCGTATATACACTTTCCTAATATTTCGTTGGCTTTGTTTGTGCTATTGGCGAAATTTACCACGTTGCCTTTTAGTGTGAGATCCCCTATGCAGCCTCGGAAAGGTATTACCGAGGCTACAGTACCGGGTGATAGGATTAAATGTCTAGGTACGCCCCCGATGTACAAGGTACCATGCATGTAGAAGAGTTGAGGAGGAGCAGAGTCAAGGCTAGAATAATTTTACAAAAATGATATCAACAAATTATACACGACGGAAAAATTATATGTAACTATGAGAGGTCGTGCTTCCATTAGGTTGGTTCGAAAATAACCCACAATTACATATATGGGTGGTTTTAAAAATTTCTGCTCTAGTTACCCTGCAGTAATTTAAATATTCACGTAGTACTAATTATAACAGCTCTGTATTACGACAGTTTCAGGAAAAAGAAATGAGCCATAATTAATCGAATAACATCATAATACCGTAGATGAAGCTAGTAGTAGGTACCATCCTCCTTCCACACATCATTTATTAATATTTTGACACACCCTATATAAATAACTGAACAACATAGGAGTATGTGAAGAAACTACACGAATAATAGCATGCTTTTCTGAATACTTTAAATGAATTTGCAAATTTTTTAACTGACGTTATCGAGCTTTTGGAGAGGTGATTAAATGTATTCTTTAGAAGTATATTATTTTGTATATTTTAGTTTGGATTTGTTTAGCTAACTTTTGGGATGACGCCACATTATTGATGAGGGTAGATAGATAAATTTCGCTTTTTACCATCTACACTACATTCCTAAAACATAATTTGTTTCGGAGATCACATATCTAATAAAATCACCAACAGAGTATAGACAGGCAGAAACGTCGAAAACAGATAAAATCATCATGAATTTGAAATTCGAATTTCGCGCTGAGATTTGTTCTAAACAATTTCGTGAAACTGCATTTGAAAAATTAAACATAGGAAAATCAGTCAATGTAGATTTTTAGCGCCGTACTTCTTGTGTAGCAGTGTTAACTTCAACATGTGTTAAATTTTGGCATGTAGAATCTGAGCATCTAATTTTACCACTAAAAACTTTAAAAAGAAACGTCAATGATTCGTCTACGCTCTAAAGTATCTACATTATTAATCCCTTAATCAGTTGGTATGAATACCCATCTTCCATGCACACATTCTCAAAAATTTATTCTGGACTTTCTCAAGCTCTCTAACGTGAGTGACGTATTGAAGACATATTAAACTGGAATATTCAAGGATTGACCGAACTACAGCGCAGAATTTAAGAGAATCAATACAAATCCTGTCACCATAACTAAAGGAATATTGATTATCCGATATTTATAATCTATATTATTTTTACTCTTAGAGAACGTGATCTGAAAATACTTTTTCACATTTAATTCCATCCCAATATTGACGCATCATTAATACAAACAATTCAAATCTTCTTGAATCTCCCAATAATCCTGTGATGTAAAACTTACTAAGATAGGACTGAACAGTATTAAGAGTACTCACTGGAATGAAGAGGGGGTGGGTGGGCGGGGCTATAGCTTGCTTATAAAAGATTCTGTACGAAAAAGTTAAATTTAGCCCCGCCCGCCCACCCGTTCTCTCATTTTTTCTTCAGAAATAAGAAATAAATGTTACAGCAAATACGTAGTATATAAAAAAAAAAAAACGATTAACGCTTTTTCTAACAGCGTACGTTCTATTAGTTCCCATTCTCATTTTATAAAAGAACATACAGGATGTTTCTTTTATTTGATACAACCCTTTAATTTTTTTATTCTTCAAGATAAACCTGTAGTTCTTTGAGCAAATTTGTATTATTTTAAAACACCTATGTGATGGCAATCTCACATTTTTATTATCACTTCCTGTAGAACCGGAAATGACGCCAACTTATTTTTTTTAATGGAACACTAGTGTATTTTTTATAAATGAAAATATGTTTTTTTTTGCAAAAAATCAAAAGCAACCAATAGTCTAAAATCAACTTAAAAAGTTATTCAATAAAATAGACCAAAAATTCATATTTATTGATGACAATCTCGTAACTTGAATGGCACTGATGTCTAAGAAAATAGAGGGCGGGTGGGCGGGTCTAGTACTTGTTAATGTAAGATTGATTTTAGTGAATGACATACCTTCCAAGAAAATAGAGGGCGGGTGGGCGGATCTAGGACTTGTTAAGATAAGATTGATTTTGGTAAATGACATCCTCTAAAAAAAGGGTGGGTGGGCGGGGCTAAAACTTGCTAAGATAGGACTGAACAATATTAAGACTAGTCACTAGAAGTCCATTTCACTGATTTATTTTATTTAGTGTAAAATGGAAATTGAAAAACACCAGTATTGTAATTCTCAAAATTTTGTAGGTAAATTGAGTGAGTCGTTCGTGATTTACTCAATAAAATAAATTGGCTCATTCATTATTTTTTTGGGCCACCTGTATAAGCAAATCTAAAAGATATTATGAATGCAATGATAAATCACAAGTAAAAATTCATCATATTTTGGACATTTTGAGATGACGTCATTAATTTTTTGAGGGAATAAACAGATACATTTTGATTAATAATTTGCCATGCTTACAATAGCTTTTTTTCAAAGTATTCAGTTTTGTAGTTCTTGATTTAGTCAATGAAATAAATTGACTCAGTCATTAATTTTTTTGACACCCCGTATAACCAAATCTAAAAAATATGAATACATGATAATAATTCACAAGTATAGACTCATCATTAGACAGCGGATTTCTGTCGGGCTTGGCAAGGCCAAACTCGGTACGGCTCGTGCGGGATGGGAATTCAGAGCAGTTACTAGCTGCACTTCGTCTATTTTCGAATAAAATAACGGTGCTTCGTTGTACTTTGCTGTTAATTCCCGTTCTCATTTACCTAGCTGTTTTACGAATTAAGGTTTCGTGAATTGTATTTATGGAATAAGTGAAAATTAAATGCACTGATTATTACCCGCTACTGATTCACAGCGATTCACGCGTCCCCACCTAATAATCGTGACGTAGCCCGACAGAAATCCGCTCTCTACTCATCATACTTCGCACGTTTAAGATAGCATTTATTGAGCAAAATTCTGAGGTGACGTCATCTATTTTTTAGGCCCTACTTTTTCATATATGACAGGAAAATTGTTTTTTTTCGCATAAAAATTTCCTTTGCAATGCGTATAAAAAAATCAATATAAAAGTGACTTAATTTTAATGAATCGCATTTGACGCCACAGTCCGCCTTAACGAGTGTAACTAGTGAAATATCAGTTTATTAATAACTTCCTCATATGAAATATGTGAAACTTTGACAATGACGTCAACACGTGTTATTTCTGTTTTATTGTTTGTAAATTCACATTATGTTAAGATTTTTAATTTGTAATGGTCGCCTAAAAAGTTATTTTTAATCAAACAGAATGCTCCTTTTTTAAGCCGTAACACGTACTTAGTTTTTTTAATGCAACACTATAAGTTTTTCCATATTCTCATTAGCCTCTACCTAGGCTTTATAAGTGTAGTTTACTTTTGTAATTCAGATGCGACGTTGGCACGTTATTTTATTCCATTTTTTTGGTAATAGAAGGATCCACAAAAAATCATAATAGGGTTATTTTTAAAATCTGTCTTACAATATTTTGTGGAAGGACAAATAAAGTTAACTCAAATTTTAATATACTGAGTGCTCATACAAAAATTTTAAGCCTTACAATTTTCGAATATAGATATTTCAGTTTTTTCAAATAGAACATTTTGTATTTTATTATTTTACTGTATTTTTAAAAAAGTAAAAAATTATACATACCTACTAACCATCAACTTTGAATATAGAAAACACTTAGATAAAAAGAAATAGAACAAAAAAATAGAATAAGATGTAGTAATAAAATATAGGAGGTTCTATTTGAGAAAAGTGAAAAAACTAAGTTGTGTGTTACGCCACTCTGTATAGTTAAAAATTATTTTAAAGTATAGTCCTCAAAGAATCGTATAACTTTGATCGTCTTCTATTTCTAATAATTTATGAGATATCGAGGAACGCACGCTTAGTGACTCACCCTGTATATGTTTTAGAAATATATCATTATTTTCAACCTTTGCTATAGAAATCTCCATTTAGATTTCATAAAATAATACGCTTCTCTGGTTGTGGTTTATTAACCTGTATTTTGTAACTAAGATGTCTAAATTTTTCGAAAAAAAATCCACCTTTTACATGAACACTTTAAAACTTATCTTTCAAACTTTTTAAGGTTTTTCTGGATGTGGTAAATCACTAGTCAAAATGTGTCTGTTTATCCTCTTCAATAACTTGATGTCATTTCAAAATTGTGGCATATAAATCTTAGCTAAAATGCCCAAAATGTCATGAGTCTGAACTTGTGGCCATAATTTTTAGAACTGCCTATATATAGGATGTCTCAAAAAAATTAATGAAGGAGCTATTTATTTTATTATGGATTAATAAATCAAAATGTGGAATATTTTAGTTGCTAGCATATTAAACAAATAAACAATGTTAATCATCACATCATTTAAACGTTTCACATAACTTAAATTGAATGAACTCCCCCAAATTTATATATGTATATATTTTAAATGACACTTTTCTTTTGTCCAGGAGAGTAAGGAAAAGTATGAGATGCGATCACAATCTACCATGAATATTTCTAGACTCTGGAACAATTTTTTACTGTTTTAATTAATTTTAACTAATTTTCGTCGATCTTATACTAAAATTATTTTGCAAGATGATGTTTTACTTTCTTTAGTGAAGTTCTGTCTTTGTAATTTTTTCATGTTCATATTTAATTTATCTTTAAATTTGTTGGTTTAAATTATTTATATGTAACATATAGTTTGGAAAACAAATCACCACAGAATATAGCCGATTTTATTGAGCATATTGTACGAATTATTATTTGAGCTAAAAACATATATTTCATAGGGATAGAGTGTTCAATGCGGATGCTGGTCCTCTCCCCCATTTTTCTGCTTGAGCAAATACCAATAAAGTTGGCAAAACTTGTCAATGTTTTGTTTATTCTTTTGTGTATGTCTCATATAGTGAAAATTGATATAACTCATTAGAAACAGAAAATTCTGTGCGATATACACTACTTCAACAAAGCAGTAGCTGTGTACGTAAAATATCGAGCTCAACCAATTAATAAAAAAAATTAATAACTAAGCACATACCTGACGTGTTCAATATCGTCAAAATCTATCCTCAAGAAATGATCATTGTGTATCACTGAAACAACATGCCAGTCACTATCGTTATAGGTACCCCTAGACATCAACTCAATTTTCTGACTAATCAAGACTAGATGACCGTTCTTAAGTGCTAGAGAAATATTTGCAGTGCGAAGAGAGTCGGTACTGTAGAAAATCAGGCCGTCTTTCTCTTTGGTTTTAAATTTAAAACTAATCTTAAAATCGTTAGCAACGGTCACTCCACCATGGGCTACATATCCTGGACTCCTATCAAACGAAACCATTTGAGAAAACTACAAGAGAAACATTAGCATGTCATAACAAGTACACACTTGGCGTGGCGTTACCTTAACGGGACAGCCCGGAGTAACATCATAAGCCTTGATATTGTTTCTCAGATCAATTTGGTTGCTCATTATCACTACGTGATCAATGCATCCATCAAACTTGATTTTGGTAACGTCTGCAAACGGATGTTGGCCGGAGTAACCACCAAATGCAATTGTCTCGATTGACTCGACCGATTGACCGTCAATCCCTGGTGTGGTATCGTCGATGTCTTCATTGTCAAGCGTAAGTTTGCCATCTGCTCCTAAACGGCTAGCTGTTACTGTATGCCACAAACCATCGTTGTATGCTCTTTGGGTTTGCCACCTCTTTGTTTGACCTCCCAAATTATACTTAAAAAATTAAAAAAAGCTGTCATAGGCGGAACACGCTAAAATTGTCACTTCTTACCTGATACAATATCCTTCCCTGTCTTAATTCCAGTGCAATAAAAGTCCTTCCTTTGCCCGCCAAAAACAGTAAACCTTCAGTTGCAAACGTCTTGAAATTCAACTGAATAATCGATCTGCTTCTAAGTGGATACGATCGAGCGTCAAGAATAACGTAACCGTTGCCGTTAAATCTATATCCAGTACTAGGTTCTAAATTGATTAGTTTATCTCTTTCAACGGCACCGTGATGGTTTTCGAAACCGTAGTTGAAGTTCCATAACGAAACTGGTTTGTCTCCTATAACAAAGTCCTCGATTTCACCCTCGAATGGTAGAACTTCGACCTCTTTTTGCATGTTGTACTGATCCGGGTAACTACCAATAAACAGTTTGGACTTATTTCGGTCTAAGTTAAATATGGACAGAGGTCCGTCTAAAGTGGTTTCCTTTGAGGTGGTATTTGCGATGCCTCCCGGCAATTCTTCACGTATTGTTAACTTAGCGTTATGCCCAGTTCTAAAAGTGAGTACGTTGAGTGACAAGTTATGAAAAGAAGAATGAGTTGTACCTGTCTACAATAAATTGATACCAGACGTTATTAGAAACATATTTGTCGAGAATAACTTGTTCAACACCATTTCCTACATCTAGTTTTAAGACAGGATAACCATTTTGAAGTATCAGAGCCATGTAGTCGTCCTACGCCAATCAAATTTTTAACACGATATCCAAAATATATAGAGTATTCAATATTTTCTGATTAGCTAGTGATTTCAGACATTTTACGAAAAAATTAATTCAAATCCAACAAATTCAGCTTGTTTACACAAGATTGGTTAAATTAAATTTTATAACCAGCCATAAAACAGCTAAATTAATTAAGGTCAATTTTGTATCTTTTATAATTTACAAAATCAGTCAATAATCACTACATATACATTACAAACGTACCCCTTTAGTTCTCCTCAGATTTGTTCCAACTGGATTACCTAGATACCAAATTAACGCATGCTCTTGATCCGTCTTAAAGTAGCCTGAAATTCGTTCTGAAGTGCTAAGTTCTTGTAAATTGGACGGATTTCTCAACTCTAGGGTGGTATTGGGATAGAACTTCATACCAATCTTGATCTGATTAGCAAGATCTCGAGCATAAATAATTTGTTGATTTAACTTCTTCAAGGAATTTGCAAGATTGTCGACGGTATTTTGCAACCGAGTTTGTTGTTCAGGTATCTCCTCCATAGTATCAACAATTGTCGGTAATTTTTCATTCACGATATTAAGCTGCTTTTGAGTTTGCAACAAATCTCTGTTCATATCGTCCAGAACTTTTGGTAGAAGGGTTGCATTTCCTGTTTCGTTTTTGAGCTAAAACAATAAAATTAATTGAATACTTACTTAAAGTTTAGTCAAAATAACCTTATCAAACGTCCCATTGGCTATGCCTTCTATATTTGTTACGTAACGCATCGCATTGTCAGCTTTTTCTGCAGCAAGCGCGTAAGTTTGATCCAGAGACTGCTTCTGTATATTCTCCAGCATTTTCTCAATATTCGATAAAACTTCATCATTCATCTCGTGCGTTTTTCTCACAGGTTTATACTGATCTATCGCATCAACCACCCTCGGCTCCAAATCTTGAACTGTACTGTGGTAAATTCCAAATGCGTTGTCCAGGTCCTTCGCAGACTTTTGCGCTACTTCGTAAGTTGTGTTACCAACGTCTTCCAGCAAGTTGAGGGCGCTCGTGCTATCCCCTTCAGCTGCTTTAGCAGCATTGCTTGCATTTTTGACTGCTGCTACGATATCTCTGTACGCTTTGACGGCCCTCACGGCACCTCCTGATAAATCTCGAGATTCTGTTAGAAGATTGTCCAGGTTCATCGCTCTGTCCGTTAGGTTTGTAGCATGATGTCTGACCGCTGGGACCTGATTGTTCACTTCGTCAAGTTCTACATCGTTGTTGTCTATCACTGATTTGATTTCGTTGTTGTGTACTTCGATTTCGTTGAGCAGATTTTGGAGGGTCTGTAATTCTACGTTAGATTCTTCGTTGAATTTGGTTGAGTTGTCGTTCAGAATTTGTGATACGTCCAAGTTGTCTTGGGATTCTTTAGTTTGGGTTTCAATGTCGCCTAGTTTTTTCTTTAATCTGTCTATGCTGGAAATATACATCACAGAATTTAATTAATTATGTTATAGCATGTTTATTAGAATGATATACCTATACAGGGTGTTTACTAAAAATGCGGCAAAAATTCCTCGGTATATTTAAGATTTTTTTGTCCTTCAGTGATTTCGGAAAAACGTTTTGCTTCGAACATACGGGGCGATAAAAGTAAAGAAAACTACATACTTGATTCCCGACTTAAAACACTTGGGTTTTTATTTATGGAAGCAAACCGTATTTCCGAAAATCATCCTACGACAAAAAAATCTGAAAATAACCCAAGAAATAACTCTGAATGTTTGCCGCATCTTCAGTAAACACACTGTATATGTTTGTCAATGCGTGATTATGTATCATTATCCGACGTGTTTTGCAGTACATGTAATTTAATTTTCGACCATTGTAAGGTTGGTTTTTCACACAAATGTAATTGCCCATTGTTAAATAATAATTACCTATGAATAAAATATGTAGAAATACTCAGCACTGTCTACTTGACATTATCAAACGCTGTGCTGCAGGTGTATTATTGGTTTTCAAAAACATATAACTCAAAATTCATACATTAAACAAAACGTTTAGGTTTCTTTTTGCAAAGTTTTAGGGAACAATTGTCACGATATAGTATTAAGAGTAAAGCCAGTAAATATGTTTTAAATCAGCTTCTCTCCAAAATAATTACTAATAATGGGGGTAAGATATGAACTTGGTAAGATCTGGTAAGCGTTTAAGGTGTGGATAAAAATATAGTATGCTTATAATTGAGCACCTCATAAAATTCAATAAATACAAGCAATGGCATGTTACACAGACTGTTATGTAGCCCTTTATTTAAACAATTTGTATTTATTACTCTTGCAACACAAGAAGGCCTTGGCCAGGCAAGCGGATTTATTAGGCTCATTGTGAGGAACTCATAAAAATTACCGCAAGGTGAGTAGCAATTAAGCCATATATATACAGGCTGTCTGGAAAATGGCGGATTAACTCTCCGCTACGCTCTTAAAATCAAATGGTGAGTATGGGAAAAATGGCTTATTTATGTTTATTTACCATTTCAGTTAGAATTGGTTGTGTTGTTTTTGTAATATTCTGATAAAATTTCATTTGACAATAATGTTTGCCTGATCTAAAGCGAAGGTACAAATCAGCAAAAATCGAGTAAGCAGTTAGAAATGCTTGACCTATCAAAAATTGTCAAAATTTTCCAAACCCTACGTTTAAAATGTTCGCAGTTAATTTTTGATCCCCTGGGGCCGGTTAATAGAAAGCGATTTAAATATTCACAACGGACCTCAATTAAAAGTTAATCACGATATAATTAATTATTATTATTAAAATTTAATTCGCTTATAAACCGAGTCCTAACATCGGGCGGGTGAGTGGGGCTCAATTTTTGTTTTTTTTTTTTTTAATATATCGAGTTTTCTTTTAACAACGGGATAGTTAAACATATATATTATCAGTTTTTTGTTGGGAAAAGAAGACTTCGTATATTAAGGAAAAATGGACCAAATATAAGCCCCGCCCACCCACCTCTTCTCAATTGTGATGAATGCTTTATTCATCGTTAGATGAAGGGCGGAATTTAGTTGCAAAATCCTCATTTTTCTACAAAAAATTACCACATGAAATATGTTTCTAAAAGGATATAATTTTTTAGAGAAATATTGGAATTTTGAATTAAACTCCGCCCTTCGGTCTGATTAGAAATGAAAAACTCATGATAATTAAGATCGGGCGGGTGGGTGGGGCTTAATTTTTCTGTGTTTTTTTTTTAATATATCGAGTTTTCTTTTAACAACGGGATAGTTAAACATATATATTATCAGTTTCTTGTTGGGAAAAGAAGACTTCGTATATTAAGGAACAAGGGACCAAATATAAGCCCCGCCCACCCACCCCTTCTCAATTGTGATGAAAGCTTTATTAATTGTGAGATGAAGGGCGGAATTTAGTTGCAAAATCCTCATTTCTCCACAAAAAATTACGATCTGAAATATGTTTCTAAAAGAATAGAATTTTTTAGACAAATATTGATGTTTCAATTAAAATCCGCCCTTCGATCTGATTAGGGAAAAAACTCATCATAATTAAGATCGGGCGGGTGGGTGGGGCTTAATTTTTGTGTTACTTTTTTAACATATCGAGTTTTTGTTTTTTTTTTTAATATAGAATTCTCTTTCAACAACAGGAAAGTTAAACATTGTCACTTTCTTGTTGGGAAAAGAAGACTTCGCATATTAAGAAAAGACCAACACTAAGCCCCGCCCGCCCACCCCTTCTCAATTGTGATGAATATTTTATTCATCGGGAGCTGACGGGCAGAGTTTAGTTGCAAAATACTCATTTCTCTACAAGAAATTACCATATTAAATATGTTATTAAAAGAGTAGAATTTTGTAGAGAAATAATATGTTACAATGAATCTCCGCCCCTCGTCTGATTAAGAATGAAAAACTCATCGGGGCGGGTGGGTGGGGCTTAAGCTTTGTTTTTTCTTTTTTATATACATATGTAGTTAAACAATTTTTTGCCGCAAAGAACAAGAGGTATTATATTAAAAAACATAAAGTCAATGGAAACGTCCAAAAGTTGGAAAATCGGAAAACTGGAAGATTTATACATGAAAACTCGAAGAGATATCGTAAAATTAAAGAGAAAAAAACCGAAATATTGAAAAATTGCAAACTGAAAAACTGACGAAACGAAAAATTGAAAAAAGTGAAATTGAGAAAACAAAAAATTATAAAATCAGAACATTGAAAAATTGAAAATTTGTAAAAATAAAGAAAAAAAACTGGAACGAAAAATTGCAAATGGAAAAATTAAAAGTTGAAAACTCGAGAAACTCAAAGCGAAGAATTGCAAAATCTAGAAATTGAATTGAAAAGTTAAAAAATTGAAAAATTAAATTTAAACTTCGAAGCTCGAAAAAATGAAGGAACAAAAACAATGGAAACTTGAATGAAAAATTCAAGCCAAATAAGCTGCGAGAACGTTATTTACACCACTGGTTTTTACTTTGTACAGGATATCAGAAAACCAAAATCTCAATATGTCGCCATTTTTGTCTAGACAAATATTGTTCAAAACAAGTTAAGGAATAAAACACTCAGTATTACTCTGCAGAAAATATAATTTTTACAAATAAAAAATTATATTTAAGATTAATTAATAAATATTGGTAATATTATAGGGTATTTTACTTCGTTTATAACCTCGCACTCATCATAATTTGTGCAAACATAAGCTTTAGAGTATTTAATAAATATTAATGGCGTATTTGTAATTATTTATTTATATAAAATACCAATAACCATTAATACTGTGCAGCCATATACATAATTGCGCCTAGATTTGATATACTGTTAAGAAACCGATTTATCACTATAAAATCCTAACTAACCCAACAAAAATAATGTAATAAAATATTCGCGCTAACTCATAAAAACAAAAATGGATGTACAATGGTGTTATTTCCGGCATTAAGTCAGATCAGTCACATTAAACTGTCATGAGCAGCGAAACAGAAACTTGTTAATAAATACGAGGTGCGGAATCCAAAAAGTCGTCTGCTTTGCTTTTCAGGCCCGTCTTTCGCGATATGTGAGTATTAAATCGGGCTGGTGACGTTTGACTGACAGTTTGACGTAACTAGCTAAGACCGTGTAACTGACAGAAAATCAGTTGCTGAATTGCACAGACATACAATTTTTTGTCACTGCAGTCTGCAAATTTCATAGCTTTTTTACTAGTAATAACGTTTATAATGATATTAAAATTGAGATGTAGATGCTTTTAAGCAGCAAGTTCAAGGAAAAGCAAATTTTAGCTTTTCTTATTGGTGTATTTGTTAACAAGGGAATTAATGAGGTTATCGTCTCGATTTTGCCCGGCATGTTTTAAAGTTCGACCAATTAGAGTAGTTGCTTAAAAGTTGGAACTAATGTTTAACTTTGGAAAATTGTTATTTAAATAAAAAAAATTGTTCATAATAACAAACTTTAGTTACAACAGTCTTCAGTTCATTAATATAATTAATGTGATTCTTGAACACGGTATTTTTAATACGTCCGAATAGCAAAAAATTCCAAAGGCGATAAGTCTGAGGAACAAATCAGTCAAGATCGAGCGTTCGTCAAAATATTCTTGAAGGTATATGATTGTTAAACTGACCCTATGGGCTGTATCGCCATCTTGTTCAAAGCATTCTCACTTCAGTACTTCATAGTCCAAGGATTAATAATCATTAATCATATACTACAACATTTTGAAATGGCGTCACCAATGAGAAAAACAAATTTTCGTGATAATATTAATGTATTTTTAATCAAACTAATTACCTAATTGTGGACATTTACCTCAAAAATTTTCAGATAGTTAGACGGAAACAAGAAGGCTATATTTGAGATACGAAACGTTAAAAAATACGGAATTAAGTATTAGTTCACCCACCTTCGGAAGTAAAATGGAAAATTTATGATAATGACTGTAATCTGAAATAGACAACAGTTGCATAATTATTTTGTCCAACTTGAAAGCTGTTACTGATCACATGTAAACCACTTATTAGTGTTTTATTATTATAAACAATAGACATAATAAAAATGAAAACACGATAATAAGTACTCAATTACGGTCATTAGCTTTTTGATATCTGCAATAAAAGATTTCATTCCGATCTAAAATTGTTAGTTCTTTTCAAATTTGTCTATTAACTAATTTATTATTAGAGTTCATTATGATTCGAATTTCATAAGTTTTATTTATACCGAAGGTTAAAGACCTTCAAATGACGATAAAATGTTAATCATGAAAGCCAAAGTCATAGAAAAACACAACGCATATCCGAAAATAATAATTTTCACCGACGCAAAGTGTTCGACACTTGAATTCGTTTCGCCTTGACCTCTACCACATCTGGTCACCATATGTTATCTACCAAAGGAAACAGATAGCAGGCAACAGTCAACTGCTCCTTTGTTCTGCAAACAGACAACACATTCCTCAGAAAATAATTCATCACTGCAGCTGCAACAAAGTAACGGTTTGTGAATTTAAAACAACCGCGCTTTATTCACGATCACGTAGTTGTGATGACAGCTGACGTTTCCAACACCAAATAAAATCCAGACAAAGTCCCAAAAGAAGTGTGGTTATGTTTGTTAAAAATCGAAGTGTCTTGTTGAAGTTGTTACAAAACCAGGGATGAAGCCCTGAATTTTAGTTAAAATGTTGCCGACCAAAGGCTATTTTCAAGATATCGAATGCCCGTATTACGACAATGCTTGCAACAGGCCTTACTGTCACTTTCGGCACCGAAAGAAGACGCAAGAAACCACCGAGGAAGTTTCAATCGAGACAACAAAAGAACCGGAAGTTCCTACGTATAAACCGACCCCCAAAAGCGAGTTAGCGAACATAAAAAGCCATATTCCCATTAGTTATGTTCCGGACTTGGCATTCAGACCTGGCCGAACCCCTCGACCAGTACCAAAGTTCTCATTTGAGAAGCCTACGTATAAACCAACACCGCTGAGTATATTGTCTTCGGCGAACAAGCGCGAAAACGGGCTGGAAAGTGATGAGAAGGAGACGAGTGAAGAGATAGAAGCAATCAGGGAAATCAAACAAAATATTGCCAATGCAGAATACAATCCAGAAGTGTCTTTACAGGATGATATCAACTTCGAGGACTTGTCGGCGGAGTTTGACCTAATTGATGACATAATTCAAGAGCCTAGTGACAAACAAGCCAAGAGTAATAATTCGACAGAGAACGTGGTGAAGAAGGTGGAGAAGGCAATCAGTATTCTGAAAAGTAGTAACGAAGAAGGAAAAATTGAAAAGGAAAAAGAGAAATCGTCAAAGGATAAGCCTGAAAAATCGGAAAAACGAAGCAGTGGCAGCAGTAGCAGCAAATCTCATAAATCAAAACATCACAATAAGAAAGATACCAAAGACAAATCTAAAGAAAGTAGTAGGGACAGACACAAGGAGAAAAGCACAAAATCTGACAGGAGTAAAGAAAAGGAGAAAGAGAAGGGTTCAGGACACAAGAGCAAACACAAAAGTAGTAGAGATAGGGAAAAAAGTAAAAGTAGAGATAAGGATAGAAAAAAAAGTAGTAGCAAAAGTAAGAGTAGGGATAAGGATAAACGCGATAAAGAAAGGCGGTTGCGGGACGACGATAGCAGCAGTGAGAAAAAATCGAAAAAAGCGTCAGAATCCTCTAGTGATGAGATCGATAATAGTGAAATTTTTGAAACAAACAATTTCGACGATTACTCCGACTTTGACTTGGAAGACGAAGATACTTTATCAGAATGTTATAAAATATTTAGTGAATATGAACCCCCGAAAGTCGAACACAAAGATCCGTCGCCCCCAGAACCTGTCAAAGATGTACAAGAAGACATCACCGCTAGTAAGAAACGTATAGCACATAGTTCAGCACATATTAATGAGAGCGGATCAAAAATAAACTATGTTAAACCAAAAATTCAAGTTACGCCTGCGCAAATGTTGGCTAATCGCTTCAAGTTGGCAAAAGCAGCTCAAGCTAATGATGAGCAGAAAAATATAATAAATGAAGTGAAACAGACAGCTATTAAAAGACCACCTCCAAGTTTGTTAGAAGCTGCTAGAAGTTACAAACTTCAGAAACTCTCAGTCAAAGAAAAACCAAGCGAAAATGTTAATCTAATTGACTCTATTTTGAATAGTGCTAAAAATAAACCTAAGAAAATAGCACCTGTTCAAAACGTAAATTCCATCCAAAGAGCTAAAGCACGGATAGAAGAATTAGCTAAAAAGAAAGCGACTGAAACCATCAGCAAAACAACAGCACAAACAGTGAAAGGAAAACGTGTGGCTCACGTTCCTGATATTTCTTTATCAGATATACCGGATGTGTTAAACGCTGATAAATCTAAACTCCCCATAAACGTTCGCACACGATTTCTAACAATGATTGCTGATGAATGCGTGAAGTTGTATTTGACGAAAGAAGACGCTTATAATAGGGCACTGACTGAAGAGTTCAGTTGTTACGAAAAATGCAAAGTCCTCATCACTTATAAAAACTCAGCAATGTTGGCGGTGAACCGCCTCAGGAAAGAGTTACAAGAAAGAGAAAGATTAGGTCTGGGACCTATTGGTGAAGGCGAGTCATCAGAGAAAGATAGTTCTTCAGATTTCAAAGGAAAAAAGTTCTATAACCACATTAAGCAATACATTTTGTCAGAGGAAGAGCTTGATATTCACGGGTACCCAAAAGAAAGCTCAACACCTGGCAAAGCAGTGATAAAAAATCGCAGAAGTAAAATCGACGTAAGTCTGGGAGAAAATCAAAGGAAGTGTACAAGATGCTCCAAAATCTACTTAGTGGATGAAGACGGTTTCGTGTTATATCCAGAAGAATGCCTGTATCACCCCCTAAAGAAGAGGACCCTGAGAGGTGAACAAACCTACCTTTGTTGCAAAACTAACGACGGTGTTGGCTGTGTAACATCAAATACTCATGTCACGGAATGTTGTGGTGATAGTGAACTGGAAGGTTTCCAAACTACTATGAAACCAGAGTCTGATGATGACCCGCGAAATTATGCAGTGTACGCTCTGGACTGTGAAATGTGTTACACCATTAAAGGTTTGGAATTGACTAGAGTGACAATCGTGGACTCTGATTGTAAAACCGTGTATGAATCGTTAGTGAAACCCTTAAACCCCATAATAGACTACAATACAACGTTCTCTGGTATAACCATGGATCAAATGGAACGAACTAGTACCAGTATTTTGCAAGTTCAGGCAAATATTTTGCATTTGTGTAATTCTAAAACTATTTTAATTGGTCACAGTCTAGAGTCCGACATGAAAGCCTTAAAAATAATTCACGGGACTGTTATAGACACGTCTGTGTTGTTTCCGCATAAAATGGGTCTGCCTCATAAGAGGGCGCTGAAAGTTTTGGCTAGTGAGTTTTTGAAGAAAATTATACAGAATAGTGTGAGTGGACACGACAGTGCTGAAGATGCCATTGCTTGCATGGACTTGGTGAAGTGGAAACTGAAAGAAGAGTTGAAAGTACGTGGAATTAAGTGACCAAGGTGTATGTATATTTTTTACTTGTTAATTTATGTTAAAATATATGTGTATATGAAATTGTTGATATGTATAAATGTCGAAAGCATTATGTCCATTATTTAAGACTAATACAGTTGTGTGGATCAATTTCTATTATTAAATTAAGTATTTATTATGTTCACAAATTTTTGTAATAAATTTATATCACGGTAGTTATACCGCCCAGTGACTGATATTATATTTTCTTTAAAGTTAATAAATAACTATAATTATTGTACATCCCTTAGAAAAAAATTTAATTTGTCATTTACGTGACGTGAAAAACAGTTAAATATTCTTGACAATTTTATTTTTTCAATAAACAGTTGAAAAAAAATGCTCCCTAAAAGTTATTATTTATTTATATATTTTAGAAAAACCATCGCTGACGTGACTTCCCTGGCTCAGTAACAACTAATGAGAACCAGCTCTAAGACAAATGTATTCAGTCAGTGGATTCGCAGTAGTAACGGAAAACCGAAATCATTAGAATATGACAAAAAGTGGTCATTTAATTGTGTTATTTATAAAAATGTAAGATCATAAAATTATTGTCTGAATATCCTGCACTCTTTCCTGTGTTATAAAAATGTATTAGCAGTTTTGGTTGATTTGTTTAAAGTTGTGTCGCCTGATAATGATTTTAATCAATATGGGCCACTGAAAAAAAATGCTACGATCGTTATTATTATATGAGATATATGTTACTGTTCTGTACAATTCTTTCTACGCCACTGAAGCACAGTGAAACAAGTCTATTTTCTTGGATAAATGGTAAACATTGAATTTACAAATTATAATGTGTTTCTAGAATTTTGGCAAAATTAAATAAACCTTCTTTGACTTAATCAAAGTTAATTAATTGATTAATTAATTTTTAAACACCCTGTATAAACGAATTGGGGCGGATGAAAAAATACATTTTAATATTGTTCTGTAATCATCACATCAACGTTAGTATTTTGCCAGAATTTGGAAACAATCGTTTCGTAAATTCTAAGAGAAATTGTAAATTTTCCTTTACAATTTTAGTTTTTTATGACAAACCGAAAATTTCACAGTTTTAAGATGACGTCATCAAGTTTTTGGAAGGAATGAACAGATAAATCTGAATTAGCAATTTACCACATTCTCGGCAACATAAAGCATGTGCAACATTTCAGCACAATCGTTTTAACAGTTTTTACGGAAAACTGTAACATTTTGTTGTACCATTTTGATTTTCATTTCGAAAAACTCGGAAAAGCCTTTAAGCATAAAATTAAAAATCGCGGTGAATAAAAAAAGGTATAGAAACATTTTTTTCATATTTAAGTGATGGGATTTATTTAAAAAAAATGTTCGAAAGTTGTTTCGACAGAACTTCCTTCGCACCCAATGTACAATAAAGCATATCCAGCATTTTAGAGTTGAGTTTTTTCGTTACACAATTTTACAATGACATCATCAATATTTTTGCAAGAACACGTATATCAACTTGGATTGGTGCAGTATAATACTAAAAATAACAGTATTGTATTTCGAAAAGGGGAGCCGTCCCTGATTTAATCAATAAAATAAACTGACTCATTCATTTTTTTTGGCCCATCTGTTTAGGTAGAATTTATTCGGCAAAATTTTGAGATGATCAATTTTTTGGGGAAATAAAAAGATATATTTTTATTAACAATTTACCATGCTTACAATAACATTAAAAGGTCTGCAAGATTTCAAAGTATTCGGTTATGCAATTCTTGATTTATTCAATACAATAAATTCACTGATTATATGTATTAAATTTTTTGAGTCACCCTGTATAAGTAAATCTAAAAAATATCAATGCAATGATAAATTACAAGTACAGACTCATCATATTTTGCACAATTTAGGTAGGATTTATTCGGCAAAATTTTGAGATGTTGTAATCAATTATTTGGGGTTGACAGATACATTTTGATTAAAAAGTTACCATTCTTACAATAACTTCAACACGTCTGCAAGATTTCAAAGTATTCAGTTGAGCAATTCTTGATTTAATCAATAAAATAAATTGACAATCAGTTTTTGGTTCAAACGAGTTTTTACTTTACAAAATTTTGTGTCTATCAAATTAGGTTGGTGCAATGTAATACTAATAATAACAGTATTGTATCTCCAAATTTTCGGGAAAATGGAGTGAACTATTCCTGATTTAATCAATAAAATAAATTGACTCATTCATTAATTTTTTGAGCGACCTGTATAAGCAAATCTAAAAAATATTAATACAGTGATAAATCATAAGTATGGAGTCATCATACTTTGCACACCTAAGATAGGATTTGTTCAGAAAAAAATTGAGGTGACGTTATCAATTTTTTAGGGGGAATGAGCAAAATTTTGATCCAAAATTTACCATGCTTATGATAACATTAAAACATCTCCCAGATTTCAAAGCATTCGGTTTTGTTGTAGTTCCTGATTAAATCAATAAAATAAATTCACGCATTCATTAATTTTTTTGAGTCATTCTGTATACACAAATCCAAAAAAATTGAAAGGAATGATTTTAGATAGGATTTATTCGGCAAAATTTTGATCTGATGTCATCAATTTTTTGGAGGGGGTAAGGAAATCTATTTTGATTAAAAATTTGTCATGCTTATCATAACTTGAAAACATCTACAAGATCTTGTTTTGGAGATTCAAAATTAAATTACAAAATGTTGTGTTACAATTTTGATTTTTTTCCAAAAATCTGGACGTTTCGGGTAAAAACTCAACACGGAGTCATAAGCTACATGTGTAGGACTATGTTATTTATATAGTCTAAAACCCATTTACTATGTACAATTTTGAAGTGACGTCATCACATTATTGGTGGAGATGATTAGACGAATTTTGATGAGCGTTTTACCATCTACATGATATTCCTAATATAAATACAAACTTTCACAATAATCGGCCCAGTACTTCAGGAGATTATCTGTCTAATAAAACCCGGGACGGCGGACAGGCAGACAGACAGACGGAAAAGGGAGACCTATTTCTCCGTACTCTAGGGAGACCTATTTCTCCGTACTCTAGGGGTCATGAAAGGTCGAGAAAACTAAAAGTAGACAGTCGGCAAACTGACTCGATTACGATACTTCCTTCGTTTACACTCGGGAAGTAAAAAGGAATAGAAATATTTTTTTCACATTTAAGCTAGGGTATTTATTTAGCAAAATAATCGAATTTTTGGTGGGGACTGTTTATTTCTATTTATAAAATATATACATCTAAAATGTCATATCATCAGTCCAATCGTTTTGGCAATTATTTGTCAATAAAATCGCCGGAGGGTCTATTTTTTCCTATTCTGGGAGTTTTGAGACGTCGAGGAAATATGAAATAGGCCATTTGCCTAATGGACTTTTACAGTATAGTCTTGCAAATTCTCTGTGGGTTTTATAGTCTGTTAAAGTGATTATGGAGTGTTAAACTTTTCGATAAGAGGATTTATTCATTTCTTGGTAAATTCGCTTATTACTACCTATGTTGGTACCCTTTTAGGAACGTATTCCGTTGTCAAGTCGATTCAACAAATAGGTTACAACATTTTGTCAAAATTATCGTATTATTATCAGAATTCTGCAGCTGAATATAAATCATTGTTATTAAATTTATGTGGAAAAAACATTTTACTTACGAACTATTTAAATCAAAGATTACACATGTATGTATACAAAAATATTTAATACGTATTCAAAATTCTTCATCTTCACTTCAATTACATGTTTAATACAGTTTTTCCACAAATCACTTCTAATCTTGTCTACTTCTTGTCTGATTAAGTCAATAATGGTAGCACTCAATTGGGAGATGTATTTATCCTTCTTACTGTACGTTTCAGTGAACTCCAGGTGAATTCAATTGGACTAAGAACACAGTAATATGGAGGTAAAGGCAACACGAAATTGCCGAGAACTGTCCAGTCCTTTAATGACATCTAATAAATCTTTCTTCAATTTCCTACTTTCACCCAATCTCAAATCTCTTTTTTTTTTTAAGAGTGCTAGGTTTCTTGTTTAACAATTAATAATTTAGAACGGTATTTTGCATTATCCATTACTAGTATTGAGCCAATCCAACTACCATGTCTTGTCTAGATATACTATGTGATGACCTTCTAGTATTATCTTCTAATTTGAGTTATATATTCTCATCTCGATTTTTTTAAACGTTCAGACTCCACAAATGCCATTCGTGTATCCAAAACCTTGTACATAAAACCTATGCTTCTTAAATAGTTAAATACCGTCGAAAATATTCGTTCGTATAATTAATGTTGTACGTTATTTTTTCTTTTAGACTTGAGTTGTTGGTACTTGATTTTCTTTATAAAAATGCCATATAACTTGTTTTATTTCAATACCAAGTTGTTTTGAAATTTTTACAAATTTCGCACACTAACGCTTATTCTTTTCCAAATTCATAAAACCCATACAGAACTTGCAAGACTATACTTGTATTTTTTCAAGGACGAAACATTTTTGGATCCTAATAAAATTTTATGATCACGGGGGCTTTATTAAAATCGCAAGCGGTCGGAATTCTCGTCAAAATGATGACTGCAGTTGAACAGTTAGCACGCTTTAACTCAAGGATATAATTTATGGCTTTAAATAGTGAGGAATTGGGGATCTCTAACTTTAAATTGCAAAATTTTACAAGAACCCAAAAGTAGTGAGTTTAGATTATACTTGTTAACACTTTTTGTTTTGGTCATCACTAATGATCACATACAAAAATTCGTCACAGAATGTTGAGACAGTTGACGAACAGATCGACAGATTCTCGAATCACCACTGGAAACTGCATCTATTCCTTCTTTAACCTATATTTATGACTATTAGTGTCTGATTGTTTCTAAGAAAATTTTGTACGGATTATAAAACCACTATTTATTGAATCCGAACCTATGCAATACCCAAGCTCAAAAATGCACCCGTCTACCGTCTTTGTCGGGGTATTTAACTTCATCACATATAATGTTAAGAGTTTGTGGACTACCATACCTCTAGTGAGCTTTTTCGAATGTCCAGAATCTCACCTTTATAAGCGAGAGTTAAAAGGATCAAAACATTATAATCTGCAGCACTGTTAAATGGGTTGTCTCTTTCCTAAGTGGGGAAAATTGAAACTAAAACCTAGTTTCCATTCACTTATAGGCACTTAGTAATTACAATTATAAAAACTGTCAATGCAAGGATCGACTTATATTTAAGAAATTATACTTAACAAATATGAGCCTAGTTGTAATTTATAAATCCTTCCAAAGATCAAGTTTTCTACGCATAAGTACTAAGTGGACAAGTCAGAAAAAGACACCTTGAGCATGCGCACTACTCAGTAATGATTAGATGTATCGTGGTTTTATTTTTAGCGAATTTTAATGTAATTTTCAGAGATATCGACGAAAAGTTTGACGAGAAATTGTAGTGGCAATTCTAATTCTTAATCATAATTTTTGAAGTGGTTGAAAAAGAGTAAAGCTTAATTGATTCGTGTAGTCACATTTATGTGAAATGACAGGTAATACCATATACCAAAAAAAAAAAAAAAAACTAACTAATTCTATGGCTGATTAGACGCCTTTTTTTTTCGATCAAATGGTATAAGACAAGTTTATCTTTCCATCGGTATTACCCCCTTACCCTCCTGTATTTTCTTAATGCTTATACTGTTATTGCACAATACTTACCCGCTTTTGTCAATTATTCTCTGCGCCTCATTTGCATTGTTCAGCGAGAACTGCGTTTGATTATACAAATCGTCCAATTTCTGATTAAAGCTCTTCAACTCATCGCCCAGTTTCTTAGTTTTTTCGTCCAAATTCTCTACAGGAATTTCGAAATTGGTAACATTTGTTAAAAGTGCATTCACTTTCGCAATTTCAACATCAGTCAAATTTTGTCGTTCAGTTAAATTGTATCTTTTAATTGCATTTAGAATTTCGACACCTTCCTGTACAGCCGAATCAATTTCCGGATTTTCGTCCTTATTGAGTTGGAAACTTATCTTGTCAATTCCCTCGATCACACGTATAGAATCATCTTCAGCATTCTGAACATCATCCAGAAGAATCTCCGCTGTCTCTTTCAAATCTGCGGAATTCGTTTTCAAAGAGTCGCTATTTTCCAATGAGTAATTCGCCTGCAATAATTTTTATTTACAATTTTCAAGTAACTGAATGTTTGAAGTGTTTACCTTGCGGTTCAAATTTTTAGAATCTTGTTCCAAGGTTTGCAGTTCTTCAATATAAATGTCCAGACTGATCTGTTTTGGATCAACCTCATTGAACTTGGGTTCTAATTCCCGTAACAGTTCTCTCATATTTTCAAGCTTTCTTCTTGTAAAGTAGCCCGAATTTGCAGACTACATATAAAATTATTACAGTGGTACAAGGAAAAAACGGAGTTAAAATACTCACATCAAATTCCAAAATAATGGGGTCAATCAAAGCTCTTAGTCCATCAGTATCATCCAAGAGGGCGTGCGTGCAGCTATCACATTGATGGCAACCGTAATCTGGTACAAAGACCCACCGATGAGGACACTGGTCGCATTTTTCACCTATGACCCCCTGGAGACACTCGCATTGTCCAGTTTGTGCGTTGCAGCCGAAACCACGGGAATAATCACTCTTGCAACCACAGGCTGAGTAAAAATTTTACACACAATAATTAAATAACTACTTTGTTCTTTTTACATCAAATATGTTTATCCAAAATTTGTATACTTACAAACGCATCCTTCCTCTGTATAATTCCAATAGCCAGCCGCGCAACGATCACAAGGTCTTCCAGCGGCTCCAGGCTTACACCTACATTGTCCAGTGACGTCATCGCATCTAGCACTTTCCGAAGCGTCACCACAGTCACACGGTACACAACCAGCTCCAGTCTGGAAGCCGTAGTGAGTGTCTTCACAGCGATCGCATTTTTCCCCGATGACGTTAGGTTTGCAGACGCATTCTCCAGTGAAGCTGTTGCAGTGGTCGGTGCCCACATCATCACATATGCAACCTATATGGTGTTTTTTTGTTTGTTTCATAGTCGATAGAATAAAAAATAACTTACTTTGACAATCCTTGAGAACAACAGCATCTCCAAAGTACCCAGGGGCACATAGAGAGCAAGCTTTACCGAATGTGTTGTTTAGACATCTTAGGCAGTCTCCTGAGGCGGTATCGCAAGATCCGGGGTCGTCAGGGTTGATGTTGCCCGAACATTGGCAGGGTTTACATATATCACCTAGTAAAAGGGCAAAATCACTCATACGTATATACAAGCTAAGAATATCGTAAAAGAACTCACCTAAAACTTCTGGCCTCCCATAAAACCCTGCAGCGCACGATTGACAACGCCCTCCAAAGTACCCTTCTTTACAATCACAACTAATTTTTTCACCGTCCGAACTGACATCACATCCTGTCGCAAAACTACGAAAAAATCACAACAATGTGGTCATCGTATTGTAAATAGAAACATACTTGTTGCTCGCTACGGGCAAAGGGCACGCACAAATTAAACAATCCCTGGAAGTTCCTGCTAGAGCATTTCCGTGATAGCCAACTTCACATTGTTCGCAGTGGTCACCACGAGTGTTGTGAGTGCAGTTCTGGAGATTATTCAAACGTAAACATCTCAAAAATCGTAAAGGTAGTGCTTACAATACAAATTCCAGTGGCGACGTCACATTCGGTGGCGTGGCCGTGACATTGGCATGGAACGCAGTAACCGCCGTGAGGGCCTGTTTCTATTCTGTAGTAACCTGGAGCGCACTCTTCGCATGATAACCCTTGGTAGTTTTCAGGGCAGCGACATTCTTCAACTGTATCAGCAAGAAGGATATTTCTGTTGTCACCGGTATAGTGTTGATAGGGGATTGCCTCGTCTTGGAGAACATTTGATAATCTGTTGCAAAAATCGCGTATATTATTTTATGTTGAGGATTTGATTAATCTATAGAGTAAATCAGTAGGAGTTATTTTTAACATCTGTGTTGCAATTTTTATGGATAGATAAACGTGTGCGCTTTATTGCAGCAATAAAGTTTAATATAATTTTCAAGTTAGTCACATCCATCTTAATCTGTGATCTTTTTATAAGCCGATTTGGAAAAGATTTTGACGAAAGGATTTGTCTTATACAGGGTTAGTCACGAGAGAATTACTTCTGAAAATTATTTTTACGCAACCCAAAATACTAATACCCTGTACCACTTGATATTATCTGTATTTAAAATGAAATGCCTAATCCATGATTGCTTTGACTTTGGCAGTGTCACTTTGACGTTAATTAATTTTTAACATTTTTTTTTCATCGTTGACTCACTTCTAGAGCCCCATTCGAACGACGACATACAGTCAGATCAATCTGGGCTATACTGAAGCCGTAAGTGCTCTACCAATGTTGTTCGCCGCTAATGTGCACGTGTTAATTCGCCATCTCTGCGTCACCTAGAGCCTCTTCGAAGTGCAAATCTGCAACCTCTGGACTTCTTCGGCCATCCATTTACAAAAAAGCCGTAGCATCCCCCCAAAATGTCCAACATTTTCAACAGATTAGTAGTTAAATTATTTACTTACTTGTTTGAGTTTGTGTTGTAACCTTTGAATAAAATTCCGTAAAAGGAATTTTTAGAAATAATTTTCTCGTGATTAATCGGTTGCAAAAGATCAAGAGGCACACTGACAAATTTATTAGCGGCGCCGGAGGAGATTTCCGACTGGCTGCGGTACCACCATGGACACTCGCGTAACCTCTTTTTCCACAATTGTCAAAATGAGATTGCCAAACTCAAAGCAATCATGGATTAAGCATTTTATTTTAAATTCAGTTAGTATCAAATGGTACATGATATTCGTTTTTTGGGTTGCGTAAAAATAATTTTCAGAAGTAATTCTCTCGTGACTAACCCTGTATACGTGGGCCTTTCTGCGATTTTCGATGTAAGTGAATACAGTTTTAGAGAATTTGTATTTATTGTAAATAATTTGATCGACAGCTTCCAACTCAAAGAAGAAGAGGAGAACACTACGATTTGTTGTTCGTAAAGTAGTTATATAGTGGGGCTCCTAGCTCAGTTTGACCTCATTTGACCTGAGCCAAGAGCCCCACTCCTTTTTATCGAACATTTGTGCTTGGTCGACCTGACCCCGGGGACGGTCCTGTTTTGAGCACACTCGAGTCCCATCCCGACTCGAGTCCTCTCATATAGCTTAGTAGGAAATTACAGATTTATAAATAAAACATTAAGTGTAGTCAGGTTGGCCGAGCGGTCTAAACCGTTTGATTTAAGCTCTGATTCTCGAAAAGGAGCGTGGGTTCGAATCCCACACCTGACAGTTCTTTTGCGTTTAAATAAAACACATTTTAATGTTATGTTATTTCTTGAGGAAATATAATAGAATACAGCATAAGGTGATGACAAACGTTCGATAAAAAGTAGTGGGGCTTCTAGCTCAAGTCAAATGAGGTCAAATTGAGCTAGCAGCCCTACTATACTTCGTAGATATACAAAAATAATACAAAACTTTGATGAATAGAACTCTTTTAATTTTGGCAAGCTTAATAGAAAATCGGTGAAGATCGGGTTTCGTTATTTAAAGTGGGGTTGAAGCATGTTCATACTGAAATCATCGGTCCCGTCCACGCAAAAAGACAAAAAAACGGCAAGACACAGACCTAAAACGCACCTGTTACGATGTTGATCTCTGACGAACGCAAGTAAACAAGTGACGATATTTTCAATACGGTCTGGTTCACGAGATTTCGTACCTACTCTATGATATGATTTAAGGAGGTCACGTTTTATTCCAAATTCGACGAATCCAAAAAGTTAGGTTTTCGCAAGATCTTTGAGATCGATCACAGGATGAAGGACAATTGTTTAAAATTGGTCAGGAAAGGCTAGACATCTTTGAGAGTGAGGTAAGTAGCAGTTAAGGTGTAAACAGTAGTCTAGTCTCTTTTTAACTACAGTATTGCTCTTTTTTGTTCTACACTGACCGGAAAAAAAAACTGGCCACCCTGAAAAATTTCGCAAAACCACTTTAGAAATTATTTTTCTACCGCGCACATTTTTTGATTTTCTAATGGAGCTACTAAAACACCCAAATGACGTCATAGCGATTCATTAATAGTGAAAAGGGGTTCTGAAATAGATCTGGTGTAATTTAGAACGGTAAGATTGGTAGACAAGACGAGAAATGTCACATAATGTCAGGTGAATGTCAGTGCCAAAAGTCAAATTAAAATTTCCCGTATTTCGGGAGGCGTAAGGACTTCACTAACTTCTTCACAAGACATTTTAACCAATTTTAACTCAAATTGATTCGAATTACAGTTGTTGTGAAAATTCGAACCTCAAATATTTCGTGGTTCGTGTTAGATCAATTAAATTTTGCGAAAAAACGTGCGCGGTAGAAAAAATAGTATAAATAACTCGTTCATTAGGCCATTTTATATAACTCGCGGATTTGCCGCTCATTCTATAAACTTGGATTCGTGCTTTAATATTTGCCTTATGAAACTCGTTCTTTAATATACTATAATTTAACTAGTGATCGTTATTTTATTAAAGAACCATTCACTATTGACACATGATGTACAAATTAGCAAAAAAAAGAAGACAAATAAACGCAGAATTAAATTTAATTTAACAAAAAAATAACAGAAACAGACCAAGTATTTTCTTAATTAAAACAATAAAGGAGAGTGTTGTTGTAAACAGTGTTTTTCCTCATCTGATTATAAGTTTGGCAGTTAATAAACGTTATGACGCGAAAACAATGCCGTTAACTCTTACAGACGTCTCTCAAATTGTCGTTCTGTATAATTTTTAAAGTTTGGTTTTGCGAAAATTTTCAGGATGGCCGTTTTTTTGCCGGTCAGTGTAGATGTAATTTTTGAAACATACATTTTTTTGTTAAACTTTAAATAGGATTTACTTATCAATCTTTTGAGGTGGGTTATCGAAATTTTGGTGGGGACAGACAGACAAATTTTGATTAGCGATATATCCAGCCGATGATAGTCTCAAAGCATGTGGTAAATTTCAATAACAATTATTTTAATAATTATTGCTAAGATAACTTGTAAAATTTTGTTGTACAACTTTGTATTGGTGTAAAAATTTACTCTATAGGGTTAAAAATATGGGTGGACTAAGATTTTGCACAGTTTTGATAGGATATATTTATCTACAAAAATTTCGAGATGACGCTGTTGGAGAAAACAAACAAATAATTTTGATTGTTATAACTTTCAGACGTATGGAAGATTTTAGAGCAGACGGTTTTGCATTTTTTAATACAAATTTTCATTGTTTTTTTAACTCTAGACATCCAAGGTAAAAATTAGGGCGGATTAATAAACCACAAGTACAAAAACATATCTAATATATAAAATTTTCATGTCACAGTGTTTGTAACCAAACTCCGAAACAGCTTGACCGATTTTTATGAAATTTTTTGTGTATATTCGGTAGGTCTGAGAATAGGTCGTAGACTATTCTTTATGTTCCTAAGTGATAAAAAATGTTTTCTTTATTTTTTGGACAAAATTTTGTATTTTTATTTTTTTAAGATTTGGCAACAAGAAATACATATAACCCTAAATTTTCACCCTTCTACCACCAACCCGCATTTTTTAATAACGGTATGAGTATCTTTACTTTCATCCAAAGATGCGCAATAGGGTTGGAAGATGGCTGTTGAATATAATCATTGTCGTACGATAAATTTTTTATGTATAATTTATAATTTAATTACAATTTATTTCTTTTAATTTAATTTTTTATTTAACTACCAAAATATTCACTAGAAATAATTTATATGGCAAAACAACGTTTGCCGGGCTAGTTATTTTATAAAATTAGATTTGATTTATTTAACAAAATTTTGAAATGACGTCATCAAATCGTTGGTGAGGATGAACAAACAAATTTTGATTAGTGTTTAATCATCTATACAATAGTCTTAAAATACACCCACAATTTCACACCCATCGGTTCAATAGTTTCGCAAAATACGGGTGTAGTATAATTGTAAACAGACAAAAATGACGGCCAGACGGAAAAGGGAGACCGCCGGCATTTTCGTATTGTACAAGCCAGGAAGTGTTGAAAAAAACATGAAGTTAGCAAAATCTTAAATGGATTGGCAAAAATTAATAAAATCGACATGTTTCAAACAACAATGACAATGAATAGAAACCACGAAACATAGTAATATGTCTGTAATTTCGTGTCAATGATAAGAAAATATCTGTGTGTCAATTTGAACATTTTCTTAAGTCTTTTATATATTTTAATTTTTACTTACTTCGTCGTAACAGTCCCAGTCCAGTAGGTAGCCCTAATGTAAATTCCCTGCAAATCTTCTAAAACCTCCATGATATGGTCTCTTCTAGCTGGTATACCAGTAGGTAGTTCAAAATTATCTTCCACAAATTGAACACTAGCCGGGTATTCCTCATCGGCTGCAGGTTGTTCATAACTGGAATAAACCAAGTATGTTTTTCTACCTTTCAAAATAACATCTGGTTCGCTGACAGCGCTACCTACAAACAAAACGTCTCCAGTGCCAATCACAGTAACGACTCACACAACTGACCTTCGCCAGGCGTTATAGTGTAGTACAGCGTATAATTTAGAAAACCCCCATAAGTAGTTAATTTCTTTCCAATATAATCACTAGGCGCCGAAAAGTAAATCGTAATATTCTCATTATCCGTTTTGTCAAACACAGCATCAATAGTATAATCCTCAGTATTTTCCACCGTCAAATTTAACCGATTTATTCCTAATTTGGTATCGAGGTCGAGCTCCACGAGCTGCCACTCATCCATTTGTATTATCGGTATTCTGATCAGTTTTGAACTTGCACATCTGGTGGTTTTACTAAAGCAGAAACACTCAGTACAGCCGTCTTGATTTGATTCTTGCAGGTTAAAAGTGCCTTCGCGACATGTCTCGCACTGAGGTCCAACCACATTTTTCTTGCAGAAACATTCGGCCGTTTGTTGGTCACAAATGTCGTTGTTTGTACCTCTAGTATCACAGGCGCAGTTTTCGCAATACGGGAACGCATAGTGACCAGCCAAACATTTGTTGCACTGTCGGCCCACCACATTTTCTTTACAACTGCAAAGGAAACACATGTTTATAAAAAATGCTGGATGATTTTTCTTAAGTTATAGCTTGCATTTCATAACTGCTCAACTGAAAACTAAATTCTTCTTTTACTTACTGGCAGCTTCCATTATTGAGATCACACTGCAGTGAGCCTTGGATACCCAGCACGTTGCAGTTGCATTCTTCGCATCCGATAATGGGATCGTAGCCGTAAGTTAAAGGTTTACACTGGTCGCATCTTTCCCCTTCTACATGCGGTGGACAAATGCATCTACCATCGGTGGGTTCGCAGTACGCAATCGTTGGGCAGTTGCATGGTTTACAGTCAGGAAAGCCGAAAAAGCCGGTTTTGCAAGCCTCACAGGTTCGACCAATTATATTAGGTTTACACTGACACTGTCCTCCAAATTTGTCACACTCAAAACTAAGAGAGCCATCGTAGTCACACCGACATGGTAAGGCGCCACTGTTGTGACCTGCCGTTATGGAAAAGACACTGTCTCTACAAAAGCCTTCTGCTGTTGTGTTAATGTTGAAGTGGTTGCTGCCACAGGTGGAGATGAATTCTCCTGTACGGTCGACATCTTCTTCTTCCAGGTATCTGTCATTGTAAAAATCGGCCGGAATAACTAATAGGTAGTCCAGGTATACGTTCTTGCTGTCGGGTTCCTACAAATTTTTGTTATGTAATGGACTAAAGTTGCTTAATGAAATACCTTTAAAGTAAGCATGAAGTTTTCTGTTAGTGAGAACTTGGAGTTTCCGTCTGCTTGTTTTATCGTCGCACGACATCCGGAGAGGGATGGGCAATAGTTCACAGGCAACGTTGCTTCATAAAATTGCCCATTTTGCATTAAAACCTTAACATCGAAATCTACAAGATAAGTTTGCTTAAATAATTTTCACATTGTCGTTATCAAAACGCTTACCTTGGAAGTTGGGTTGATAATAATGGACAACGAAACTATAATCTCCCGGACTCGGTACTTTTCCTTTTAGATCAATGGTGTTATAGTTTGGATTTAACCACATATACGTGGTATTCAGGAGCGTGGTAGCCAGTGGGGCGTAATTTTCTTCAAACTGAATTTTTTTCGTCTCTGGAGGGTTTTGGAAAGAAGACGCTATACATTTACCGTCTTTTCGAATACAAACCGATTTTGGTTTAATGTAATCTAATGACCATTGCTCGAATGGTATAGCAACCACTGAGTGTATACCCACATCAGAATTGGAACCCTGTAGGCGTATTTAACGATTGAAGGCTTGACTAAAACAACTTTTGTTTCAAACTTTGACATAAAACGTGGCGTTTCTTTAAATCAACCTTAATTTCAACTGAATTTTATTAGGTTTTTCCGGAAATTACATCAACTTCTTATTTAGATTTTTTTAAAGCGCCTGTCAAAGTTCAGAAACAAAAATTTGCTAGTGTTAGGGATGTACATACTTTCAAATTAACTGCAATTTCATTTCCATCCACCCGCTGTGCCGCCACAATGCCGTCATTTGTTGTCACCACTTGCCGACATAAAGTAGTATACGGACATGAATATAAAACTGTTTGTCCTTGAGTAGTATGATCACCAGAACGTAAAACGGCATCTACTTTGTGTGTTCTCTGATCTTCATTGGGTGTAACGTAGTTGATCACTATCACGTACTGCCCTGGTTTGTTTACAGTAATGTTGAACGATACTTCAGGTTGGGCAAGATTTAAAGTCGGGACTCTGTTGCCTACACCAATTTTTGACAAATGCTAACGAAAAATAAACATCAGGTCAAAAAAGTTTGTTTTACTAGTCATACCTGGGTATCTTGGAAATATTCTCGAAGTTTCCCGATTCTGCGACCCTCTGGAATGTATCCTCCGGCACCGTAAGTTATAGAGTAGTCAGTTAAGTTTAAGTAGGTGTGGTCCCGGCACAAACCTAAGTCGTCTGTGGTGCAAGGTTTTTCGACTTTTTTGTTTAATATAGTTGCCAAATAGAAATCTTCCGGTAGAAGTACGAAATAATCCTGAAAAGGTAAATCTTGGTGGTAAAGGTGGGATGATAGACGACAGGCAAGTTTGAATTAAGCCAAGTTTCCACTGATACTCCTTGTAAAATTATTCGACGTATTTTGAATTAATTTATGGTACATTTTTTTAATAAAAACATTATTATTTAAATAAATTGTACTAGTAATAAATATTTCATATAATAGAGACCCTTAAAATACGTTACTTTGTCAGTGTGAGGATTTGCAAGCGATTCTACGATGTTTAACACACAAAAAACAGGAAAAAAAAACTGCAGATTGATGTATAATACTGTTACGAAAGAAACCCATACGCCGCCCTGGTACGACGCCTAAGGGTTCTAGTATGTACGGCGATGATGACTCATTGTCGGTGACGGCGGCTGGAGAAAAGCCTGGAAGCGGAAGTCGCGCTGGGAAATCCAGAAAGACCTCGACTGCGAAATTTCTAGACGGGAAGCATGGCTTTAAATAGAGGCCACCTTCGGGAACGATTACTATGCAACCAGTTCAGTCGAGAGTACAGTCAAGTTACGCCGAATTTATTTTGTAGATAATCGCTGTGTAATCAGTCGTGTAAATTTGAGTTACTGAGAAATAAATTGTTGAGTTTAACCCACGCCGATTTTAATCATCCGTTCAACGTAACAATACATCTATAATTAATATATTATATAATTAATACAAAAAAAAAGAAAAGTAAATAAATAAGTACAAATAAATATACCGGATACCTGAGCACTCATAAGTCTAAATTAGGAGTTACTTAACAAGTAGAAAACAAACATATATTATACTTATATGTCACATATTCAAAGAAAAAAAAAAAAATGTAAGCCCGCCCACCCGCCCTGTCTCACTTGTGATGATTTTTTTTATTCAAGTGAGCCGTGAGGGCGCAGCTTAACTGCAAAATACTTATTTCTTTACAAGAAATAAAAAACATGTTTTTGAGGATCGTGTTGTTCAAAGAATACTATGTATATTAAGAAAATACAGCAAAATATAAAACACGTTTAAAATGTTATCTTCGGCTTTAATTTTTTTTTAATATACATAATATTCTTTGAGCAACACGATACTCAAAAACATGTTTTTAATTACTCGTAGAAAAATAAAAATTTTGCTGTTAAGCTCCACCTTCTTGGCTCACGACGAATAAAAAAAATCCACACAATTGAGACGGGGTGGGTGGGCGGGGTTTATATTTTGTCTTGTTTTTCTTAATATACATAGCCATTTTTTCACAACAAGAAACTTGAAACATGGTTAAAATTGTACATTTCTACAAGGAAATATGGATTTTGCAATTACGGAGCGGAGCCTAATTGCAGAATCGATATTTCCTTATACAAATTTTCCATTTTAAACATGTTTTAAGTTTTATTTTTTGAAAAAAGTCTACACATATTCAAACAAAAAGACAAAATGCAAGCCCGCCCACCCGCCCTATCTCAATTGTGATGATTTTTTTATTCGTAGTGAGCCACGAGGGCCCAGTTTAACTGTAAAATACTTATTTCTTTATAAGACATAAAAAACATATTTTTGAGTATCGTGTTGTTCAAAGAATACTATGTATATATATTAAGAAAATATAGGAAAATATAAACCCCGCCCACCCACCCCATCTCAATTGTGATGATTTTTTATTCCTAGAAACTTAAAACACGTTTAAAATGTTATCTTCAGCTTTAATTTTTTGTTAATATACATAATATTCTTTGAGCAACACGATACTCAAAAAAATGTTTTTAATTACTCGTTGACGAATAAAGATTTTGCAGTTAAGCTCCACCTTCTTGGCTCACGACGAATAAAAAAATCATCACAATTGAGACGGGGTGGGTGGGCGGGGCTTATATTTTGTCTTGTTTTTCTTAATATACATAGCCTTTTTTGCACAACAAGAAACTTGAAACATGGTTAAAATGGTACATTTTTACAAGGAAATATGGATTTTGCCATTACGGGACGGAGCCTAATTGCAGAATCGATATTTCCTTATACAAATTTTCCATTTTAAACATGTTTTAAGTTTTATGTTCTGAAAAGAAGTCTACACTTATTAAAACGAAAAGGCAAAATGTATATCATTTTATCACAGAAAAAAAGGAAAAAATTGTTATACGTGCTACAGCGTGTAGATATTGTCGGTATAATGAAACACAATTTTTGGTGATAAAAAAAATATGTAAAAAAACTGATAAGGTAAATTATACATACCAGCAGTAGATTTTTATGAACCTCTATACCAATTTGCCAGCGACCAGGATTCATAACAAAAGGTGATGGTGTATTTCCGGTAGCACCCGAAACTGTAACGAAAGCAGGAGCAGAAGAATTTTTGAATTGCACCTGGAATTCTTGTTCGTTATCGCTCGGATTATCCGGCGTTATTTTAATTTTTCCTATAACGGTTTCAGGGTTTGGGTTCACAAAGCGAAGTACCATTCTATAGAGTGAAGGTTTGAAAATATGAATGTCTTGCAAAATTTTGTTCTAAAAAAAAGTTACATTAAACATGTTTAGTTTTTAGGAATCAATAATCACCTGTAAGAGAGAAAAGACGGCATAGCCTTTCCACGAATACTGTGGGAAAATGTCTTCGTCATTCGCATATCTGACCAAAGTATTAGCAGGAGTGTGACCATCTTCGACTTCATACTGATATTGGTACAAAGTCGGGAAATAGTGAGCTTGAAGTGGTTCTTTACAGGTACGCCCTGTAACCCTCGAATGACATAAACATTGACCGGAATTTTTGTCACAAATGTTGTTCACCGCGCCGCCAACATCGCAGTCACAATCTAAAAAGCTCGCATAAATTTACATTGGCACCATAGTGGATTTATATAGTACCGGAACAACCAAACAGATTTTCTTCTTGTAGATCGTAAGTACCATCAGCGCACTCTGTACAACCCCTCGCTACCACAAGAGACTTACAAACACACTCTCCACTGTCTGAATCGCAAACCGCAATACCACCAAGTACCCCAGGTATATTACAGTTACACTCTTCGCACCCTTGCGGATTGTTGACATTGAGATTCCAATACAAAGGGCCACATTTATTACAAATGCGACCTTCCACCCTTTCCTTACACTGGCAAAGTTCCCCAGCGGGTACTGACCCACAGCCCGCAAACCCAGCCACAACACCCGCTGGATGACAATTACAGTCTTCGCACTGGGGAAAATTGTAAAAGCCTTCTTTGCAACCATCGCACCGTTGTCCTGCGAAGTTGTAATGACACTCACATTTGCCTTCGTTGTCGCAGGAGACTCCATTAGATCCGTGACTGTCGCATTCACACGGTAAACATTCCGGATATTTGTAGTAGCCGGGACTGCATTGATCGCAAGTTTTTCCGGCGTAGTTAACTGAACATTGACATTTCCCAGTTGCGCTGCAGCTGAAGCCCAAAGAGCCCACTTTGCTGCAGTTGCAGGGCTTACAGTCCGGAAATCCGTAGTAGCCCAAGAGACAGGTGTCGCAGCGATCGCCACCGTAGCCTTCTTTACAAATACACTGACCTGATTGTTTATCGCAGATTCCTTCTTTGGTGCCTTTGATGTCGCAGTTACAATCTAGAGAAAACGTGTGAAAGATCGTACAATTTTATGAATTGAAGTCGTACATGAACATGAAGGGTAGTTGAAGTATCCGGCCTGACATTCGTCACAGTGTTTACCCCCGAAGTTGTTGTTGCAAGTGCAGTTTCCGGTTTCTTGGTCGCAGGTTTGTGAAATTGCACCAACTGGATTACACTCGCAATCTAAAATAAATATAAAATCGTGATGATGGAGAATCACTTTTTCTGTATATTAATAATTATGGACAAAGTAGAGTGTCAGCTTAGATCCATTATTTTGTCCATAGTATGAAATATGTTACCATATTTCAAACATGATACGGTCGATAGCGTTCTGGAATGGTAATGGTCGAGAGGGAAACATGCATAGTCACTATACTAAGAGACGAAGAAAAAGAAACGTTAATAAGTAATATAGTAAGTATATACTATATAGGGTAAATTCATTTTTTTTTTTAAATTAGTAACTGTTGCTATTGTTACGTTGATTATCATGAAATCAATAAAATTTAACAAAATATAAAAATTGTCTACTTCTTTGATTTCTTGAAGAGCAGATTTAATACTAACAATAGAAGTAAAATATTCTTTTGTGTCTTCTAGTTGTCTAAATGACAGTAAGATAAATTACGCTGTCAAAAGCTGATTTAAATTTAATATATCAATTTAAAATGTTTATACCTTCCAAAAATTTGGTGACGTCATCTCAAAAGATTGCCATATGCCCTATGTAGCAAAATGTGCAAAATCGCGTGTGATATTTTTTAATTTATTTTAAAACTACAAAAAAAAAACCGATTGTAAATGATATTATCAACGCTCAAGGTCAAGAGCCACTTTGCATAGTTGGCCACAGAGGGTGCTGGGGTCTTCTGTTGCCGACTACCTGAGTTCCCTTTGCTAATAACTACCCCTCTGAGAACTACGTACGGCAAGATCATACTTCACAGGATCATTTCTGTAGTATATCTTCACATACTCCACATTCAAATGTGGAGTTGACGCAGCCACGATGACGAGTGACAGTTTCGTGTCCTGAGCGTGAGGCAGATCTGCTTTCAGTTACTGAAACTGAATTCAGATCATCGATGATCGTTCAGCGCAAGCTATGCTTGTGTAACGGACATGAAACAGTCTGAGTGGTTTTTTTTTTGAAAATTACAAACATAATAATTCCACAGTTTTCTTATAAATTGTACAAAATTTTTGGAAAGTCCCCATGAGTTTTTTACGTTCGACAGTTTTAATTATATATGGCGTGCGTTCAAAACATGTTTGCTTCTAATGTAAGCGAAACAAAAATGTTTAAATAGTTTTTATACAGCTGGTTTCACAAAAAACGGGATAAGATGAGCAAATCAGGTTCTCCATAGATCAATAATGAAAAACAATGGGAATATGACGTTCATGTCACTGTCAGTTGTCCCATTTTTTTTTAAACTAGCTGTAGTTGCGATATAATATAAAAATTAGGTTTATCAAAATTTAAATATTTCAAACCAGCTTGCTCAAATATTTTCTGTACAGTGACGTGTCAACCCTTTGATACTTACACTATTTATGGATGTAATGATGAGGATTTAGGATACTGTGAGATTGTATAGCCATGTATAGTAACCGTATTCGAGATACACCCATATAAATTTTTATGGGACCAATCACTCAAAAATCGGTGCTCCTGAAACCGCAACCATAAATTATGAAAAGGGCTTGACAAGGTCATTTTATACAGAGCCGTATTCGGGTTGAGTTGAAAGTTTTACCTGCTTTCGGTAATGTTATAAATGTAGATATAATATATTAGAAAATATAATAATCGTCCAGAAAGTTCTCCCGCTGTGGTAAATCTCATTAGACAACAATCAGAACTCATATCTTCTGAAAAATGGCAGAATTGTATTCGGCATGTTATAAAAGTTGAATCAACATTTGTAAATACACGGCCTAACGAAATTATAATTTCAATAAATAACGACTCATCTGAGTCTGAAAGTGACTTGTAATCTTATAACTATTATTTAACTAATACAATTTGTCTATTATTTCACCTTATTTTTTTAACAGAGTACGGCCCTGAAAAATTCTGCCGGAACGTGCCGATTTCTGGTCGCTAGGGTGTTAAAAGCAATAAATTACTGTTGCCATTGTGCAGGGTTTTCACTCATTATCTGTCATAAAGTTTTATGTGGGTGTATCTCGAATGAAATTTGTATACCTCAGGCCTCTTTGATTGTCAATTCCAAAAAATTAATGACGTCATCTCAAAATTTTTCTCTGTCAAACCTATTTAAAATGTGTAAAATAATGTGCGTCTTTACCTGTGATTCTATTACCAAACTCGTATTTTTAACCTTTTGTACTTAGGTTTTTGAAAAAAAATCTTAATTAAAGTGCGCAAGATAACATACAGTGATATACACTTGGGATGTACTAATTGCTAAATTTTTAATTTTTCATATAGGTTTTGGTCAAAAATTCAAAATTCTACAACAAAATTTTACAATTTAACTTAGAAAGTATGAAACCGACTGCGCAGAAATTTTGCACGCATTTTAAGGTTATCGAATAGTAAATCCCTAATCAAAATTCATTTGTTTATACCTTCCAAAAACTTGATGACGTTATCTTAAAATTATGCCAATTTTGCTTGAAATTTAGTGGCGGGGTCTTTTGTTTGTGATTTAATAATGTATTAAGTAATATTTTTAATGATACGTGTGTTAGTTGGTGTAAAAAATCAAATCTGTAAAAATAAAATTTTCAGTGTATTATAATCCATGACAGGAAACCGAAATTTTGACGATTTGTTAACGTTTATTTTATATTACAGAACAAGAATTAAAATTTACTTATCACGTTTTTGTCGCCATCAAAAAAATGTTTAAAAAATTAATAAATGTGAACAGTGCTATTTTTACTTCCCGAGCATAAGCTAAGAAACTATTGTAATTTTTAATTAAGACTGGACAGGTTTGACTGTGCTTCAACGGCGAGGGAAGTTCTCCCTAAATGACTGACCTATTTTACTTCCCGAGGGTAAGCAGGATCCATCGACGAATAGTTACTTCTTTTCTTTTCAAAACTACTGGACCGATTGTTGTCAAAAAACATAGTGCAGGTGGTAAAACGGTAACTAAAAGGTGTCTAATCATTCCCACCAACAATATGACGACGTCCCCTCAAAATTTTGTACATTAAACATTATTTAAATTTTATACAATAACATAATTCTACACTTATGGTTTATGAATTTGCCTTGAATTTTAATTTTAATCACAATTATTGTACAAAAATGAATGTGCAACATTCGCTGAGTGGTTCATATAACCGATAAATCGGGCATGTGCGAAATAAGTGCACGCGTGAGTTCCAATCTCATCGTCGTTAATTTTTTTTCCCTAAGATGTTGAATTTATTTGAATAATTGACTTCGGGTGCAAAGGAAATTCTGTCTAAATAACTTTAAACCATTTTTTTTAGTAACTAAATCTATTTTCTTCCACCAATTGATGCAACAAGATTAGACCACTATGTAGTTTTTACTTGAAATTGGTACAACATATCCTATTTTACTTCCTATTGATAAAATTGACTGGTTGAGAGTAACAACCAACTTAAATCAAAATTTGTTATCGATTTTATTAAAATATCATAACTTAATTTTGTGGAGCGACAAAACTGACATAGCGTTAAAAATTTGGATCGGTTTTGACAAACTACACATTTGTTAATGACGTTGTAGGTTTAAAAGCCTAGTTGTCTAGTTCATACAGAAAGTTTTATATACAATAATGACATTTCGATGTTGTGTTGAATTCAATCACTCTGCATAATTTATAAATAAAAAACATTATCTTTAGTACGCAACAACAAAAAAAATAAATAAATAAATAAAATAAAATAATACAATCCAAGTAATCATATATATTTTTAAAGCTTTTTTTCATGAACTGATTTATTTGTTTCATTTTAAAACTCACTAATAAAAAATCAAAACACTCTTTCCGTGTGTAAAACTACCATATGATTAAAAAAAAAGTCGTTTAGTCAGCCATGGATTTTTTTTACTGTGGTGGCACTATTGTTGTTTTTCATTGAATTTATCTGTCAGTTTGACATTTGCATTGTCAGTGAAATAAAAAAAGCTTGAAACAATACTTTTTATTATCTTTTTATTTAGTGGCAAATCTGCAATATTTTTAAATATCATAGGTCACCATAGGCCATAAGAAATTTTTATACCCTTAAGAAAATCACAGCTTGCGTAAATAAACCATACTAAATCTGTTGCTGAGTTTACACCAGCTATAAAGGTAAATTTTAAGAAAATTCCGATATAGAACATTTTTGCTAGTAAAAATTCAGTATGGTACTCTCAACTGCACATTTTTTTTTTTTTAAATAGACTAGTACAATGCATATAATAATATGACAAAATGTCAACATGTTCCATTAGCAAAGTGCATGCACAAGGTCATCAAGAGCAAATTTGTTTACCCTCATTTCGTGAAGCAATCTTATTCTACCTCATTAATGCGATAATAAATGTCATTCTAGCCGTAATTTCCTGTTCAATCTAATTTGATTTTTCTGTGAAAAGCGGGAAAATTGCATTGGTAACAGTCATTGATTTTTCACGTAAAAAACTTAAGTCAAATTTGGATCAACTGTTTTTTGTCATCAACTTGTAAACTACTACGGTTTTAAAGTAATTATCTGCTAGATTGGAACCAGTTCAGCGATTTTTTTTCAATTTTCGTCTTTAAAAGACAGACAAATGAAGTCTTTATTTCACACAAAATTGAAACGAACGGCGATAGATAAAACTACATATGCAACGCGTGAGTCAGTGTGTTAATATGTTACTATTCGCTCCATCAAGTATCAACTTCCCACGCGTATTTAACAATGCATTCAATCCAAATCGCCATTAATAACATAAACGACTATTAGTGGCTCAAAACGATCAATGTTTTATTAACAAGATATTAAAGGTGTGCCTTTAGAATATACTAAGGCAGAGAATTATTTTTATTGGTACTTACGTTTACAGCTCGGAAAACTGAAGTATCCAGGTGCGCACTCTTTACAATAATGCCCTCCAAAATTATACAGACATGGACACTGTCCATTCTGTGCAGCACACTGCAAATCCTTGGTTCCATTCAAGAAACATTCACACGGTCTGCAATCTGGGTAACCAAAGTATCCAAAACTACAATCATCACACCTCGGAGGTTTAAATTCTTTCCTACACTCGCACTGACCAGAACCTTCCGCACAGTTACCAGTAGAATAAAAATGGTTGCAATCACAAGCTAAAACAAAACATGTTACTCTTCAACGCACCTTTGCTTGCAGCCAATTACGTCGGCACACGTCGGTTTCATTCCAGTGTTTATCATAAGGTCTATAGAATGTGGGTTTACACTTGTTGCAATTTATACCGTCGGTATTGTGTTGACAGTTCTGACAGACACCTCCACCGTCGTATCTACCGTGAATATCTAGCGACAGTCGTTGTCGATCTGTTTCTTCGTCGTATACACATTCGTTACTATGGTAGAAGCAGTTGCAAGCTGAAAGAACCAAATTAATTTTCCACAGGACTGTGGTCAAATACGTCTAATTTACGTTCACAAACAAACGGATCGTCTATTTTGGATTGTCGCCATTTCTTCTGTTCAAAACCAGGGCAACACGAGTCGCATTTTGCTCCACAAGTATTGTGTTGGCACCTGCATAATAAAACACTCGGATCTTGTGAGTCTTGAATGTCGCAAGTGTCAGCATGTCCGTTACACATGCAACGTCCTCCAATACTGATATCTTTGATGGAGTAGAAGTACTAAAAATTGTTGTTGAGACTAAGATGCCAATTAAATATAAACAAATTTACTCTTCTAGTGACGGTTGGATCTTGCCTGGCCACCGACATAAGATGCCCTAGCAAATTTTTCGTTCTTAAAAGTCGCAATCTAACATTAGTTGCCCTTGTCCACTCTTGTAAAACCGTGGAATTGAAGTAATGATTAGCAGATGGTCGGTTGTTTAGTAGTGAAATGGGGATCTGAAATATGTTACAATTCAAACAATTTGATAATCTACGTAGATTTTTTTACTTCTCCTCCTTCCAAAGGTACGATTTTCGAATATTCTGTTGTGCAAATAACAGAATCGTCTCTCGAGATTGGCTGTAAACTTTCTCGGCCGAAATATGTTTGACAATCATCTGGAGAATCGGAAAAATATTGCCAGGGCTTAAAGGTGTTTCCATAATCAGCAGATTTTTCTAGAACCCACAGGCCAGGTCTCGGGGAATTACCCATTCGGATAAACACGTACGCAACATGAAATTCCTGAAAATATAACAAATGAATAAAAAATTTACTACTCACATTACAAGTTTTGCGGTTTGTGTTGAAAAATGTTGTACAATTTTGCCGAACATGTTTAAAAAAATTTGTGAAATTTCTCTTTGGGAGTGAGAAAATTAATCGGTGTAGTTTTGTCTCTTACTTGCTTGAAGCTTGGAAGGAAACTTGTATGTGCACACGAAACTAGATCTGTAGTAGTTTTAAAATTGTAAAGTTTTAAAATCGTAAAAAAATTTAATTCGAAAACCAGTCTACTTATCAAAAAATAATATATGGTGTTAATAAAGCATAATTTGGTTTAGATTTAGAAGCTGATGACAGTATTTTTGAATATTTCATTAAAGTTTACCTTAAGTACTATTTGATCTCGTATTTTAAATATGTTTTTAACGTCAATCAAAATATCACTTTTTTTGATTTTTACAAAATATCAGTTCGATTACTTCGCTGTAAAAAACAAAACACTTTGCCAAATGGCACTGAAAAATACAAACTGTTCCATCAGTGTAAAAGATCTAAAGTTATCTGGACAAGAACTTCCCTTGTTCCTAAAGCACAATCAATTCAATCAGTCTAGCTTCTTATATAAATTATAAAACCTGAAACATTGCTTCCAAAAAAAAAAAAAAAATTGCGATTAACGATTTCACATGTTCACAATAGGGGAGATATGTCTAATACGGCATACTTTTTAAAAAAAATCATTTTCACGTATAAAAAAAAACATAATCTTTTTCTGATTTGTGGCACATGTTAGCTTTATCAATTAAGTTTGAAGTTCAGTTATAACATATATTTAATCAAGCACTACATTTTTGCAACACTTGAAAGTTTTGGAAGTGACAGAATCTATATTACCCTGATGTACGGTGTAAAATGGCATAGGAATAGGAATAGGAATTTTAAGAAGAAATTCGTATATATTTATTAATTATAACAAAAAAAATATTAAAACCAAAATATTACTTCAATAATTAGAGAACAACACAACAAAAATATGAACTAAAAATGTAAATAATATACAAAATATAAAAAAATAACAAAAAATAGGTTCTACCGACGAACTTATTCATTCTTCGCAAATTTCGCAGATAAACTGCTTCGTTTTGGGACTAACTCCTGAGCATTCGACATGGGACCATTTTTTGCAGCTAATGCACCTTATCCACTTCTCACCGGCTCTAGATCTCTTGTAACTATCATTGCAATAAAGACAACACGCATCATCTTCATCGTCTTCGAAATCTTCCCAATGATCATTTTCTTCACTACTTGTATCACACGTAGGTTGGAACAGTTTATGTTTGATTATTCTAGCTGACGCTCTCAACGTTTTTTTCTTTTTATTCGCTTCTTTATCTTTCAGTTCCGCAATATAAGGGCTTTTTGTTAAAACTGCAGTTCCCTGTGATTGCCGTTTTTTGCTTTTTTTTCCAGAAACCGTCTTCTCAATTACAGGTATAGGAGACTGTTCCGGTTCGAAGTTTGTTAATATTTTGTTTTGATTTTGCTTGTTTTCCCGCGGATTGCTGACAAGTGTATTTTGGTCACTTTCCACTAGAGGCGCCATAGTACCGAGCAAAAGGGCCCGGTACTTGGGGTTGGCGCTGTTATCGAAGAGAGTGATCGAGAAACCCTCAGAGAGGTAACATCGCTAAGGTGGGCGTTAAGTGAACGCAGTTGCCATCTTGTGTGACGTAAATCGCGAATTGTTGTCGCGAAACTTAGACACGTGGTTCCTTTGTGCATGCGGTCTACAAACCCTCAACCCAGGAGGCTGAACAAAACAAGGTAGGTGACCTTTTGGTGCGTTTGTCAGCTTCGATCCAAGTTTTAATATTTTTTTTTGGAATTGTAAAATCGCCGCGAAAAAAGGTGTTTTCAAAGCCTTTACGTCCAACATATGGTCCTTCGAGCCGGATTTAGGGTAATTACGAGAGATTTGTAGATTCCAGCACAAATTTGTTGTAGTTTGGCTAAGCGTGATTAGCACGCATTTTCATTTGATTTTCAAATTTTCGAAATACGTCAATTCGAGCTTACATAATGGCTACCGTCGCCGCGCTAAGTAATGGACGCGCTAGTTTGATCAAACGCGTGGAGGCTTTAGTGAATCTATCGCAACAAGCCAGAGTCCACGAAACTGTACGAGGAGAGTTTTTTATTCGAGCTGCGGACTTAAACCATATTGTTGCCCAGTTTGAGCAGCGACAGTTGCAGATTGTCGAATTATGCACCACCCCTGAGCAGCTAGACGAACAATACGAGGTGCAATCAAGATTTGACGATATGCAGTATTCAATTAAATCGGTTGCAGCGGAATTAAATCGCGAGGCCGCGCAGTCATCCGCACCCAGGGGCAATTTAACATCAAACAACGTCAAATTGCCCAAAATTCAAATTCCGACGTTTGACGGTCAGATCAAAAACTGGCCCACATTTTATGATTTGTTTCGGTCGCTTATCCACAATAACCCAAATCTTAGCGCAATTGAAAAATTTCAATATTTGTCGACGTCATTGTCTCGCGAGGCGTCTACCGTCATCAAAAATTTGCCGATTTCGGCGGCAAATTATGCTATCGCATTCGATGCGCTGGTGGCGCGTTATAACAATAAGCGCGTATTATTGACAAATTATTGGCAAGCGATCTATAGTGCACCCAAAGTGAATGGAGATTCGCCGAGTTTGTTGCGAAATTTGTTAAACGTGTTCTCTGAAAATTTGGCCGCGTTGAAGCAGTACGATGAAGTCGATTTGTGGGACTTCACGTTATTAAATTTAATGTTGCAAAAACTGGACACCACGTGGAAACAGAAATTTGAGTTGAGTATTGTAGGAAATTCCGTACCTGCTTACAATGACCTCCAAGAATTTTTGCTTAAACATTGTACCGCGTTGGAAACTTCCGTTATGACAATGGGTCATAATTCCGCATCCGCCCTTCATAAACCCACAGCTGCATCTTCCGTACCTGCTAAGCGTCCCGTGACGTCATCGTTTGTCACGCGATCACCAATCAGCAAGGAACAATGTCTTAATTGTTCAGATGAGCACCCATTAACGAAATGCGATGCTTTCTTAGAAATGGAACCACGGGATAGACATACTTTCGCGCGTAAGAAAAATCTGTGTTATAATTGTTTGTCGAGGGTACATTCGGTTAGCAAATGCCCATCTAAAGTAAACTGCCGGGTTTGTGATTGTAGACATCACACGTTGTTACATTTTGTCCCCAAATCTAGCGCCCAGCCGGAAGAGACGTCAGGGATCTTTGAGGACCCATCGGTCGACGACGGGGTCAAAGTAATGACTAACGCGATCGCGACCCATAGTTTCACTCTGTTGGCGACCGCGCGAATAATTTTGGTGGATTCGCGAGGTAAATATCGCGCATTTAGGGCGCTTTTGGATACTGCGAGCGAGGCCACCTTTGTCACAGAGCGGTGTGCAAAGGTTTTAGGGCTCCCTCAAACTAACGCGGTGGTACCAATTCAAGGCTTGAATCAAATGTCGTCAAGCAGTACGTCGGGTGTATTGAAATGCGAAGTTAGGTCGCATTTAGTACGTAGCTTTTCGTTAAAAGCTGAAATGGTTGTTGTGCCTCAAATTTGCGGTGACGTCCCCAGAAGGGCAGTATCACAAGATCGTCTGCGACAATTTCGTCACATACGTAATTTGAAATTGGCTGACCCGGAATTCGGTAAGCCACAACAAGTGGATGTCTTGTTGGGTGCTGATGTTTACGGACAAATCGTGACATCCGGCTTCAGGAAAGGTGGGCTCGAGAAACCGTCCGCGTTAAATACTGTTTTCGGGTGGGTACTGATTGGGGGTGTTAGGCGTAACAAACAACAAACCGCGGTTAGGTCCTTTTGTACGTCCCTAGACAACTCTGTAGACGCGGCATTAAAACGCTTTTGGCAGCCTGAGCAGGGCTCACAACGCAGTATGGCGGCCCCGCAAGACGCTTGGTGTGAGGAAAAAGTCACGTCGGCGATCTCACGTGACATCCAGGGTAGATACAACATTCAATTACCTTTCGCCGACAAGACGCCGTCCTTATTAGGTCGGTCCGCCGAGTCAGCAGTGCGCCGTTTTCTCGTCCCTGAGTCGCGCCTCTTTGCGGCCGACCTTTTGTCATTTGCCCGGGAAACCTTCAAGGGTGTGTTGAATACACACAGGGTGTGTGCGTGGCCCGACTCAAGAGTAACGCTAACGGGAATTAAGTCGCGGCCCGGTCATTGGACCACTTTTGTTGCAAATCAAATCGCGCCCATACAAGGTATATTCGAACCTTCGGCATGGAATCATGGAAGCGGCCCTGATAACCTAGCCGACTGTGCCTCGAGGGGGTTACTTTTACAGGAGCGTGTCACACATCCGCTATGGTGGGCGGATCCCATGTGGTTGACAGGTACTGAGTGGCCTCTACAAGTAGACCTAGAAGTTGGTACCGGTAGGGAACTTGAAGTACACAGAAGGGAATTGCATCATGCGTTGTTAATACCTGTGCGAATGGAACAAAGTAAAGTGTTTGCCAATGAAATTCGTTCATTGCAAAAGAATGGCACGTGTTCAAAACCATTCCACGAATTGACCCCGTTCCTGGACGACGGTTTGATTCGCGTCACTAGAAGATTGCACCAAACGGAACTGCCCTATGAAACTAAGCACCCCTTGTTATTGCCGCGCTCGCACAGTCTAATCGAACTAGAGGCCGCTCATCGGAAACATTTACATGTCAGATTCCGGATATTACAGTATTTGTTATTGCAAGCAGCGGCCGGTAACTGCACCCTCAAATGGCATTTTAACCCCTCGTCGGCCCCCCATATGGGAGGATTATGGGAGCCGGGCGTCAAATCGTTCAAATCCCATCTTAAGCGCGTTGTAGGCGAGCAACCCCTAACCTTCGAAGAATTTAGTACCGTGTTGGCGCAATTTGAAGCCGTATTGAATTCGCGACCCCTGTGTCCCGC